CAAATATTGGTGATACTAAAAAATATTATTCTTCAAACTGATTGATAATACTTCTATGATACTTATAGAACTTTTGATAATTACTGATGAAATCGTCAGAATAAACCATATATTGCTAGTGTGCTCCTTTCCGTTCAGATTCCTACTGCAGAAAGAATTTCTGCAATGCCCAAAAGCGCATAAGCATTTTAATGTATATATTTATAGCATTACAAGGATATCTGCCCACTATAAGTCACCACTTCACGATAAGAAACAGAGTCTGATAGACATGGAAGGATATTAAAGACAATAACTTCTGTCTTTCTGAATTTTTGCTTTATTTTACTTTCTGTCGCGAATTATAATTTCGCGAAAACTTCTAACCAATTTCATAGTATCATAAATTATCTCTTTTTAAATTGTAAACAATCCTACGGTATTCACACATGTATTTTTAATCTCTTCGTTGTAAACACTTCCAATTCTTCATACAATTGCTCCGATAACACGCCCAATCCTCACTCATATAAATTCAATTCCAATAAACAAACCGATAACACGTCCAATCCTCACTCATATAAATTCAATTCTAATAAACAAACCGATAACACGTCCAATCCTCACTCATATAAATTCAATTCTAATAAACAAACCGATAACACGTTCAATCCTCACTCATATAAATTCAATTCTAATAAACAAACCGATAACACGTCCAATCCTCACTCATATAAGTTCAATTCTAATAAACAAACCGATAACACGTCCAATCCTCACTCATATAAATTCAATTCCAATAAACAAACCGATAACACGTCCAATCCTCACTCATATAAATTCAATTCTAATAAACAAACCGATAACACGTCCAATCCTCACTCATATAAATTCAATTCCAATAAACAAACCGATAACACGTCCAATCCTCACTCATATAAATTCAATTCTAATAAACAAACCGATAACACGTCCAATCCTCACTCATATAAATTCAATTCCAATAAACAAACCGATAACACGTCCAATCCTCACTCATATAAATTCAATTCTAATAAACAAACCGATAACACGTCCAATCCTCACTCATATAAATTCAATTCTAATAAACAAACCGATAACACGTCCAATCCTCACTCATATAAATTCAATTCTAATAAACAAACCGATAACACGTCCAATCCTCACTCATATAAATTCAATTCCAATAAACAAACCGATAACACGTCCAATCCTCACTCATATAAATTCAATTCTAATAAACAAACCGATAACACGTCCAATCCTCACTCATATAAATTCAATTCTAATAAACAAACCGATAACACGTCCAATCCTCACTCATATAAATTCAATTCCAATAAACAAACCGATAACACGTCCAATCCTCACTCATATAAATTCAATTCTAATAAACAAACCGATAACACGTCCAATCCTCACTCATATAAATTCAATTCTAATAAACAAACCGATAACACGTCCAATCCTCACTCATATAAATTCAATTCCAATAAACAAACCGATAACACGTCCAATCCTCACTCATATAAGTTCAATTCTAATAAACAAACCGATAACACGTTCAATCCTCACTCATATAAATTCAATTCTAATAAACAAACCGATAACACGTCCAATCCTCACTCATATAAATTCAATTCCAATAAACAAACCGATAACACGTCCAATCCTCACTCATATAAATTCAATTCTAATAAACAAACCGATAACACGTCCAATCCTCACTCATATAAATTCAATTCTAATAAACAAACCGATAACACGTCCAATCCTCACTCATATAAATTCAATTCTAATAAACAAACCGATAACACGTCCAATCCTCACTCATATAAATTCAATTCTAATAAACAAACCGATAACACGTCCAATCCTCACTCATATAAATTCAATTCTAATAAACAAACCGATAACACGTCCAATCCTCACTCATATAAATTCAATTCTAATAAACAAACCGATAACACGTTCAATCCTCACTCATATAAATTCAATTCTAATAAACAAACCGATAACACGTCCAATCCTCACTCATATAAATTCAATTCTAATAAACAAACCGATAACACGTCCAATCCTCACTCATATAAATTCAATTCCAATAAACAAACCGATAACACGTCCAATCCTCACTCATATAAATTCAATTCTAATAAACAAACCGATAACACGTCCAATCCTCACTCATATAAATTCAATTCCAATAAACAAACCGATAACACGTCCAATCCTCACTCATATAAATTCAATTCTAATAAACAAACCGATAACACGTCCAATCCTCACTCATATAAATTCAATTCTAATAAACAAACCGATAACACGTCCAATCCTCACTCATATAAATTCAATTCCAATAAACAAACCGATAACACGTCCAATCCTCACTCATATAAATTCAATTCTAATAAACAAACCGATAACACGTCCAATCCTCACTCATATAAATTCAATTCTAATAAACAAACCGATAACACGTCCAATCCTCACTCATATAAATTCAATTCCAATAAACAAACCGATAACACGTCCAATCCTCACTCATATAAATTCAATTCTAATAAACAAACCGATAACACGTTCAATCCTCACTCATATAAATTCAATTCTAATAAACAAACCGATAACACGTCCAATCCTCACTCATATAAATTCAATTCCAATAAACAAACCGATAACACGTCCAATCCTCACTCATATAAATTCAATTCTAATAAACAAACCGATAACACGTCCAATCCTCACTCATATAAATTCAATTCTAATAAACAAACCGATAACACGTCCAATCCTCACTCATATAAATTCAATTCTAATAAACAAAACAATCATCATTGTCATCATTGTCATTATTGTCGACTACTACTCTGTTAACTAAACGCAATTCCTACGGTCTTCTTCTTTATTATAAATTTTCTCTCTTTTTTATTCCTTGGTTTATTCATACTACGTTTTCAAAAAATAAAGGTTTATTAATCTTCCTACTGTATTGCAACTATTCGAATATCAACCAGATAAACCTTTCACGACACTTTCCGTAAAAAATGAGCTTTAATCATAAAATGCATTACGTGAAAGAATGTCTTGCTCTGTTGTCAATGAATTGAAAACCAAAGTATCATATTTCATGCAAAGCAATGGAGTCTCTCTTCCAGTTAGCTTTTTTGTAGGGCTTCCAGCTATTTATTCTCTACTGAATTCATCATAGTTCAGGATCTTTCGATTCAACATGTGATCGTGGTTTAATATGGGCAAAGTTCGACATGCGATTTTGGCGATTTTGCATATGATATTCTGAAATCTTTTTTCGAGACCCTAGGATTTTTTGGAAAATAAATTTTGGCTTGGGAAGAAAAAGGATGATCAGAAGAAGGACGACTGTCCAAAAGAAAGGAAATCAGTTTTATGTGCTACTATATTATCAGTGAAGTTTTTCTGTTCATGAAATAATTTATTTAAAACCTTTAGTTCAATATTGTCAAAGTTCTAGGAGGATCTTTTTCAAGTAACAGAATGAGGTCTTAAGATGGAAAGCAGCATAACATACTTTTTAATTGAATCTAAAGTTTTGTAAATATGTGGAGTGTTGAAGAAAGGTAGTGTGGGAAAAAATATTTAAAGAATGTGAAGTTGTGATTTGCATCGTAGTGAGCGGTTGTCCACGATTCCTATTTTAATTAAAGTCACAAATGTTTCAAAAACATTTCTCAAGAATGTCGTACTGTTTCATTCTTCACCCAGTGCTTTACATATGTTTCAGTAAAACTGGCGAGATTTAAATTCTGATTAAAAATAAATTCTAAATTAAATTGAGGTATGTGAATATAGTTATTTTTTGATAACTTATGGAACAGTATTATAATGAGGCTTTGGAAACTTTTAATACCTTACGGCTACAAAAAAGAATTTCAAGAATGAGTCATAACTATTTTGTAATATTGTTATATATTTCTAACCAATTTTAGTTTTATGTGATTAATTGTAATCGTAAACGGTATTATTTGAAGATAATCTCTTAATTTTTAAAAAAGTATGTGTAATAATAATAATAATAATTAACAATATTTAAAAGAGGCGAAAAAGTACAGCACAAAATAGTAGCAAATTGGTACTAATCTCTTGTTCATGTACATTCTAAGCTATTTCATCGAATCACTTATTTTTGGATTTTCGAAAGAAGGGATGAAAATAATTTATCTTTGTAAGTGATTGATAATAATTAATAATAATAATAATAAATTATAAATGTTATATATATATATAAACAATTTTAAATATAATTGCAGTTTTGTACCATTTTAACAAATTCTACCTTACATAAAATTTTTCCACTGCATGCCTCCTTTTATTCCATAAATGACTATTAAAGCAACCGCTTATCACTCATCATCAGTTATTGTCTTATCATCATCAGTTATTGTCTATCACCGATATTGTTACCCACATCTTCTCTCTTAACCTTACTCTATTTGATGATTCATTCTTTTTATCTCTAACATAATCAATGTTCCATCTCTTGTCACCAGACTTTACCTTATTAATAATCATTTGTAGTTCCATTCAGACGTCTCGTCTTACACTTATTCGGAAATTTGAAACAAATTGTCTGTTAATCTTTACGTCATATCAGTGTTATTACTTTCTGAGCGTGCATTAATCAAATCTGCAAACATAATTTTGGAAGACCTGTGTAGCTATTTATTTGTATTTGTCATTGACAAACATTTGACGAACCATTTTTGAAGCCTTATTCTCTATCGAAAATTAGAATGTCGAGAATGTCAAAACTATAATTATAGTCGAGCATTCTCAACTGTAACAAAAAATTGTCTTTTTCTTATTAACTATCTAATCATTCATTACAATTTCTCTACTAGTGATTTACTCCATATGAAATTTCTACCAAAGGATAGATATCATTTCATTGATTGTAAATCACCTGATCAGACGATCCTCAATTCCAATGCTACAAATATGACTGGTAATATTGGTCGACATTAGACGTTGTGAAATGAGTTAGATAATATATTTATTCTAACCTTTAAAATGAAAGAAAGGTAATGGAGAAAATGAACGGAAAGTTTCATACATACTTGCAAAGCAATGTAATGGTACTCGTTGTAGTACAAAAATTTCTCCTTGCAATGCTTTATTCTATCTATCGCTCCTAACATTTAGTGGTTGCAAGAAAAAGGAAGTATGATAGTATCACTATTGTTAATCTTCATTCTATCTGGGTTAATTATTCCAATAGAACAGTACATTTATAATAACCAGTAGGATTTCACACTATTTTCGTCGAACCTAACCGTACAGACATGTTTCGAGTAATACAAACTACGAGAAACCTACAAATATAGCATGTTTTAGTCAACATCGTGAACTCCAGTCATAAACTCCGACCTCGAACGAAGGAATGTCTAAAAAGAAAATAGCTATTTGATTGTGAGCCAAATATGCTTGTTTTATTTAATATGAGAGTTTAATTAGAAGATTATTTAGTAAATAATCAGGAAATGCTGTCAAAAGTTACAAATTAACTAATTTTTCGCGAAGGAAAGAAATCACTTACGTTAACATTTGATAAATCAAAGATTTTTTTTTTTGGTAAAACGTAAATTAATAAAGAACATTGCGTTTAAACTTCCATTACATCTACTAGTCGCGTTTAAAATTTCATAAATTTTTCATAAGTTATACATAATTCCTCTCGGTATTAATTGTTTTCAGTAATCTTATTGCACACATTATGACGAACAATGGTGTTACTGATGATCAAACATCTTTGTTTACGATTTTTTGTTGCAATAATTGTCTTGGCAGGCGTAATTTATTACTTTGAATATATTAGGATCAGTATAAAAAACTTAACCAAATACACTGCTGCAACTGATTATCATTCTCATATCAGTGATGATAACTTCCACCTGGTAAGAACTATCGCATTTCAGACGTTCCGTTTCTTTTTCGTAGACAGAAATAATATCCATTTATGGCTAAAAATTTTCCGTTTGATAGAGTGTCATGTAAGACAGGCAAACTGTCAGCTAGAAGCATTTAAACTTGTTTTCTTCAGGAAAAACAGGAATTGCAATATCTCAAACAATTCGACCACCTATTTTGGCTTCGTGATATCATTCCCAACAAATATGTTTTCGGTACCTACGATAATTCAGAAATTTCGGTAGCAATCGGAAACATCATTGTTTATCGAATGGTAAATTCGTCAAATGAAGATTATGTAAAATTTCAGCGAAATGAAGATCTCCGAGCTGCTTATGGGTACAGTTTTAACAATTTGCTTCATATTTTTTGAAGGAATTGAAAGCTGTCGTTTGTCGTTTCAAATAAATTTTTAGTGTATAAAATACAGGTAGAAATATTACTAAATACTTAAAAACTGATTATTGATATGTGAAAAAATTAGTAAAAAAGAGAAGGACATTGTTATAGTTCTTGAAGATATAAGAATTTATATAGATCATTTAGATACACTAGGTTTTCATGATTTCTATGAACACTGAGAGAATGGTTAAAGTAAATAATCTTTGTAATTTTAAAAGAACACGAACTGGACAAGTTATTTTCAGCTTATACGCAATTAAGAAATATGTGTTCGAGCGAGAAACATGGATACCAGCGAACAAAGGAGAATTCCTTCGAAAGTGGGACAATGGAAGATTCCTTGATTGCATTAGGTTGAATATTTCGAATAACTGGAATAAATCAGTCATTCCTGATGGTTATGTCAACAATATGGCTGAATTTCGGGATTTTCTCGAATCCTACGCATCGACACCATTTCTTTTCGGCGGCACTCTTCTTGGTTTTTTAAAAATTCGTTTCTAAATGTTTTTGAGTGTAGATTAAATTTCATTTTTTTATTTTGATTCCAGTGACAGATGCGTTGCCACGTTTAAATTCAATTATTATGAAATCACAAAATAAGGTTTTTTTCCAAAATTGAATTGAAAATTTATTTTTCAATTCATTCTATCTTCCATTGTCATCAAACATCATATAAAAACTTCCAGCAAGTGATAAGCTTAGAAGAATAATTATGCTTCCAGTGTTATCTTGACATACTTTCTATGTTAGCTTACTTATTCTAAAGATGATAATGTTAATGAAAATGAACCAAAAAATTTAGAATTTATGTAGTTTAGTACAAAACAATTTATTCAGGTTGGTACAGAGAATGTTCGTTTATCAAAGATACGACGGATGTTGATATGGCGATGAAAATTACTTCCCTTGATCTAAAGATGTTGAAAAATATGGAGAAGTCGAGTGATTTTAAGCTTTTTTGGATCCTCGGAAAAGTTTGATTTGCCTTGCATAATTAAACAAAATTGTATTTATTATGATTGAAAGAATAACGACTATTATTTATTCATCAATTACTTACTGATTAACTATTTTATTTAATTGTAATCATATATTTAGGTCAGCGATTCATTAGAACTGAGCGTTTATTCGGGAAGCATCAAAATAGATTTATTTTTTCTGTACGAAAGCAAGGATTCTGCTTGGGTGGGTGGAATGATAGTTAGCAAAAGGAAGAAATTCCGCTGGATTTATCCACCCATTTCGCAGATTTGCACAGGAGATCTACTGGGAAGGTTATTTCATGTGCCCTGCAATGTTGAGAAAATACTAAAGGTATATTTGCAAATTTTTTATTACATGCAAAGTGAAAAAAAAAAAAATTTTTTTTGTTACATGAACTAGGGAGAGAGCAGATAGAAAATCCAGGAATCATCATCTGTTCGTTTTGAAAAATCAACTAAATTCACTTTTTATTGCAGTTGATTTTGAATCTATTTTGAAGCTTAGTTTCTTATTCTCATTTTTTGAATTTTCATGGTTTTTTAACCCATGAACCGTAGCATGAAAAATATAATCGAAAATAGATAAACCTATGAAAGATTCTATCAACTTCAGGCGGATTACGGTAATTGGCGAGTACCTCATCCAACAGCAAATTTCACGTGGTACCAGTCTCATAAAAATGTCAAAGAAGCTGGCTATTGGAGCGAGAGTGAATGGAATGATACCTACAAAGTATTCTGAAAGGATTTCAACAAATAGCTCGATTTATATTTTTACAAGAATTTACTTTCAAGAAATATAACGTTGAAAGAATAATCTAAATAATTCATGCAAAATGTAATAAATTGTTTGCTAACGTTGCAAATTATTGTAAATTTCAAGCTTTTTGTCATTGATAGCGATAAATACAACTAGTCTCTTCTAAACTCAACAGCTGATGTCACGTGTCTTGCAAATGTTTATCATAGATATCGCTCAGATCGAGATTAGCATATTTTCAGATAACTTGTCTCTAATTCATGTTTACTAATAGAAGACAGTTTCCAAGTTTCATGGATTGCTTAGTTCTAGTTCGGCTTACAAATAAAAATCAGTTTTCTAAAGTAAATTTCAGTTTTTCGCTTCATTATATTCATATTCATTTTTCACTAAATTTGCTTTCTCCTAAATGCATTTACTTTTTGATAGCTCCACAATATTGCAGTATTGAGTAACGTGAAAGATCGACATGAGCAAGAAAAGGATAATTTTTCCGAAATGAAAAAAATTTATAGAACTTATGCACCGTACTGAAATCAATGTCAATGTCCGTCTTGGTGTGTCATCCTTTCTCAATCTTCACATTCCTAACATATCATTACATATGTTCGGCGTAAAACTGGACGATGAACTTCAATCTCCCAGTCACGCTATACTGATTGAACCCAATCACTGTTATAACTCTAATGACCAGGCTACTGCTCCAGAAACTATGCTAGCTACCTATTAGGCTTACATTATGGATGCGACTAGTACATAGATCATTTTTGTATGCAAAAATGTTTTTCCGTTGCATTACCGTGAATTATGTGGAATATATAAATTTATATTTTATCGTCAAGCATTTTTCTTCATGTCACTTCTTTCTCTCTGAAAGTTATAAAATGTGAGGGATGACATTTTTAATACCTGATATTTTGTAAGCAGTCCAAAAGATTTTAAAAATAAACATTCAACAAGAAATTCAATTCTTCCGTAAAACGTCGGTTGTTTGGAAATCTGTGGAATTTCTTTCATATGTTTCCGCTCCCTATATATTTTATTAGTTGTAAGAGGAATGAGCCTCCTTTTGCGACAAATAACTGTCACTCGAAAAATAAAATGTGGAATTATCTAAGACGTGGAAATAACGGATTTTTCCCGGTATGAACGAAAATTTACGAATTTAATCAATCGATACTCGAAGTAAGTACAACAGTTATAAGAAAATGAAAAAGTCGAAAGAGAATAAAAAAAGAACAACTGGAGAATGGAATGGCAGATTCACATCTCAAGCGAATTCCACGAAAGGAATATATCGCGGCTGGATGTTTTTTCCGAATAATCTGAAATGCAGCTTGTAGGCGGGAGAGAAAGAGGACAAAGAATGAAGCATAAGAAATATTGATGAATTGAACTTCATGAGTTATAAGTAAGGAAGAAATTAGATGAGTTATCGTTTAGTTGGTGAGAAGTAGTTGGTGAAGGAGTGGTCCGAAATTTAGCCAATTTATGTAAATTTCGCCATCAGTTCTTAACAAGATGTTAGCGATAAATCTTGTTGTCGTGCTATTTCTTCGGTAGCAACGTAATACGGAAGATTTATTCGACATATTTTCATCGCTGCGTTATGTGTGAAGTTTTTTGTTCTATCAGTATGAGCAGTTAAATCGAGGAGACGTTTGCTGGAAGGTTATTCATATTCAGTCACAACTGTTTTCAGCATGGCTAATTTCTCCTACAATCATGTGTTATGGGCATCTGTAGTACATATAAGGATGGATTCTGCACACTTTCTCAATGCTTATCATTCTCGTCTCGCTAATTAATCAGGCTGATTGCTCGCTGCACTTCGATGGAGCCAAGAAATATTTGCAGGCCGTGGAAGAAGAATACACTGATAGAAGTGAAAGTTACGTACCAACTCCATCATTCCAGTCCCATGAAGAGGGAGACAGAAAAAAACAAGAAGGAGGGCGGGACAGCAAATGAGTTCGTTGTTAGGTCTAGTCACAAGGTCTGTGACCTTCCAAGAAAACAAGCTGGAATAAAAGTAGCATAGATTCGTAGGTGGTGGAGACGTTGACATTTGAGAAATACTTTCCGGTCGGGAGTGGGGAAAGTATATAAAGAGAGTGGTACGTTATGCGATGAGACTGAAAATAAATCCATGAGAGATGACTGTCGGGGATAGAGGGAGAAGAATGAGAGATTGGGTATTGTGAAAGGGAGTGAAGTGTTCTTTATTCTCAAAAAGAGAGAAGGAGAGGAAGAAAGAAAAATAAGTTTGATTTTAACTAGAGGAATTGTGTGAACTGATGGAACGGGGCTAGCTCGTTGTCCTTTGCAGATGTGATGTACTGCTGATGGCCGTCGTCTTCCCGATAACAAGGAATGGACAGAACAATCGCTGGGTAGTTATCGTTGTGGCGAGACAGATGATGTGGTTCTAGTGCTACATGCTAGTTCAATAGTTTCAGTAGTACATCGTAATTGTCATTCGTATTTACAGCAATGATGGACGGACCTGAAAGTGTTGTTACTCTGCGCAGCCTAATTGAGAACGAGATTCCTGATGCTAGAGCGAATCTGGAAAGTAGTTGTTCAAATTTAGAACGGGTCGCTGCTTACTGTGAAGCGAATTATGCTCAGGTACGCTTACTTTTATATGTAATAATACATTTAATATCCTTCATTTTGACTTCTTGTCGGACAAGTTTAATTGTTTCAGAACAAAATATTTAACAATTAGATCGTCGAAAATCCATTAAAGTGTTCACATAATTTGAAGCATACGTTAAAGAGTGGTGAGAGTGACTTGCAGTGGCTTTTCTGCAGTAATAAATAGCGGATTATATCGTTGTTGTTTTGGACAGGATCTTTCAAAAACTAGTTGATTTTTTACATTTCAGTGGTCAAGTAATAAGCAAGCTTGAAAGGAATTAGAAGGGTCGTGATATGTTTTTTTCAGGCACAAGATAAAAAAGTGGCGTTTGACGAAACGAGACGATATGTAGTTCAAAGTCTTGCTAGTGTAGCATATCAAGTGAATACTTTAGCTTATGCTCTGCTACATGCACTCGATTTGCAGAATGATAAAGTCAATAACATGGCATCGCAGGTATGTTTTTCTTTCTTCATAATTTTAAATGTCCATAAAATTCATTGTTATTCGAATATTTGATGTAAGGTAAACTCTATTTCTCTTATCTGGACTTGAGTTAAATAGTAATTGCTAATTGGAAAGTAACAATTCAAATATAAAAGACAAAGGTTATTTTTTTTCCTGGAAAATAATTTCAACTTTCTGGTGTAAAAAGCTGCCGGAATTCTGAAGAAGTCGTTTATTGTCATATAGAGTATTTTTAAACTCGATATCTAACATTTTAGATTCATAGTGTAGGAGAAATCATTGCAATTCATAAGGAAAAAGTGGCGAGACGTGAAATCGGAGTATTAACAATAAACAAATGTTTCCAGAGGCAACATAAAGTTATTGCAGTTGGAGTTCAGGTATTTAGTTATTTAAGCCTCATCTCGTGAATTATTGATTTTCCCTTTTTTCAGTGTTTACTGAGATAAAACTTTTTTTTTTTTCACTTGTTTAAGGAGCCTCTTCAACGTTACCAGCGTACTCCAATTGATTATTCGGTACTGGATGATTTGGGACATGGTGTCAAAACTCCTGAGCTAGCGAATCGGTTAGTAACACGTGCAGCCTCGACTCTATCGCATGGAAACACTAGTGCACATTATCCAGTTTTCCCTAATTTTGAACAGCTGCTGCCTAAAGCAAATATTACTGCAACGGTATTTTTTCCACTTTTTCAGAATATCGGAACTGTATATGATGTTCTTACTGCTGAAGTGGTTAGCAAATTTATCTTATAGCTATTCTGACAGACGCCGTCTTGTAAAGAGGCACCTGGGCGATCTTTTATTTTTGAAGTCTGTAGGTGACAGCACTCGTGAATGAAGTTCTGCGCTAGTAATGCCTCGAAATGAAGCTTTGCTGCTTCATGTTCAATATCAAATTAGTCTGCAGGAAGGTTTTTCCATATGTTTCAGTATATGAAATTTAGTGGGGTGTAATGTAATTAATAAAGATTAACTCAATGTAGAGCTGGCTAACCAGCACTCATTTTAGCTTTCCCGCTCATCGACAACTCGTGGAGATCACTATCGTACGCCACAAATGGCTAGTACTCCAGTCGTCGATCCTCAAAGATTTTCAACTCTTACACACGGAAGCCAGAACCAGAGTTGTAACAGCACTCTAAATGCCCGGAATTATGATGCTGTAAGCAGGAAAAGAGATTCGCAACAATCCATGCCTCTTCCCCCTCCTCAGTTAGCGTCGGTAGCCCAGTATAGGTTATCAACGAATAGCTTAGGTAGTTTTTGATCCTGATGTGCTTGAAAAGTGAATGTTTAATAGTTTTTGCCATTTGATTGTACTTCATATACTTCATTACCTTCTATATTTTTATTACAGATGGACTTCCACCACCACCCAGTTCCGTGATGATGGATGATGAACCACTTCCACCTCCTCCTATGCCAACTACAATGACACCAATTTATGAGCCAGTATCATCGAAAAACCATTCTATATCAACTAACGACCACCGCTCACCATTTCTTTTAGGATCTCCATTTGATCGTTCATATGATTGGATTCCAAAAGCTTATATCGAAAAGGGTGTGCAGTTTTATCAATTCACAACTATGATTAAAGAAACCTTGATTTGATCGGTTGAAATGTTGAAGGGACAACTATTCATTTTTCTCCTTTAAAGTGAAACAATTATTTTAATATAATATTAATACAGACAAATTTTAATAAGGCAAAAAGCTCGAATTAAATATTTATCAGTATAACGAAACTAATTTTCAGCAGTTGCGTTATATGATTATGAAGCAGAAAAACCGGACGAATTAACTCTTAGAGAAAACTGCATTGTTTACGTTTTGCGGAAAAATGAAGATGGTTGGTACGAGGGTGTACTTAATGGATGTACCGGACTGTTTCCTGGAAATTATGTTCAGACAACTAATTGATTTTTTCCATCTATTTCTCATCCCTTTTCTTCCTTTCACAAAAATATATCCAATTCTGATTTGCATTTTTAGATATGATTACTTCTGTTTTGGAGGTGTTACTATATGTGATGGTCAGTTCCATTTAAAGCGTGCTTAAAATTTATATGTCGATTGAGGAGGTTTATAATCCATTGGATGTCCGAATTGTTAACATATTTTATTGTAACTTGTGCACGTTGTTACCAAGATTCCGTTGCTTTATCATTTATATTGACTGATAGTCATTCATATGAGATCCAATCAGTGACGTCATTCGCAAGGTTCTAACCGGAGGAATCTGAATATTCAGCTGTTTCTTTAAAAATTTTTCATCCTGTAATTGTGCATAAACGTTTAAAACAATAAAGTCAAATTTTTCATGCAAATAAAGTTTTTCATTGCTAATCTTGATGGTATGAAATAAGAGTAATATTTTCACCGGTGTCTTATATAATTGTTGAATTGATTTCTTATTAATGTTAGAATATTGATTATATGAGTTACAGGAGAGGAAGATTACGGAAGTGCTTTGTCAGGATTTTGTGAGATTAGAATAAGCAAGGTGGATATCACTATCGTTTGAGGAAGTGAGGTACATTTGAACTTTCTACATAATTCAGATGTATGAGCTCTCAGTTTTCATCAGTTGCTGGCATGGGTCTTTGGAAATACACTTTTAAGAACTGAAGTTTGGTGCTTATCTTGCTAAGCACGCTGTTTATAACGATATCCACATTTGTAAATCTAGTGGTTGTGTTTGTCTGATTCAAAAAATTGTTCAGCCGTTTGGAGCAGTTAGTTCTCTATATTTCTAGGGTGTTGGTTAATTTTTTAAAGCATTGCATGGCTGTTGATTTAGGTTGATTTGTCGGTCTCATGTGTTTTTCATATAATTGTTTCATCACCATGTATTCCTTCTTCAAGTTTTACCTTTTCCACACTTTGCTTCTGGCATGTCCTAAGTAAAAAAAGTGTTGAGGTAAACATTTTGATAACATTCTGCATAGTTTTCTTTTTGTGGTATGTTAACATACTCACTAGCCCCGATTTTAAGTGTTTTATGGCTTCTTTTTTTTTTTTGAGCGGGGAGAGGGATTTTGATTTGTTTTTTCAATCAGACAGCAAACCATCTGAAATGGATTGCTGCTTTAAATAAATGGAATTAATAGCTACTTTTTGACACTTTTAGTCATTAATAACTGAAAGTTTCGAGGTAACAAAGTACTTTTGGATTCCATTTTTGGAATTCTAGTAATAATTCCACTTTAATACGCAATGATGGTGAATCAACTGTCACTCAACACCGAACACACACACGCATTCATCAATGGTCCGTTACAGTAGAAATTGAATGAATGGATGGGAGTGCTACTGCAGCTTCTATTGCTGTTGCGTTGTAGTGATCGTTTTAAAGTGGATCCTCTCCTCCACATCACTACTGCAATTACTTAGAATACAAGTCTGTTGTTAGATGTCTCGGAGGTAATGCCTCAAACCAAGATTGCTTAGTTGATAATCCAATAGAGGAGTGACAGAAGGTGAGCTGAGGTGGATCTATCTCTCTCTTTCCCTATCTTCATCTTTCTCTCTCTTCCCTTCGATACCACACACTTTCACTTCCCGTTCCATTCTTTATAATCAGTTGTACTTTTGTCATGCCTCTGTCCACTAATTCAAATGAGGTCTCCTCATCACTCTTTCCAACCTCTCTTCGTACTTTAAAATCAAATTCTTCCAATCTCTTCTATGAATTATTCATCATCTCTTCATTCTTTGTTTGTGGAGTAAGTACTAGATCATTCAGAAGATATAGCCAAGGCAGAAGCTCTATCTCCTGCATTTCCACTCATCTTATTTCTCTTCCTATTATCATTCCATCTAACGTTTTTGACAATAAATGTTTGAAAGTTTTGTTTTACACTTCTTTTGAACTTCCGACAACTTGCATAGTCTGTGCTTGTTCCGTCCTATTGATTCATTAATATCCAATCATTGATAACATTTCACTCAATTCCTATTCGTAAATCTCTAATCCTCTTTAGGAAAATTTAGACATTTGCTTTTCCACTCATCTTGGTTTGTTTAGTACTGGATGATTGAAATCGGAGGATAATTTGAAACGTGGTCTAGTAGGAGCAGACCATGAGAGAGACTACTACATGTAAAGTTGTAGAATAGTCCCACGAGCGTATTGATTAAATTGCTGAAATTGGGGACTCAGCAGCATTTTCCTCATCCTTATTTGTTCACTCTCAAGAAAGAATAGTATTCATTCATATTGCCCCATTTTCTTATCCTTGCGTTTCTCTGTTCTATTTGTTTCAGTGATCTCAGTTAATTGTTCAGTTTATTTCAGATAGATTTTTAGTTAACTGAACATCTTATTGCAGTTTGAATGAGTTATTCATCATGAAAGTAATTCTTTATTCTTTGCCACTGCACTCTTTTGCTGTTTTTAAGATTAGAATAGTACCACTATTTTAATCATCTTCTGAGAATAGTCACTACTAAAAACTCCATATAGCTTGAACAGGATGGTTTTGGGATTCTTCCAAATTTGTAGCTGAAAAATAGTTTTGTAGACTTCTCATAATATGGACGGAGAACTGTTCGCACAGGTTTTTCATGAAGCAGCTTACGAAGTCAGTATATTTGTTTAAAGTGTGCTTTGTAATATTGACTTCTCCAAATATTTCAGTGAATTCGCTTGCTTCGACACACTTTAGCACTTTCTAACTTAAATATTATTAGTGGCCGATCTACCTATTTTGGTAGTTATTTTGCGACATGCAGAAAATTGCAACAAAGTTTATTTTTTCGATAAGCTTTCCGCGTCACTCTACGGTGGTAATAGTGCTCCTGTCATCGCTAGATATGGTCACTAAATTTTATGTTTTTATTAGGTTGGAGATTACGAAGCATTGGATTATCGTCTAATCGATATCAAAGAATGTGTAAAATGATGTTAGTAAGATTCCAGTTTGCCTACGATTTAGAGAGGAAACAAAAAAAATACCATATGAGCGATAATATTGTTGACTTCATCGGTAAGTGCTTTTTAAAAGCTCATTCTTGAACTTTATTAAAACTCGGAATACTTTAAGCTATAAGAAAAAGCAGAAAATAGCAAAGAATTAATTTTTGTGTTTGATATTAGGTCTAAGTAGACTTCGGGAAGTGATACGAAGAACAATGAAGTGTTGAAAATTTAATTGATGAACTTGAGAGTCAGCTATTTTCGCATCCGTAATTCACCAATAAGCGAAAATATTTTTCAGAATGAAAACAAAGGATAAATGAAACTGAAGAAAGCATATGGCACAAATAAATAATTGCTGCCGATTTAGACGTTGATTATCCAATTCGGTTCATCTTCCATATTGCGTTGCTTATTCGAAACATCTTTGAGACACTGAAAAGATCACCAGCTAACTTAACATACAACGTTTAGTTATTCCCGCAGCACTATAATTTTTAGAGTACTCATTTGATGTTCCAAGAAAACAATTTTATGTTTCATGGTCTGAAAATCCAAGAATTTCTCGTCATAAAAATAATTGGCATTGACGGAATACCTCGAACTGTACATTAATTCATAGATATTATTTAGGCATTCCTTGATCCCTAATTTTCTGGAATTCATCATTCTTTTCGCCCGTGTCGATAATTATGGTCGCGATAATAAGGATTGTTTTTAGAAATTCTCAGTTATTGCGCATAAAAGTGTATGTCGATGTGGCTGGATAAATTGTCGCGAAATTCTTAGTTTATTGAATGATTCACTCAAGAGGGGGATATTTTGCAGAGATCATGATGAGTTGAAGGAGAAGTCATGGAAAAGTTTGATGGCTTTGAATATACAAAAAAAGATCTGATTGGTCATGGTGCATTCGCTATCGTTTATAAAGGACGATATGCAGATGTTAGTTGCTATTTTTCTCGATGTTCACTTCTTTGTTATTTTTTTGATATGTGGCTAAAGTCTTCACTCATTTAATATCTTTGGTTTTAAATCATGCAAATTTATAATTGTTGCTTTTCAGCGCAAGGATGTTCCGGTGGCTATTAAGAGCATTGCAAAGAAGAGTTTAACTAAATCGAAAAATTTGCTCACCAAGGAAATAAAAATACTTAAAGTAAGAATACCGAAACTTTTGACCAATATTTGCAGTTAAAAAAAACCATGCTTGCGAAGTAAATGTATGTAATTTCAGGAGTTATCTAATTTGCAACATGAAAATTTGGTAGCATTATTGAAATGTGTCGAGACGCCGACCAATGTTTTCTTGGTGATGGAATATTGTAATGCTGGAGATTTGGGTGATTATTTGCAGAATAAAGTAACACTTCCTGAAATAACCATCCAGCATTTTCTTGTTCACATTTCTCGGGCCATTGAAGCTATTAATAAAAAAGGGATCGTGCACAGGTCATTTTCTCTCATTTTTTTTTGTACGAAATAATATATATATATACGTATAAAGTACACACCACTAGAAAATGTCAAGTTCGAGGCTTATTCTTTATTCGAATATTGTAATATCTCAGATATGCAAATTCATTTTCTAATCCGAAATTGAAGTTCTTTAGTCATCGTAAAGTGAAATCATTTTCCAGTCATTTATGAAAATTATTAGTTACTGATTGCATTGATCAAAATAACTTTGAATGGAGAGCAGTTGCATTTTGTAAATTTTAACTATTCAATACTTATGAAAGTAGTTCATAGGTAGAATTTCTTGTGATTCCAGCTGATTAGGTTTTTGTTTATTTGTAAAGAAAAGGATTGGAGAGACTAATGTCAATCATATGTTCAGGGATCTAAAGCCACAAAATCTGTTGCTATGCAATCCAGGACAACGACCAAATCCTCCGGCTACGGATTTAATTGTGAAACTTGCTGATTTTGGTTTTGCACGTTTTCTAGGTGATGGTCATATGGCTGCCACTTTATGCGGTTCACCGATGTATATGGCTCCTGAAGTAAATTTGTTTATGTGAATTTTGCAGGATTGAGCTGAAATCCTTCATTAAATTATTTGTGACCCAGGAATATGTTTAGAAATTGAAATTTTTTCTATTTTTTGTGAAATTTAAGATCTCGTCCATGTATTTTGTTTGGTGATTACTAACTTCTAATTTCAGGTGATAATGTCGTTGCAGTATTGCGCCAAAGCTGATTTGTGGTCGGTAGGAACAATTATTTTTCAATGCTTGACGGGGAAAGCACCGTTTCAAGCACAAACACCCCAGGCTTTGAAACAATTTTATGAGCGGAATAAGGAGCTTCGGCCGAACATTCCAACATATTGCAGTCCTTTACTGAAAGACTTATTGCTTGCGCTACTGAAAAGAAATTCGAAAGATCGCATTGATTTCGGTAATAGTTTACTTTATTTGCTAATAAAATAACTGGTATCTCTGCAAATAAAGCTAAAAAAATTACTATTTGCCCCTTTGGGAAAATTGATGGAGCATTTTCGTTAGAAAATGAAGAAAACATCCGGCAGTTTTCCTCGTATTAAATATTTAAATGAATGGTTTCAGTTAGTGTTGTGTTCGTGTAACATGTAAAATGGATGTTTCCGCCATTTGAAATCATAAGGACACCAATTGCTAGTGTAAAGTGTAATTTTAATCAAGAAATACTGAATCAACTACAGAAATCGGACTTCTGGTTTTTAAAATCGCTAAATATATTTAATCTTAAGATGTTTTTCTCTCTTAGTTTGGATTTTTGTAAAAATGATATTTTCAAAAAAATTGCGTTTACGAGGAAATATTTAATTATTAAGTATTCATGGATTTCTTGATTTAAGTTTTTATTTCGATAATCTTCAACAAAGTAATGTCGGACATTAATATACTGTACTTTCAAAGTTTAATGTCAGCGCCAGAACATTCCGTCCTTTCAAATCGTGAATGTACCCGCTTTCTTTAGTCCACTTTTCACTCAGTGCTTTACAATATTGATATGGAATACTGCAAGTCTGTGAAGAAAACATCAGAATTTTTTGTAAAATGGATTTGGACAGATTTTTTTGATCCCATGAATTTGTTTTATAAGAGTTTAAACTATATCATATTGACTTCAGAGGCTTTCTTTTCGCATCCATTTATCATAACAAGTCCTACGTCCGTAAAGCACCACGATATGCCTGTCTTGCCACAACTGATGTCTTCTCCATCTCATCGACTACCAGTACCTGCTATAACGTCAACTGTTGTCAGCCGTAATATTGCAAGTCCAAAATTATGTTCACCTCATCCTATTGGTTCACGGTACGTTACTTTCCCATTAACATTAATATTAAGATTTTGATTAGGTAATTATGTTATTGCTTTACCTGAGAATATGTCTATACCTGCGCTTTTCAGACATAACACCTTTCCGACATCAGTCCAGACAGGTTTTGTGTCTGACTCTGACGACTTTACATTCCTGCCATCATTTCACGGCACCCAAATTCCCCTCGCAAACAGTCGATCAAAAACGCATTCGCCTCTTGTTTCTCGGCGACCATTCTCTACAACCAATTCAAATATTGATTCACATTCGGGAAATCCTGTCAAACAAATTAAGGTATTCTATGTGTACTATCTTTAAAAATATTTTTTATTCTTATACTTCGATACGTAAGATTACCGTACTCAATATGACGTAATACGTCTACATCACAAAAAACGTCGAATATCTGGCTTGTCCTGGAAACATGCTCGAATTGCCTTGTATTCTTCGCGTTTTCTTATTTTAGATTTTTAATGCTGCATCTAATGCTCGTGCAGTACCGGTTCCAAGCCAGAGGCTAGCTTATGCAAAAATGGAAGAAAGACGAAATGGCTCTTCTGCACATCATAATCATGTTGCAAGCACTCAACGGTGTAATGCACGAAGTGTGATTGATAGTGCTGCTACCACTACTGAATCGAAAGTTCCATCCGTTGAATATATCACCTTACCTACAAGTAAGTTTTTACGCTTTTTATTTCACTTCTTTTTGTTGGAATTTTTATACTGTCATAGAAATCTGTTTTGCGTTACACTTTTCTGCATTAACTTCAACTAGTTAAATCCATCGACATATTAATTTTTGGGTTTTTCGTATTTCTTCTGTTGGGACAGTAATCTTTCTTTTTTAATTTTTAACATCAGATTGCTTTGTATTTCTTTTCTCAGTCAGTTCGCTACGCGAAATTAATTTGACTCTATTTTGAGTTTTCTTCAATATATATGAACTTCGTTTGCTTTTTTGAAATATTCATCATGTTGCAGTAAAGTTCAAGTCTTCCACTGTAAAACATCTGCTTTGCTATATTTGCATAGACTTCTATTGCTTTAATAACTGAAATTTCAGCACAGTTTATTGTGAAAGATTCACGAACTTCACAGTACGATATAGCGTTACAAAATCGATCACGACGATATACTATTGATGCAGTTGCAACAACGTCTGCTAGTAGTTCGTCACCAGAATTAATCCCTTCTGTTACTGCTAATAATGCTAGTGGAGGTTGTAGTCGAAAAATTTTGGAAGCAGTTCCGGAAGTAGACGGTGTAAATGTTTTTAGCGCTCTTACTGGGAATGAAACGGCAGCAAGTAAGGAAAAGACAGAAGTTGGAAATATTCAATCTCTGATGGAAGAAGATGTGGGAAAACTGAGTTCACCACACCTCTCACCTATACCTCCAGTGGATAATCTAAAATATCTTTCTGTATCACCACCGCGATCTTGTGCATCGCTTACTGTTCGTGCTACTGCGCGAGCTGCTAATGAAATTTCAACGAGGTTTGTAGTTTATGAAGTCAGTAAAATGTTAACGGACTGAAGGTTAAATTTTATTTGAATTTGAAAGTATTAGACATTTAATTTTGAAATGTGACGTTGTTATTTGAAAAATTTTTTCAAACAAGTGTTGCTCTTTTCACTTTAGATACTTGAAAAATCATCACTCGCTGTCGGTCAGTCGTCTTAGCAACTTTGTTTTTGACTGCACTTATATTTGGCGACAAAAGTTTATGAGGTACAAAGTCAGGGCATGTATTTTAATTATGAAAAAATAAGAATTATTTCTTTATAGCAGCAGTCTGAGTGAAGAGGAAGAGGACGTTGAATTAAGTCAGCCGATCCATCTTCCATTTGCATCCAGCAAGTTTTTCAAACTATTTAAACCGCATGCATTACATTTTCTAAACTACCTTTCAACCAATAAGAATTATTAGATCATTTATAAGAATGTGGTCTGCTTATAGAATCATTCAGTTTTCTGGCTGCTCAAATTAGTAATTCGCATGGAGCTTTTCTAATAGTTGTAATTTATGTATTCATAAGTATTGATTGATATTTACTTTCTCGTTTTTGTGTTACAGATTTATGTTCTCAGTCACAGCTCATGGAAAGCGAATCTGCAGATGAGGGAATTTGTACAGGTATTCAGGCCGCCCAAGATGCATCAAATACGAATGCGTCAGTACCAAAGAACCGAAATACTCTTCCGTCATTAAGTGATATTCCACCATCGTTGGAGCAGGAAACTCTTATGGGAGTTCGTTTTTTTTTTGTTATTGAATTGTAAACTTGTAAAGTCTCTAGTTTTTGCCATGTTTTTTTCTCAAGTATTTTCCAATTTCCAGGCAGAACATATTCAAGTGCTTGCAAAGTTACGATTTGTGCTCGAATTAGTTGAGACACTTATTAATGTTGCTGAGGATAGGGGAAATCTTGTATCCCTTTCAATGCCACCACGGAAAGTAAATCCCTTTTTAATATTGCAGAATTTTTTAGATTTTATTCCATTTCACTGGTATTTTTACTATATGTTTTTTTTTTTTTTTTTTTTTTTTTTTTTTTTTTTTTTACTGATATATTGTTTAAAATTTTTGATTTGACTGGGTTTAGATTATTGTGTTTCATAAAATTTTTTTGTAGAAAAAAGAGCGGTCGGATGCGTATCGCCGAGCGGAGCAATTAGTTGTGTATGTTCGAGCGCTTCATATGCTTTCTTCAGCTCTTCTTCTCGCTCAGAAACAAGTCGCGTCAGAAACTCTGCACCCATCACCAGCTGTGCAGCATGTACTAAACCAGCTTAATGATAAGTACCATCAATGTTTGGTAACCATTTTTTTCGAGCGTTTCTTCGTTTGCTTTTTAAAGACGTGAAGCCTGTGACTTAGATATTGGGGTTGTTCATTTCAAGTTTGAAACTTTTGCCTTCGCTTCGACTGTATTATTTTATTGTCAGAAAAGATGACTTTTCAGTGAAGTCCTGAGCACTTTTTTTACTTTTGAGATAAGAAGTCGAAGTTGAATTTTGTGAATAGCACTGCGATGATGTGGTAATATTTCAGATACGATCGCAGGAATTAGCATCTCTTGGGTTGCCAGGTCCAGATCCTGCCATGGCAATAATATCAGCTGAACGAATTATGTATAAACATGCCATTCAGCTCTGTCAAAGTGCTGCTTTGGATGAACTTTTTGGTAATCCACATCTTTGCTCGCAACGGTACGTAATGCCTTTTTTTCTATTCCTCAGTGCTACTTAGCACTTTTATTGTTTCCACTATTTTTGGTCGTCGAATAGTGGAAAGCATATGGCACTGGAAGACAGCGACTTATTGGTTGATTTAGTGGATATGTGATTTATAAATTTATATTTAGGAATTAAATGATAAAGGAGGAATGGTAGCAGCGAAGAACAATGATATTTTGGAGCTCTTGGGACATGTGCATGTAGACACATCTTTTCTTATCCAAGTAACTCAGTGTTGAAGTTGTAGTTTTTCAGGTATCAAACAGCCTACATGATGCTGCATACGCTATCAGAGCAAGTGTCGAGTGAAGCAGATAAACTAATTCTTTCGAAATATAAGAATGCAGTTGAGAAGCGCCTTAGAATATTGGAAAAGCAGGGACTGGTGCAAGCCATCAGTACAACATAGTTTCATTTGTTACTTTATCTTGTCAGATTCTGTTGGCGTTTTCGCGTTATGACTGAATTTGTCAGTTTCCAGTTTAAAAATTGATTATTTCTGCTTTGATAGAAGCAGGGCAGAACTTCGTAATATTTATCTTTAACTGTTCTTTCATGTTGCAACAGTTTTGTACATGTGTTTTTTAGTGCTATTTCTTTTGTAGAAACAAATTTTGTGATGTGATATTTTTACACATTGGTAATTACTACAAGTTATCTGTAACATCCATACCTGTTACATAATTGGTGATGTTGTATGATGTTGGCGAGGCTTGTTTTCTGTGCCTTTGCCGGTGTATTTAACTCTATTAATAGCTTTTTCTCTTCATATTGGATGGATACATGAACACATTAAAAGTTTGCAATAAACGGAAGGCAAAAACGTCACATTGAGATGTTTGCATTTTTTGTCCAGATCCAGAATTCTCTGTTTGTTTTTATCATGCTCAAATATGGTTAATCGTTACTTGCAATATCCAGTCATTTCTTGATTGGTCGTTACCTCCACAGAAAGCTGTGGTGCAGTTAACAATTAACCGTCTAGGCATTTTTCCTTTATATTTTCCCACTTCACTATCCGATTTTTATTTTAAAACTAAGCAAAAGGCATGAATTCTCGATAGTTTTGTTTCCACTTTTGCTAAAAAACTTAACTAAATCGTAACATTTGCCTAAGACTGAATGCTACGCACTAAAATATCAACATTAATTTTTCGTGAAAGAGTGTAATCACTCTGATGGGCACGTACAATACGGCAATCTATATAGATCAGGCCAAATTTTTGGTGAGAATACCTTCACTTCTGAATCCTCGTTTAAACTTGTCTCGGAAGAAGTCTAATCATATATCTTGAAGGAGAAAGGTCCCAGGAAGTGCAATGACAAGAGTATTCGTGATTGAAATTTCGAAATAGTGTAGTTGAGTATGTTTAGTATTCTTCCGAATCAGCATTGTTCAGCTTGGAAAAGTATTATAGTGAGGCTATTTCAGAAATCTTCAAATGTTCGCTTCTGCTGCTGCATTTACACACATCAATTGTAATTTAAAACGCACTGGGCAAATGATTGACTGTATCACAAAGGAAACTAGAAGTTTAATTTGGCAATGGAACAGTTGAAGTTGGATCAAACATTGACTAGAATTCAGTAAAATTAACAAATTATATGAATTTGTCAAAACCTGATTCCTGCATCGTTGCTGCATTTACACATCAACTGATAATGTTGTTAAGTGACTATTATAAATTACGAGTTATCAAGCCTATCTTTTTTATCTTCAATGATTAAATACTAGGAAGCAGTTCACATGCTTCCATTCTAATCATACATTAAAGGAGTAGGCTGTAATTAGCACAGCTTCCTTTTTTGGTAAACATAGCTATTTCTTTATCTAAAACTTAACAAGAAAGTAGTACGGTTTTTGTATGGCTCCAGTCTGTCACTTGTACTGACTATATCTAAGGAGTATACCGGTCCAGCAAAATAACTCACCAAAGGCTAGCGCAAGCAACTCGTGCCACATATATTCCTCAATGACAACATCGAGAAACCGAAATATAATGTGTCGAAATAAAATTATATTAAATTCAAAGAATTAACGCTTGTGTTAATTGAATATTCCTTAGACAAATATGCAGTATTCAAATTGTATCTCATGTAAGCAATCATTTATCCAACACGCACTTTTCAATTATAGCTGAGCTTACTTGCATTGTCTAAAATTTTGCACTTGTTAACAGAGTACATGCATTGCTTAATATATTGAAAACTGCTCTTTTGTTTTAAAACAAATTCAAATAATATTCATTTATTTTCTTAAATTCCAACTATATTATTCACAAAAAATACTTTACAATATTTTAAACTCAAAAGATTCCAGTTATATCATTAGTTATTCTCTTACAAAAACATTACTGAAAAAATAAATTTATAAATATTACAGAACAGTTTTCCTCATCCTCATAACTATATATAAAAAACTAACCCTTTTGCTATATAATGGAAAAGACTGAACTGCAAATGATTATCAAATTAATTTATAGTATATATGCAAATCGGAAGAACAAATCGTTCAATCAAAGCACAAGTTTTAACAGATCGTAGTATGAAGGCTACTCTACTGCTTACAACAACTTGACCAGGAATCAAGTCGTCTGTAAGTGATCTTGCGCCCCGATATTGTACCAGGGTAATCCGGTATTGGTAACCATTTAATCCTTCGATTAAATAACAAGGCCTTATAGTGTGGGACATCAGCTGTAACAGTAGACGTATTACGACCACAATTACATAACAGTACCTCCCGACACCGGGGAGCAAATTTATCTTGCCTTGTCTAGGTGGGATTCTGACTTACAAGCGTTCAGTCATAATCCCTCAGACGCATCAGCGGCCAAGCACATGAACCAAACGTCTGAACCTGAAGTTCCAACTGCGCAACAACATATTACAGTACTAACCTGTCTCATGACGGTTTAAACCCAGTTCACATTCCTTACTGGTGGTATACAATCCAATGCCTCGCAATGATAGGAAGAGCCGACATCGAAGGATCAAAAAGCAACGTCGCTATGAACGCTTGGCTGCCACAAGCCAGTGATCCTTGTGTGTGTGTTTTTCTGACACCTCTTGCTAGAAACTTCTAAGAAATTCAAAAGGATCGATAGGCCACGCTTTCGTGGTCTGTATTCGTACTAAAAATCAAGATCAAACGAACCTTTACCTTTTACTCTACTTTACCTTTTACTTTTACTCTACGAAAGGTTTCCTTTCTCTCTGAACTAGCCTTAGGACACCTGCGTTGACAGATGTACCACCCAGTCGAACTCCCCGTCTGACACTGTCTTCGGTGCGAGTCGTTAAATTACAAAGTGACTTAACTTAAATCAAAAATTTCGAAACATGAGAAATAAGAAACATAGTAGCCTATGAAATAAAAAAAAGTCATCAGCTAACAGTCAACTGATTACCCGTATCATCTTCATTAATTTGTGCACGTAAGCTTGCATTTCCATCTCTCATTTCTCATCTAACCGAAACTCAACAGTGTTTTCTGTTTGCCAAGCCTGTTCCCGTGATTGTGGTTTCGCTTCATAGTAAATAGGGACAGTGAGAATCTCGTTAATCCATTCATGCGCAGTTTAGCAATTAGAATAACAATGGTGCAAATAGCAGTGGTATGTGACAATAATAATTTAATCAAATTCTATGTGTACTGACATTTTAGTGTATATGCTATGTTTCCTTTGTTTGCATTATTTACTGTTACTTGCAGTTCAGATTGATTTAGATTTAAAAATTTTGCTATGTCTTCATAACTATCTGTATTGATTTTTTAATGTCTAATCATCAATATTTTCGGTGTTACATTTCGCTAAAAATGCGTGCAAATGAGATCAACGTAGCTAAGTAATAGCAACAGAAAAAAAAAACGTGCAATTAGTGGAGTTAACAAAAGGACACGCATGGGGTTAAAAAAATCACGGAAAACATAGATAATTAATAGAAAGACATGCAAAAGGGAAAAATAAAATAATGTAATATTTAAATAAGAAAAAGAATGGGTTGGCAAAAAAGCGTGCAGAACCGAAATGACTGACCAAAAACGACGTTTACTTTGAACAGAAATAATAATAAAAAAACGCGGGCTATGAGAAGAAATTTTAGCATTAGTCAGGAGACACACTTTGAAATTAATGAAAAAAAAAAGGAATAAAAAAGTTAAAATAATATTTTGGGCAAACATTCAAGAATTATGGTTTAATCAATGAGAGGCATAAAGTGAGTGAAGTTTACAAAATAAAAAAAATGGTATGAAAATAAAAATTTTTTTCAAAAATAATGTAAAAGTAAAATTAGTAATAAAGAGAAAGAAAAGGTAAGTGTATTGCTAAATATGGAACATAGTATATTGTACAAAAAAAAAAGATCCTAAAAGCTAAATAAGAAAACGAACCATAAAAAGAAAAGCAGATAATTAATGGAACGCAGCCACTGATAGGCTATTGCATTTAGGTTTAAATAATAAAGAAGCGAGGAAGAAAAAGACAATGAATGTTTCGGATCGATTGTTGTACGATCTTCAATAATAATTTTAAATAAATGACAATATGTTCATTAAATAATGATTGGCCTATAGCCACAATTAAAAAACAGTAAAAATTAGGTATGTAAAAGGGAAAAACATCGATTGAGGAACATTGAAACGTGCAAAACATCAAAATCCCAGCCAAAAGCTCTCTCATTCAGTAATAGCCCTGTGAGTGATTTCACAGTAAGTAGAAGATGTCGTGAAAGGTTTGTCTGGTTGATACTCGAATAATTGTAATACCGCAGTAAGATTAATAAATCTTTATTTTTATTTAACGTATTATCAGTAACCTGAACAGTAGAAATAGACCTTATAAAATCGGAGGAAATTTAGCTTGGTGATGAGGGATTATAGTCGACAATAATGACAATAACAATAATAATACTTTTGTTTATTAGAATTGAATTTATATGAGTGAGGAATGGTCGTGTCTAAGATAAAAATCACATGTGTGAAGAATTGAAAGAAGAGATTAAAATGAAAGCTAATTTCAATTTTACATAAAATTACATGCATGAAGAATTGGAGGTGTTTACAAAAAGGAGATTAAAATTACATGTGTGAATACCGTAAGACTGTTTACAATTTAAAAAAGGAGAGATGATTTATGATATTATGAAATTGGTTAGAAATTTTCGCGAAATTATAATTTGCGACAGAAGAAAGGAATTTTCCAGAAGTGTTTGATAGCATTTTTGGTGTTTTGTAGTCTTTCTGCTTGTTTTTATTATTCTAATCATTGCTTTCTTTGTTTTTTATTTTTTGGTTTATGTTCTTTTCCTTTTTATTTAGCTTATGATTTTTAAAGTATTTGTTGTGATTTTAATTTATATAAAACACTACTCCCCAGCTGTATAATAATTTTAGTTAGGATGTGGAAGCTTTATGCGGGAATTATAAAATATTAAATACATTTGCTATATCTGATTGCGGCTCATTCTACAATTATAATTTTTGTTTGGGTGTAGTTTAATTAAAAAAATTCGTTTTTTTGCATTAAAATATGTTTTCCAAAATTTTGGTTGATTTTTTAAATGCTTTAGTTTTTCTTCCTGCTAGTTTTGCTTTGAGTTATATATGAAAATTTTTGGTAGTATACTGGGTATTATGTTGATATCTCAGATTGTTACCGTTTTTTTCAAACTTTTTTTATTATACAGCTGGGGATGCATTGAGTAATGTTTGATATGTGATATTTAAGGTTAACCTAGGATGTTCTATTCGTATTATACATTCTAGTGGTGCTTCTATGTTTTTTTTTTCCTTTTTTTTTCATATTTTTAAAGGTTTAATTTATAGTAGTTATTGTCTTTCAAAAATATGAGTAAGTAGTGTTCTCATATACCTATACTACTTTTATGTTTTAATTTGAGAGCATATATATACTCTCATAGAAAATGGTTTGTGCGAAGGAGAAATGCAAAGTTAGCGTTTCTATTATATTAGAAGTTTCTCTTTGTCTTTCGTCGGTCAGTTAAACAGAAAGGAAGGAAAAGTTGTTTTAAAAAAATGAATCTATTAAAGAGGCTCAGTTTCGAGTGGACGTCAACATTTCACTTGGCGAAGATAATACCGGTAATAGAGGTGTTCGAACTGAGATCAAAAATTTAAATAGCTTACGCATGGTGTATACGGCTGTCAACAGTGAACTAGGTCGGCAGTACGAAATTCTTAGAGCTGGAGGCACAGTATTGAATGAAACACGTACTGTTGACCGCTATGGGTGGGTTATTTGCGTTTTCTGATATTGCCGGAAACAATAGTTTTTTATCACGTTTAAAGGTATGAAAAGATTTCTAAAAATTTCTCGTTCCAAACAGAAGACATTTTCCAGCAATACAATAGCAATGAGAGAAAAAGAAATTGAAATGGATTACCGTTTTATGCCGGAACCGAACCTTCCTCCTGTACAGATTAAACAAGAATGGATAGAAAATTGTCGTCTAATGCTTTCCAAACCGCGATATTTGAAGAACATCGAAGAATATGGCATGGGACCAGAAGTCGCACTACGAATTATTCATATATATCTTCCATATGAAGTAGAAGCAGAAGTTGTCTCCCAACTTCGTAAGGAAATAATTAGCTAAGATTGGCAGGAAGAAGGGCATAAGATTCTGGTTTTTGGTATGTTTGCATGAAGCTGGGTATACCCATATGCTTTTGGGTATTGAAGTCTATAAGGCATATATGCGTTTGATGAAACTACCGTGTTTATGTGTTTTGTATATATAGCGGCGTTGTTCATATTGTTTGGTAACCAGTTTGAACTTTTAATATATTTTTTTTAATATATTAAAAATATTTCCAGTCTTAGAGCAAAACTATTAAAAGTAACTTTCGTTTAGATTTCGATTTATTATATGACTTTTCCATTTAGAATCAAAAAAACCTCGCAACATTTGTTGAAATGGTTTTAAATGTATGTGATGATGCTGCAATGGCTTCAGTATTAGTTGAGTGGACCTTTCTCTTGCAAACAATTTGTCGCAATTGCACAAAAAAATTCCCTGCATCACGGTAAGCTTGCTGTTTTCAAATAAATTTTAAATAAGATGCTATATTGTACGGTTGTTTCATCCGTTCCATTTATCTATATTTCTCTTTTGGAAATATTTTATAAATTCTCCTTCACCACCCAGTTTTTCAGAACAGTTTTCATTAATTATTTCGTGGAAACAGTACATCTTTTTCACACTAAACGATTAACCAAGCTGACAACTTTCGATCTCTTGCGAAGATATATAGAAGCAGAGTTAGACAAATCGCCAACCGAAGTATTGATTGGTTTCTCCTAGAACTTACACAATTCTTCATAATAAGGCAAACACGCCGGAAATCTATTTAAATTTTTATACGTACGAAAGAAGGCAAAAAATATTTTTGTGTCATAAAATCTATAGTTGTTCACTGTTATTGTTTTCAGATTATAAATAAAGAGAATTTATGGCGAATACATGATAAAGATGAAATCATTCAAATTGCGGAGAAAGTTATTCGTGAAAATGACAAACTTGTAAGAAAAATACAAAAAAGTGGAGCAAAAAGACATGCCACTAAATTGCGTGCAGCTGTGCTTAATGAATGTAATCGACGAATTGAAGTTGATGAAATAAGTGAAATAATTAGACGAAAGCTTTTGTCAGGAAGCTAAACGTGTACTGAAATGTTTCGTGAAAGGACTTATTTGTTTTGTTTATTGATAATTTTTGCTCATTTCCTGCTTCTTGTGTCGCAGGACTGAATCACTTTTTTTATGAATCAATCTCAGGACAAAATGAAGTTGTATGTTCATTTTTTGACTGGAAATTAAAAAAGTTTTATCTGTTATTTCTGAGTGCTTCAATGATCGACGATAACTCAGTTGAGAAGTCTGAATGCATGAGTGGTGATGCACAAATAGCTCATGGAGTATACTTATGGAGCTAGCGGGACGCCGTTGCAGTAATGTTAGGTATGGATGAAAAACGAGACAACACGGAGATGGGCATGGAGCGATGTCTCATCGCAGCATGCTTGTATTATTGCAAGAAATTGCTTCGTGTTCTGCACCTTACTAAATCCATCCATTTACGAGCACAGCACTCATCTCGTCGTGTGACATGATATTAGTCCTGCTAGGACAACACGAGAGCTAGCTATACTGCAGTGGCAATACCAAAACTAGCGCATTCGATGCATGATCATGTAGCACAGCCTGCCGTAAGCATCATCCCTTCTCGAACTTATCCTGCAAATGCCTGCAATCTATTCCGTATAAAAGAAGAGAGAGAGAGAGAGAATGAATGGATGAAAGGATATGTCATTCAGGTTTTCCTCTCTTAAAACATCTTCTTTGAGGCCAGTTTTGACAAAAACTCAAAAAGGGCCTCGCTTAAGTTCAGCAACTTGCCAGCTACTAATTACATTGACAACTTCTTCATTCTCCTGTAAATTTTCAGAATCATTAACTTCTGAATGCTCCTACCATGCCTTCTATGTGATCTGCAGATGGACCGAGAACAAACGGGTCACATCGCAGAGTTAGGCTTCCAGACAAATTTCCAACTTCGTGAACATCTGGTAGAGTGTCACGCTAAATTCGTGGCTCGCGCCCTACTCGCTCCCAATGTCACCAAGAAAACCCATTTCTGGCTTCTCACCAATATTGCTTATCATAGTGAGGTTCATTTTTTTAAATGTTTTTATTTTATTTGCGCTAATGACTGGTCAAAATGCAACATTGCTAAAATGTAGATATAAAATGTAGTGATATCGCCACCAGTCTTTGGAATGTAACTGTGCTTATTAGACATCGCGAAGAGCAGAATGAATTTTTGGAAAAAACCTGACACCTGCTACAATCCAAAAAGCTTATTCTGTTACTACTTGTAGAATTAAAACTACAAAGTGCTGCTGAAGCACGCATTTTCGAGTGTTCATAAAATACTGCAAAGAATGAATATTTGCAGAATGTGGGAGACGATTTTCTGTGCGATGCTTTCGCAGAGACGGCATTGGAATCCACAAAACAATCGTCAGTAAGTGTCATAAATATTTTCCTGTAACCTTATATAAACAGTCTACAACAGGTCATGTTCGATTCTTTACAGATACCCCAAGATGATCGTGATAATGATGAATCTTACCTGAATTCACAAAAACAGAAACCTTTAGAAAGCGATGATCCTGAAGAAGCCGATTATCAGCCAATAGCAAAACGATCTAATGTTGTGAGGATTTAAAAAGTTTTTCGACACTATTACTCATATATACGGAACTGCTTCTTATTTAGAGAAGTAAGCCCCTTTATACGGTTGCAGAAAATATACCACACTCTGAAGTCGCCGCTCTCCTTTTTTAGATATCTTTTTGCGTAAGCGAATACTTCGTGATCACTCAGCAGACTACTTATTACTTATTATGATTCAGATGTTCGAAACTGAATCCTGCAAAATAATGACAGCTGTTGGTAACTACTTAAATAATGATCAACAAGTACAGAATTCAATATCTCTTCCAAGTAGTTCGAAAGCGGTTCGAAAATCAAATTGCCAAGTTTGCCACGTGGATGTTTGCACAACAGCACGCCAACGACACGTTTATCAATTTCACCTGCGAATTTCTGATCTTTTCCAGTGTTCATGTTGTGACTATACAAATAATAACTCAGTTTGGGAGATGCGTAAACACTGTACATCTATTCATCAAGGCAATGCATATCCTATCAGTAATGAAGAAGTTCATAAGCATGAAATACAGGTTATTCATTCCCAATTCCAGCTTTCATTTCCAGTCAATCTGATATAATGAGTTGGTGTTGTTTTTATAATAAAGATCACCAGCCATTTCTACGTTACGTAATACAATACAGAGGGACAACGCTCAATGTTTAAGATTAACTAATCTTTTCTACTAATTAGATCATTAGTGATTGTTTCGAATCATAACTTTTGGTTTTAACTGGTTCCACAGCTGAAACAGATGTAGTAAATGATTGTTCCAGAATTGGAATCAGCAATGTTTCCCGGATTGGAAGCTGAAGAAATCACCTTTGTCAAGACAAAAAACAATAACACTGGAGGTTTCTTAACTTCTGATCAAAATATATTTCAGGGAATTTCTGATCAAAGGTTATTCTGAGACCTTTTAAAGCCTTTTATTATACTTGTCTCATCTCTTACGTCCGAATGAAGTGATCACTTCTTTAGCAAAATCAAATCACTCCGGACGATAGAGAACTAAAAATGGTTAGCCATGGACGTGTTGCAAATACATCTTGCGATGAAGTAGACAGCTGTAAGATGAATAGTGATAATCAGACACAATCAATCATAGGAGCTGTTGTAGACGATCGGACGTGTCATCTGTGCTGGTAATGGTTTTGGACTTGATCTTTTCTTAATTTGTGAATTGAATTTAAATATTTGCGAAATCGATGAAGTTTAATTTTAATTAAAATTAATTAAAGATGTGAGCATGTAACAAACAGGGATCATTTATAGGGAAGAATCTCGTTATCCAGGACGTCACATAGCTCAAAAACATTTGAAGAAATCACTATACCAATGTCCAGTTTGTCAAGATTTTGGAAGTTACGAAAGTTGTACTGTTGCTAAACATATCAGCAAAATTCATCCGGAACAGTGTGATGCTATTCCCATCTCCAATTTGGATAGATATGCTCAGGAAATTCGTGACTTACAGGTAGTCATTTCATTTCATGTACTTTTTACCCAGATATTTTAGATCGTCAAAAACATTTCATCAGATTTTTAATCCCCTTAATTGGAAATTTATTGTTTATCCTATTTCGTAACACTGTTTAGTACATCAGTATTGATAAAGGAAAAATATTGTAGAAGAAATGTTTTCCAAACCGACCAATGAAGCTTGTTCGACTTCATGTCGGTCGTAGTCGTCCTCGAGAGCGTCACATTTGCCAAATTTGTAAAATACAGGTAAAATCCAGTCTAAGGATTCAAAAAGGTGTGTAACTACCAATTTCTGTGATATGTGAAGGATGCACAGAACCACTCAATTATTCATTATGCTGAATATCTGTTCAATTTCAAATTTAAATTTCATCTCTTCAGGTGGCGCAATCAGATCGTCAACGGCATGTATACCATCGTCATTTAAAGCAACAACGTATTTTCGAATGCCCTCTTTGCTCTTTTGCTTCAAACTACGATATACATCGTGTGAAATGGCATATTAAATGGATGCATAAAGATGATTCAAACAGAGAACCTTATTCTCATGAAAATGATTATAAGTAGGCAAATTTCTTGATAGAAGTAAACATTTGAAATACATATCTCTTCTTTCCATTATTTTATGACTTTTGAAATCACTCAAATTTCGTCCACAGATCATACTGCGACCATTCAGTTTTTTGGAAGGTTAAAGTTAGTTTTACAATCACTTTGCAATCATAAATTTAGATTTTCAGAGAAGAAATAGATCGATTAAACGAGCGATGTTTTCCGGGTTGGCAACATAGGCGGAGGCAGTTTTGGTGGTTGGACATCGAAGAAACCAAGCAAAATGTTCAGATTTTCTATAAAGTTTTCAAAATTTCAACTATTTTTCTTTCTCCTACGGTAATGCATAACTGTCACTGAAAATAAGACCCAGACATTATTTGATTTCGACTTTCCGTTTTATATAATCTGATTTGCAGGTAAAGAAAAATGTGATAGCAGATGTTGAGGAAGAGAAGAAATCAACGGAGGTAGTCATTAGTAAACCACCTGTACTTCAGGAAGAGCCTTGTAAAAAACCGAATGAGTGGACTTGCATGGTTAGCTGTGGTTTTATGGAAATGCAAAATTTTTATTAAACAAATATATATGTATTTTTGTCTTCATTTTTCGTTTTTTTTTTCTTTTTCTGATTTGAAGCTACCTGTTATTGAGAATGTCATAATTTACGTTTCGATCAATTTGTTGTAAACCATATTAAAAAAGCGTGGAGTGAAAGTATTACCGAATCAAAATGACCGAATGTTTTAATATTAATCATTTCTTTTTTTAATATGACTAATTTATACAAAAAAAAAAAAAAAAAAAACAGTTTGAGCTAAACTGAATTAAACTGAGTTAATTAAACTTCTGAAATTTAAGATCTGAACTACTCTATATGTTTTTTTTTTTCTTAGGAACAAACACTGTACAATGTAAAAACTTAAAAAATTGCAAAATATTATAATATTAGCATTTTTTTTTACCGATAAAGTCGCATGCGACCACATGTAAAATATAACTAGCAAAATTATAATCGATAAATGTCACTATTATTTCAAGTGAAAGTTAGATATATGGAAAAAAAAACTTCATCTAAGAAATATTTTATATTTCATTATGATTGCAATTGAAAGAATTGGTCTATTAAATTAACTTGTATTAATATGCTAAAATGAAGCTCGCGATGCATACTACTGGTAAATACACCAATTTGCGCATATAGTAATTTAACATTAATATTATTTTATTCATTAATAAATAACATTAATGAATAATTACAAAATAAGATTGCTAAATTGATTGGTTGGATACCGATAAAGTTCCGTTAACTCTATCGGTTTCCATTTTAGCGGCTTCACATCCTTGAACTCTCTCTTCAAAGTTCTTTGCAACTTTCCCTCACGGTAATTGTTTGCTATCGCTCTTGTAGTCATATTTAGCCTTAGATGAAGTTTACCACCCTCTTTGGGCTGCAATCTCAAACAACCTAAATCCGAGGAATAACCTACCGTAACTTTTCACCCTTGTCACCCTTACAGGTTTAGCACCTTCTGTGGACTGTAGCCCCACTTAAGGGGACTTTGAGTGTAAAAATATGTTACGGATAGTTACACCTATACGCTAGATTTCCTTATATCTTCACTGTTATCGACGGTTAGGCCATAACTTGAATAAAGTACAGAAACCGCAAATATCACCGTCTATTTGTATTATTTATTACCATATACATCCATATATGCACATGCTACTAATAGCAAAATAAAATAGCAATACTAATAAATCAATCGTTGCTGTGTTGTTTTTGAAGCACGATAATGATCCTTACGCAGGTTCACCTACGAAAGCTTGTTACGATTTTGCCTGCTTCCACCAAAGAGTCTCTACCCTTCAAAGGTATCGAAACAACAGTCTCCACTTTTCTCGAAACAGCTCAGTACCAAGCATGTAATCAACGTAAGTTGATGACTTACACTAAAAATTCCTGTTCAAGGAAAATAATTGGATGGTTTTCAAGGGGTTACCAATACCTTTCGGTAATGGTTACAGCACGCTGATTCCTCCAGTGTAGCGCGCGTGCAGCCCTGGACATCTAAGGGCATACAGACCTGTTATCTGTTATTGCTCAACTTCATGCGGCTAAACACCGCTTGTCCCTCTAAGAAGTTGTCTGGACGATAAAATTATCCAGTAACTATTTAGTAGCTAGAGTCTCCTCGTTATCGGAATAAACCAGACAAATCACTCCACCAACCTAGAACGACCATGCACCCACCAACCACGAATCATGAAAGAGCTCTCATTCTGACAATCCTCACCGGGCCAGGTGAATCTTCTCGTATTAAGTAGGGTCCATCAGCTTTGCAACCATGCTTCCCCAACAACCGAAAAACTTTCGTTTCCCGTCAAGGCGTATTTACCGCCGACGGAAAGTTGGTATCGTTTACGGTCAGAACTAGAGCGGTATCTGATCGCCTTCGAGTCTCTGACTTTCGTCCTTGAATGAAGACATTCTTGGCAAATGCTTTCGCAGTCGTACGTCTCGCTACGGTCCAAGAATTTCAGCTCTCACGCAGCGATACGAATTTCCGTCTGTTCCTCTTAACCATTATCTCAGATCAGAAAACCAACAAAATAGAACCGAGATCCTATTTCATGCATGAATAGGCATTAGCCCGCATTGAGCACTCTTTTTTCAAGGTAAATTTGCCAACTACCGTACTGAATCAAGATAACGTATAGAAAACTGGTAATATTACCCTAGGAGCCTAGTTCTCATCCAATGGATGGATCAGGTCCTGAGACGCAGACCCAACTACGAGCTTTTCAACCGCAGCAGTGACGATATACACTCTGAGAGCTGGAATTACCGCGGCTACTGGTACCAAATTTGCCCTCTCATAGATCTTCGTTAACAGGTTTAAATTGTAAGCATTCCGATAAACGGCTTCAAAGAGAAAGGTCTCGTTATTTTTCATCACTACCTCCTCATTCTGAGAGTGATACGTTATCTCAAGTGTCTGCCTTACTTGGATGTGGTAGCCGTTTCTCAGGCTCTCTCTTCGGAATCGAACCCTTATTCTCCGCAACCCGTTACAACCACGGTAGGCACATAAACTATCGCTGAAAATACTTGATAGATACGCCGCCAGTATAAGACCATGCGATCAGCCATAACTATTCACAGTCATCAATTAACGGATTAATTAATAACCTGATTGGTGTTTTAATCTAATAGATGCGCACGTCTAAAATTCGGAGCCTTGGCGCATGTATTAGCTTTAGAATTTCCACAGTTATCCACGTTGGATAATCAACAATTATAATTAGTATAATGAGCATGATATAAAGTAATAAGTAAACTCTTTATTAAAGTTTTTCCATTATCTCAGATATATCAGTGTGTTATTCATTCATTCATTCATCTATATCTACCGAAATCCCATTCACATGCTATTTCCTTTGCTTATTAGCAAAATTTAAAAATGATTTTTAAATTTTCATTTACAATGCAATAAAAATACGACAAATTTCCAACGTATAACAGAGCATTTCATATATACCATCATATTACGATTGCATTATCATCGTGAAAGGCAACAAATATTCTAATAGACTGGCTATATACGTTAACACATAATGTAACACAAAAACTGTCAGTAACAACACATACATGACACACAAGTGCATACCTATATAACACAAGAAATCTTAATTGCTTTAACTGATATTGATGTGAACTTGTTTTTATCGCTCCAGTAAATTATGATTTATGGAGCATGAATGAGTAATTCGAAAACTATCACAAAAGAACCACAAACTTATCATATCGTAGAAAAATTATGCACACTATTATTCTGTATGACAAAATCATGGGACAAATGGCATCACAACAAGAATTTTCAAATATCAATACCCTACACATTAAACATCGACCAAATAGCACATGTGATAATTCACACCGGGTTTAATAATTAAAAGTAAATTAGTCTTAATCCATGTAAACCTCTTAACTTAATAGAAATCTAAAAGTGATTGACTATGCAAATAAAATCTCAGCAGAGAGAAACTGGATAACAAATTATAATGCACAGAACATTCATCAGTTAACATAACGTATGCACTCGACTAAAATTACTTGATTAAAAGTTTTAGGTTCATATGTTGCTACATTTAACTGCATATTTAAAACTGTAATCAGTCGGATCCAAGATGGAGTAGATATGTCGCACAAACAATAGATAATCAAGCTAAATAGAAGTGCAGGCAACAACAATTCTTACACAACTTTATGTTCATCAGCAGGTAGATGGTCATACTCGTAGTCACAGTGGACGAAAGCTCTCTCTACTTCCGCCAAACTTTCGATACTTGTCTGTAGTGCTTCACTAATGTCATGTGACTCTCGAAGTGTCATGTCTGGATTCATCACAATGTGAACTTCCACTAGAAAACGTGTGCCGAAATGGTATACGTAAACAGTATCGATATAATCTATTCGCTTGTCGTGCTCGACACACACCTGTAAATTTATAACCTTCACTTACTCCTAGAAGCAATGGCTTAACAGATTGACTGACGGTAGATTAGCTTCCTTCACCCATCATGTCATTAATTTATTCACAGTTGTATTCGGTGAAGGAACCAGTGTATAGCACACGGGATATCTTTAACAACAGTTATCCAAACATAATACTTACTAAGCATAGCGATGGAATTAAGGAGAAACAAACAACCTTCACTATACGATTAATGAACTCTGGTTTGGCCGACTTGCCAGAAAGCATCGCTAAGTGCTCTTTTCCAGTGAAAAACCATGTAATGGCAATATATATGGATACAACAATAGCACCAATCGGATCAAAATACATCCAGTAATTAGATGCGACCCAAGCACATAGCTGCAAAAAATTGTTTATTATAACTGAATTCAGGAAGTTTCCGTAAGCAAACAGAAAGCAATGAAAATAGCAACCATATAACTCACAAATCTTCAAAAAAATAAGTACAGGATAGTATGGAATTTGGACAAACTAACTGCTGAAAACTCACTATAGCGACTGTATTGGATATACAATCATTCCAATGATCTTGCGCCAGCACTGCTACTGAAGAGTTATAATCAAATCTAAAAAGAGTCAGATAAGCCATTTGTTTCCGCAATACCTTAACACTAACGGAAAAGTTAATAGGATTATCCAGTTACTGACTGTAATGTATACCACAAAAGAAGCAGAACTGGCATAACTGTATACTAAGCAAGGCCGTAAGTGGATTTAATATCAATTATCATAACTCCTATTCCACTAAGTCTATGTGAAACTTCAACTAACTTTTTACACAAAAGCATGAGAGCAAATTTGATGAATATAATAGCAACCATAATGAACAACGAAACAACATCCACTCTTGGATCAACCGTATCATTGACAACTGATTCCAATGATTGCACGACCATTTGTACTGACGCCACTCCCATTATAACACTTACAATTATCTACAAATGTCTTCTATTAGTTTTATTACTATTAGAAGTTTCAAACTGTGGAGAGAAATAAGTAGGAAATCAATCAGTGTAATTGATCTTTAACAGTCTTTAATGAGAATTAATCTTTAATAAGAGCAGTAAAATTGGGGCACAGCGTTGATAAACTGCGAAATTTTTTTTCTTAAAAAATGATGCAGTAACAAAAAGAAATAATGAGATTGAAAAACTAACCAAAGCAATAGGTTCCAAACGTGTCCTTCCCCTGGGATACATATATGGATCTCGTTTCCTAATAGCACGAGCCGTTAACCAAATCACTAAACCCGAAGTAATATCGACAGCTGAATCAACTAACGAAGAAATTATTGATAATGAACCGGAGAGATATGCTGCTGCAGTCTGCAATAGCTGCCAGTAGATCCAATTAAAAGGTGATAGAAAAAATGGATACATAGGAAATCACCATAAAAACTACCAAAAATGTTAATAAATGAGTCAAATAACAACCTTAGCTACGGCTAAAGAAACATTAACAATAAGAGTAGTCATGGCCAACCATCGCGCCGCCTTGTCCGCCGATTTATTCCTTGAGGGTTTTATTCTAAAAAAGCCAAGAAAAAAATGGGATGTAAACAGAAAAAATGAAAAAAAATTTCAAAACAATTTTTAATATACCTTTTCTTTTTTACTCTCACTGCAGGTGTCTTATGTTTACCCTTTGTTGAAGCGCTTTTCAAAAATGCTTTTTCTGAATTGGAATTTCCCTCAAGCAACATCATTTTGGATTCCATGTAATTTTCAATACTCTGTTCCGAACTATGTCCTTTTTGTCTCTGTCGCCGGTGCTCCTGAAGAAAACAACGATAAAATGTAAGGAAGGAAACAATTCTATTGCCTTCGAGGATGTGACATGTTGAATGCTTTGTGCACAAAGTTGGATTATTAATAACAAGAATTCAGAACTGGCTAATTACTAGTAAATGAGGAAATTAGTTGCAATGACGTATTATGTAGTGATTTACTAGCCGTAAATATTCCAAATAAGAATGGTAAAAAAAATTAATGAATGTTAAAAAATAAACTTCGATGGCAGTGCTATCTTTCTTGAAATTCTCCACAAGATCCGACTGTTTTCGATAAAATTTGCTCACTCGTTTTGGATTCCTATTCAATAAAAGCGATGGATGGGAAAACATGATCCCGATGGAAGACGCACTGTAACTATTGTGGGGAAGAGTCGTCTTTCTATCAAGTAACTGCTCCGTTGTTATATGACCTGTACTAGGACAAAATCTGAAATAAGCATGACCAAAAAAATAAAGAAAAAAACCAAGTACGTAAATTTTTTACACGGTACTTTTAAATTTAAACTTGTCATATTTGCTACTTAACTTTAAACTTCGAATATTTATCACATTTAGCACCGAAAATAAATTCAAATTTCCCTGCTAACATTACCAGATACATTTTGCATTCTTTGTAGTTCATTTCGAAGTTAATTTTCAAAAAAAAAAAAAAAAAATGATGCAGAACCACGCAAGTGGTCCCTTAATAAAATATCACATGGGTTCCCATGTTCACACATCGCAATATTTGCAGTTCTTCATAGTCTTGTCATAGTTAGCGACAGCCAGAAAAAAATATAGCATTTTCTGTACTTCAAATTGATAAGGTATAGGTTAAGATCTAATTTCAGATCAAAACCCTAAAACGAATTGTGTCCGGAAGTTTCTTCCCTATCTAATTTTCGAAATTTCCATATGAAATGGTAATGCATGTGACTAAATAACACATACACAATTTTGTAAAATGTTTGCATGTTGTTAATCTATCCATTCTCTACACTTTCCTTATTGCTCTTATATTCCCTGACAGTTCATTGAAACTTGCTATCAACAGTAATGCAATCTTCTTACAGAATGAATTTGAAAGAGAACTTCGCAAAGCAAAACGATAGCTTTGCAGATTTACTCATTTTTTTAAAAAAGTCTACCTTTTCAGTCACGTAGAGAAGAGAGGATGAATATGTATGTCGAAAGTCTTACCTTGAGAGATGTAAACACTATTATTTTATTCTGATCTTATACCTTACATAAGATTTTTCAGAGAAAGATAAGTGGCACTACTACATGTAGTAATCTCTAATGGCTAACCTTATAACAGAAACAAATTGTAAAAATAGTAACTAACGCAATTTCGTCATCTTCACTCGTCTCGGCCTCTTCGTTATCATTGAAATGAGGAAGTTTAAAGTTCATCGGTCTATTCACATCTCTCAAACCATCTAAAGTCGTAGTACCGTTCACTTTAGGCACCCGTAACTCTTTACTTGACCCACCACCTGCCATTCCTCTGAAATATTTTCCTTTTATTTACAAGCAGATATTACATTTTACTCATATAATTCGTGTTACGCTATTTCCTATCTCGCAAATACTGAAGATTATTTTATTATTATTAAGACATTCCATCATAATTTCATTCCCTACACTATTTTTGCAATTCGAGTATTAACCTAATAGCTAAGAAAAAGACAACCGGAATAAGCGAGGAGCTGTGTGCAAGTTCGTGGGAATGTAGTTATTCAAGCGTGCGATATTTCTGGAGGTGCTAGAAGATACGAATTATTAGGGATGGTTATGGTAATCTAGATGTTGCCATGGATTGTTCGTTTCATTCCTACTCTAATTACATGAACATAACATAAAAGAATGGGGGATTAGCAACTGACTAATGGGTTAACTGCCCTCAATGTGCAACTATTTTCGCTTCTGCAGTTAGTTCTTCCAGCATGTAATATCGCCAAAGTATTTGTTCATTTATTCACGAGTGCACTTCCCGTTCTTTTTAAATGCATTTTAGTCATGATCGGATATCCATTCAGTCCTGTAATGTTATTTATCATTCTTTAGAGCCTTCGTGCAGAACAGGTCATAAACAGTTGTACTGCTCATGTTGGTGATGTATTCTTTACTTCCGTCAAGTTAGTTCTCGAGGGTCGATTAACAGCATGGATTATCTCCACTCCAGGCGACAAATCTGCTTTAAATTCGGGTCGGCCAGGTTTCAGCTTCTTTGGATGAAGATCCAAGTTTTAGGTCATCTCCACTTGTTTCCCATGACTTCACATAATTCTTGTAAAATACATCTAGCTTTTCCACCAAAACCATCTTGAAAAATGAAAAAGAAATAGAGGTGGTGAGTAATATTAATGTAAAGACCGAAAGTGATGATGTAAGCAGTTTATAATACCGTTGCTGATTGCAAAGGCAGGCACATAAGTTGATAATTACCAATTGTATATCGAAAATGACGGGACATCGACCAATAATCGATCGAATATTGTGATGCCATTCGTCACTGCACCTGTAAGTTCTTTCTTTAGAGCATGCTTTGGATAGCAAGCATGTCTATTTTGCACAGATGATGTTTTCATTGCTTCGAAATTTGTTTGGGATATGGACTCTCTTTAAATAATTTCCACGGAGTATTACTTTCAAATAGCAAGAGTTGTCACGCATTGTGCAGTCGCACAATTAATATTTCTATTTTCAATGACGCACCGAATATTCAACTCTTTTTCAGATATCTTTTTGCTTGAAATTTATTACCACTGAAAAAGGAACTCTCATCGATGAAGTCATTGGGATAATAATTTCTACCCAATATAAATGAAAATACAGTGAAAAAAAATTACTCATTACTTTTGACTTTTTACAGTAAAAAATTACTCATTACTTCTATGATTTAAGTTTATAACTTAAGTTCACCATCTAATGCATTATTTATTCGCTTGTTGCATATATGTGCTTAATCTTCAATGAATACGGACTGAAAACTTTTCGAATATAGAAAGTTTGAATAAAAATGTATTATTGAGGGGACTGACTGAAAAGCAAATAATCATAGAGAGATAAATAGCAAGGAAATGAATCGGATATGAACTGTTAATAAAAAAAATGAGTAGCTTTGGAGTATAATTTTATTTTGTGTTCTTAAACAGTTTATGAATGGAGTGGAGAGACTAATTTTTACATCAAGGCTACTTATTGATCAATAGAAATTTGAAATGTTTTCAGAACCTTCATCACTCACAGATGCCAGCGGACAGACAAGTAGGCTAAGATATAAAAGGAATGTACCTTGTATTTTTGTAGCGTTAATATACTTAGTTATCAATCTTAGAAGGAATAATTTTACAGAACCGATCATAATTTATCGTTTGATTGATTTTATGTACCACAAAAAATCCGAAAAAGACATTTTGATCAGAAGAGTTAGTTACTTGGAACAAGGGTTAAGACATGAAAAGCTTTTTTTTTAATTAATAGCAAATGCATCATAAACTCCCTATATTGTTCTGTTATTGACAAAATTCACTATAGTTTTTGATTTGGACCCGTTATGTGCATGCTTTATAGCATCAGATGCTTTAGCAGTTACACTCAAGTTTGCTGACTCTGAAATATCCCAGTGCTATTTAGTAATGCAGCTTTTTATTGATAAGATTATGAATGAGAGAAACACTGGAATCGGGACAGTTATATTTATTAGTAGCAAAAGTGTTAACTGTTCATTTCACTAACTTGAATACAGAAACATTTTAAAAGTATTCCTTTTTTTCTTCCATCACTGTTTTCTGCTACTTTCTGATAACTATGCACTTAATGTTATCGATTCATCTTTTGTCTCTCATTACATATTGCCACTTTGGCTGCTTTTATTAATGGATATGTTCCCCGCTTACACACTCCCTGAAAAAAACTAAGTATTCAGTGCTGAAGCAACAAATAGAAGAATACGAAACGCTTAATATAATCTTACAAACAGGGAGTAACAAGCAATACTTTATAGTCATCAGATGCCAGGTCGTATATCATAATACCGGCAAGATTGTATGTTTTTATGTAGCTCGCCTTCGTAAACATCGTTATTGGATTTTCTAGCCCCAACCATTGCCGATCACCACCATGTATATATGCCGATCGTGTCTTCTCATCAAACACATATTTATAATTCTTTGTTTTCGTTAGATTGCACACCTCAAAAGAACTTTTCTAAGGGACAGAAGCATTATGAAAGAAAATGGGAACAAGAACTTTTATCGGAAGCAAGTGTTGCAGTGACCAATGATAGCTAACGTTCACTTTAAAGAGATGATATAATAGGGTATCGTCATAATTCATTTTTGGATATAACCTTCTGCGGTATCCTTTCAGCTAAATTAACCACATCTTTCATACAGCTTTTCTTGCAGTTAGTACTAACAATTTATCGAACTTTTCATTTTTTCAGTTCTAATTTAACAAGCTATTATTATTTGATATTAATTAACCGAGTGCTAAATCGTTCTTAGTTAGAGGCTTTTGTAACCGAACTTTATGAAATTCAATGTACACTTCATAGTCCAAAATGGATTTTGTGCAAGTATGAATAAATGAAAGTGTTATAATTAAAATTTTATATGAAAAATGCCTTGACAAATGGATAGGCAGCACCAATATTTGCATGTCCGACAGCTGGAGCGTAGAGGAAGTGAAAATATTTGTTAAGAAGTGTGTAGCCACGTCCGTAAGTGGGTATGCCGAATATGGTCTTGTTGGCCCAAAGACCCCTTTCGAGCCAATGCTGTGTCGAATAATCCTGAATACTAATCATTTTCATTTTGAGTACTCATTTTAAATCTCATGTCATAACTCTTCTATAATGAGATTAATTGCAAATTAACCGAATTCATTTTGCTGAGTATTCCAAATTCATACTGTTTAGAAAACAGTGGTGCATTAAAACCTGTGCAAGGTTCCAATTTAGAGTACATATGAAAGTCGTAATTCATGATTTGAACGTAGTCCAAATACCTGAAAGGAAAACCATACATATGTAAGGTTCCTGTTAGTTAAATCACTGTCGCGGATTTTAATATCGCGAATCTCTAAATTGCTATACGAGAGTTGAAAATACAAGTAAGAAATATAGTATATGAACTTTTGCAAGTAATGTTTATACCTTGAACTCTTTGTTTCCAATCTTATGTTTAGACTGTAAATCTTTTATATATCGCTTACACGCTATCAGCTCCTCATTTAATTGACCTCGGTGTAATGCCGCCACTAATTGTAAATTATCGTTGAATCAATGAGGTTAACAACTTTTGCTTAATTGATGCTTGTCAGCTAGTAATTAGAACTGCTTGTAAACCAGATCAACAGTTCTTTGTTAGACCGATTATTCTTTCGGTAGGGTTAACCACTTATTGTAAATCATATACTTTATATACGTATATTGCTTGCTATATAAGGAGACATTGTATGTATGTCCTTTTTGAGAGGGGACATTGTATGTGCTTTTTACCAAGAACGAGGAGAGTCAACTTCAATTCCCTATCAAGTCATTGTACTATTGCTTCTACTAGTAAGAAAATTATTATACTCCTCTCTTACTCCACATATTTACATCTATATCCAACGAGTCTCTCTCTCTAAGTAATAATTTAAACTTTCAAATCTTCCACAACAACTCCCACAATTCTTAAATTTAATTATTAATAGTCAAGATTAGCATTTTAAAGTTAGCCTGTGGAATTCCATCTACAGTGGTGCTATTATGTCATATTTGTAATGAAGTTGAACAAATAACAATCAGCTGGTAATCAAAGACTTCAAAAAGAAAAGACTATGAAAGAACAACTTGTTGAATGGATTAACATCATAAGCCTTATTAGCGATTGGAGCGGGTGCAGCCACTGCTGCACTTAACAGTAGATTGGGTTTCGCCTGATCGAAACTTTCCCGCAATTCCTAAAAAGACTGGGAAAATATTAATCGTTCTTATTGATTGAACTCTCAAAAAGGCACTTCCTCAAAAATAAAGGATTGCGATGATGCTGTTAAGATAATGCGCAAAGGACTTACTTTGATAAGGACAGACAGACCTTTTCTATCCGTGGGCTGTGCATCCCGACTCCATACTGGGAACTCCCAGTCAATGTCGAAACCGCTCAACTCGTTCGCAACCAAGTACCGTGTTACATTTTCTACCAGTTTTTTTCGTAGTTCACTGCTTTTTACCTGAAAACTAATTTTTTTCTTTACCTCGTTAACATTTGGAGACCTGAAATGAAGCAATCCATATAATATCAAAATACTATCCTTTTGAAGGCATTTGGGAAGAATAATATAGCCTGATATAATTTTTTGAGAAAAGACAACTGTAGTTTAAGCTCCAAAAAAATCTACTGCAGCATATAAAATGACTAGATAGTGCCAAAATAAAAAAGAAAATATTTCGGTAAAGAATGAGGAAAAACTGAAAGAAGAAAGAGAAAGAAGAGGGAGACTCCACAGAAATCAATATATATATTAAAGTAATTGATGCAGTCGAAATATCAAATTATCAAAAAATAAGACATGAAAGTTATGAAAGAGCAAACGTACGAGATGTGACATGCGACTGTTGACAGGTGTAAGAGTAATCAACAGCTTAGGAGATGGCCGTTGATCATACAACCACTCTCTTGTGGTAGCCAATGCGCTCCTATTAGGCAAGATGACATGGTGATGTTCATCGATTGTACAGGAGCCGATCAGGTTATAATGAGTGCATAAATTTTCTTCCAAATAGTTTAGAGATGGATTTTCCATCCTTTAAGTACTTATTAATAGTATTTAAGAAAATAGCTTCTAAGTGAATTTAAAATACACTGATTTCTTCTAAAAGTGGAAATTGAACTTCAGGTGGATTGTAACTGATAACCTTTTGCTGGAATAAATATCTTACATTAGAAAATGATAATGCGGCACTAATTTTCTAGAAACAAAGAAAAAAATTACTGGAAGTAGCAGCTTATAATTGGCTGACAATCTAGGACCAGAAATATATGCATGACACAAATGATCATTAATAATGAAACCATCTGAAATTCAATACTAATTTTCATAAAGATGTTATTTGACCAAATAAATCACGATCGATCCAACTTTCAGTGCAAAAAACTTAGGATTGTTGAAATAGGAGCCCCCTGTTATCATTATCGATGTTAGTTATGATCATTAATGTAATCATTGTAGTAATTTGAAAATAATGAAATAATTATCTCATTACTAGACAAACATGGAATAAGACATTTATTAAAATTTTGCAAGAGTTCCAATTGGACAAAAGATAGGAAGAGAGACAAACGAAGGGCTCTGATGCATCTGTGTCATTTGTTTATGTTCTGCAGTTACTAATAATGATTGCTGCACTCTTTAGATTGAGCTCCTGAAATCAGGTGTGCTTTGTGGAAGAATGTTAACTGTGCACACTAGGTCATTAAGAAATCCGCTGCATTAAATATTCTGGCATTAATATGTTATGCTTGTATTATGAACATGTATGCATAAACATAGCACAGTATTAATTGAGGGAATCTTCTAATTTGCTTTCTGAATAAACACTTCATGATCGTTTCGTTACCATCAATGATTAATGATGTGCTACGATTTTAAATTTAAGTAATTTCAATAAGTATGTGAAAATATAATTGTGGTTAAGAATAACTCATTAATTAGCTAGTGTTATACCATCTCTCAATTCTTTTGTGAAATTTGTTGAAATGTATTTAATAAAGTATTACTGCTAGTTATCACAATAACTTTTTAAATTTTAAAACTTTAAAAAGTTTGCATCATCTCTGAAATGTTTTTGTATCTCTGATTACGGTCCGAAAATGTTGCTAAAATCAAACAAATAATGATAGGAAAATTGTCTTCCACAACATTAACTAAATGAATTACTGTTTAAAATTTTAAATATTATCTTCTGCCTTATGATTTTCTAATAGACTGCAATTAACTAGTGATCTTTAAATATTCACTACAATTTTAATTTCTCAACAAGAAGTTTGCTGAACATTTGACATCAAGTAGCAGTTCTCACACTTTTCGCTCATCCTTTGTTTTTACTTTCAAGTCCACTTATATTACTTCCTAACATATGAAGTGTAATAATGGAAATTAATTATGAAAGTTATATGCTAAAACCTGCTATTATTTGTAAAAAAAACAGAAAAAGACGCTGAAAAAATTTTCGTTATATCAGTCAAAGAAAGCAAAAAATACAATACTTGTTATCAACCAAAGACAAGCTCCAATAACATATGTGGCTCATATGTGCCTAAAATTGGAGAGTAAAATCATCCGATAATTTTCTTCATTGTAATATGAAAGCCTAATTATAATATGAAAAACAATTTATGTCCAAATTAAATAATTTTCATGAGTTATCAAGTTTTTTCTCCAAAAATTAAAAAAGAATAATTTAGTTAACTAATCTAAATTTAAGGATATGAAAAGAGAAGGAAGAAAGAGTTATACGAAATAATTAGTTTTTTTTTTATGACTGTGATATTTATATTTCAATAATTTTAATAGTGTCACAATTAAAGGCTGTATTTGTTTATATTCTAAGCATATTCATTGTACCTTATTATCACTACACTTCTCATTATTTAAATTATGCAACAAATCATGTCATATTCCTCAAAAATCTTCACTCTTTGTATTGCACAAACATGAATTAAAATATAACATCTAAGTAATATAATAGAATATAACACTGTAATATATATTTCAATCTATGCTATTCGTAAAGCAAATCATTTCATACTTAACACGTTTACTAGTACAACGATCAGCTTTCGATGTTAGTACAAAATAGACAAAAAATCTTGTTGCAAGACTACAACGCTGCAACAGTGTAAGAAACACTGCGACGATTTATAGTGTGAGTGCAATTTCAGATTAGATTTTCCTACGGGTGTCGTGAGACGGGTACGGATGAGTATTTATCCGTTCTGGTATTTCATTTTTGATAGTGATTAGTCAGTGATATGCATACATTTAAAGCTCTAAGGTAATCGGAGGTTACCTGAATATGTGCTAGGTACATAATATCATGATGGTGTATCATTGTTACTTTGTAATACTATTGTACAGCTTATATTGCTCTGTACAATATTATTTAATTGACCAGAGCGCACATCCTTCTGTGAGTGACCAAAAAGTACATATTGTTACCGTTTTATGCTCCTTCGTATTTGAATACTTTTATCCTGCCTTATCTTGTAATTTTTTTATCTCTTCCGACTTTCTACCTGTTGTATCCACATTATTTATTGTCCGCGAAAAAATTTCTCATTGATTAATTATAAATGAAAGGAGTAATATTCTCATGCCAATTAACTTAATTTGCATGAGATAGTAAGTGAAATAGTATAAATGATTTGAACTTGTCCGAAAATGAAGTACTTTTTTCCACTAAACTGATTGTAGATGGAAGATGATAATGCTACTGACATTTATAAATGGATGTTCTATACTAAGGATGAAGATAATTTCTATGATGAAATGGAAATGGAAAGTAATGGGACGCTGAAAAAAGTTGAGGTTAGTCCTAATCTTAGGATGGTACTGTGATACAGGAAAATATTGTGTGTAGAAGTGGGAGAGCGAGAGAGAGATAGAAAATACCTCCTAGATTTACAACAATTATTTTCTGGAGTCTTAATATTTTCCAAAATTAATGTATGAAATCAACTGAAAATGGTATGAAAAGCATCCTTCTTGAAAGATGCCCTTTTAATGAATTAATCAAAAAATCTCTGCGTGTCTGGATATTCTGGACATTTGTCCTTCTGCCCTATCTTGTGACCTTTCTATCTCTCTCAACTGTAGGTCTGTTATGTCTACATAATTGTTTCCATTATCCTTCACTATAGTAATCAACTACAATTCTATGCAATGAATATGTTAGCAATTTATGTTTTTTTGTTTACATAATTGAACCATTTTTTAGCTAAAGATTCGCAGCAATGTGTTGGGCGTGCGCTATTGCAAAGAAGAGCCTATTGAACCAATGGTTATTGTGTTAGAAAAAATATGCTTGAAAACACTTCCGGATACGGATGGGAAATTTCCATTCATGCTAAGTTTTGACTCTGGATCAATGATATTTTTCTCAAAGAGCGAAGAGCAGCGTGAGGAATGGATGGTAAAGGTAAAACAAATTACTGTCATATGAAATTAGGGAGATAGGCGGTTTATTTATGGAGAAAAACGAATAAAAGGGAAAATAGAGGCTCGCCAAGTAACTTCTGTATTTTTTTTTGGTTTGAGATTTTTTTTTGGACTAGTGATTGTTTTTACTACGAGCCAGTAACGACTTTTTAGTGAAGTGAAAAAATGTTAAAAGAAATGAAGTAATTTATCTTAGATATCAACTTGTTCGCATAGAATGGCTCAGGCGGAGCTTGATGAAATAGCTGATAATTTTTTTAATACTTGCACCGTTAGTGCTTTTGCTCCTCTTGCAACCAACTCGATGAATTCCTTTTATTTGACAAATCCCGTGAGGAAGACTTACAAATTTTCTATATCTCAAGTATGTTATTTCCTTCTACTACTTATTATTTTATCGTAACCTTTATTCTTGACATACGGTTCGTTATCAGTTGATGCACTGCACTGAATGATCGAAAAGTTATTTGCTTTGATGATTTTTTTTTATCGTTGCATTTAACTTTTTCCATTCTCAGCTGATTTCATTTTCACTAGTGTAATATGCGTAATGGTTAGCACAACAATGAAAACTGTTCAGAATGTTAGTTTGCATTCTCGAAAGATCGTATGCGAAGAAGTTATGTGGGAGAGCAAGCTGTGCACAACATTACCTATACAGATGGTTAAATTATATCTAAAATGGTGTAATGAAATGAGTGAACAGTTGAAGAGCCGTTTGTGGTGTGTACCTAATGAGTATGTGGACCCAATTCACGATTGTCTTAGGTAAACTTTTATTACTTTTTTTATAGAGTTGTTCTACTTTTACCTTCGTTTTGGAATGTTGCAGGTCTCATATATATCGCTTATAGGCATTTGTCCGCCAATCAAGAGATCTTCATGGACTCGTTGGAATTCCTTGAATCCTACGCGGGTCCTTCCTTTCGTTCCTCCATGGAGAAGTTCCGTGTTGCCTTCGCATCCGTACCTACTAATTTGCATCTGCAACAGTTTTTCATTGAGGGACATTCCTATAGTTACCTTACCGTTGGCACTGCCAGTGCTATTCCTCTTCGTTTCGCGGTAAGAATTACTGAAATTATAAGAGCTCCTTGAAACCATTATTGTGCTTTTAGTTGTGTTTTTTTTTTTTTTTTTTTTTTTTTTTTTTTAGCACGGTGGTTTAACAAAACAGCGTGTCTCTCTCTGTAGTTCGGTGAACAATCCAAAACAAATCGATCATATTCTTGATTGTCGATTTTATCACAGACGTCGCATTTTACAAGCTGCGAAATATAAGATTGGTGAACTGTCAAGAAAAATCGAAACTGACTGGCATATTGCAGACTTTGGTAAAGTAGATAAAACTGGTATACAGTTACTGGCCGAGATAAAGCAAGTGCGTGTTCTTGATATGAAACAGAAAAACATATTATACTGACTAATGATTTTTATCGCCTTAGTGCTTATAATATTATTCTTTAAAAAAATAAAATGTTAAAAAAAAAAAAAAAAAAAAAACATTATTCTTTCAGCTCCACGAAAATTTGATTGATTTAATTAGCTCTTTCCCAATAGTGTCTACATTAATCGATTATCTCTTGCATTGGTCGAAAACTCAGAGTTCCATGACACGATTATGTTTGGAAAAGGTTTTGTTTGATTCTACAGCATTGTGTAATGTCTACAACATATATAGGGGCCAACAGCAGTATCGGCTGCCGTATAATAAGGAATGGTGGAGTCTAAGGAATACTAAGCTTCGTTTCACATTTATTACTTTGTAGGTGATGTACTCAAAAAATTGAAAAGTTCCTTATTTGAACTCTACAATGAGTATGACTCAAACAGAAGATGATTCCGGCAACTTCCAGTGAAGTGCAACTAGTAGAAGTCAAGTCAGTTCTGTGAGGCTCAGTGCTGTTGGGCTTCTTTATTTATTGCTAGCCATTTAAAATTTTTTTCAGAGAAAATTTGCTGTTTTTACATCTTGCGACAAGTAATGTTGTAAGCTTAGGCTTGATTTTAGCGCAAAATATCGTAAACTGCTTAGTACTGCTCCAGGAAAAACATGTTATAACAGACAGTTTGGACAGCCAGCTCGATACCATAGAAGCTTTTTTGATCAGCTTGAATACCAAAATGGCAGTTATCGATTCTGTACCAAATAATGAAGTAATTTCTTCGATAATTGAGACTAATTGTTTTTTTGAAAATTTTGAGACAGTTATTATTGCTGTCAGATTTTCTGACAGCTATTTTATAATTGATTCAGTTACAATTTAAGACAACTCAGACTAAAATATTTTGCAGGATTCCAGGAAAGAGTACGTGAAAAATGCAAGACACACTTTTAATTCTGTTCTTGACGCAATGCTACAATTGACGGAAAATCTTCTTGATGCTCAACTTTTAGGTGCTTGCTTATATTGTTTATGGTGTTATTAATTAGATATAGTAAATATGTTTGGTGAAATATTTATGTTTATAGGCTTGGTTTTGGCTCTAAAAAAGTCCAACGACTGCCAGCTCTACTTTCATATCCAATTAAGAAGCGATTTGGTGTTGTCTCAAGCAATTACCATAGTGACAACTGGGTTACTAGCTCTTTTGGAGCAGGAATTAACTGAACTGCCGGACTGGTCCATTATTTCACCACTTGTCACTGTAAATATTTTAACTTTTATTTTTCAGAAGTGAAGCATAGCCTTCTCTGAGCTTTCTCTAATTGACCATTTTTTCCTTTTCTTTTCAGGTGTTTTCCTTTCTCTCTTGCTACGGAGACGAGCGAGGCATGATGGAAGATGCGGGAGAATGTTGGGCATCCTTACAGGACCGAGTTTTATTCAAATTTCTTCATTCTACCTCATCCGTTGCATCAGTTTGCGTTCCAACGGTTAGTGGCGATCGCTCAAAACTTATCGTTCAGGTGCCTTTGCCACACAGTATATACCAGGTCTTTTTTTACTAAAAATTTATCTTATACATATTTTTATATGCTGCATTTTTGTAATTTATAAGTCAAATTTTCAGCAAGCTTTTTTTTATTTCTGTCATCCGTATGACATTCTCCAGGGTTTGTCAGAATCTCTTCGATCAGGCTCTACATTCAGTGTGAATGCGGTGTTCTGGAATCTAGGGATCAATCATGAAGCTACATTCTCCCAATCAATCGCTGGCGATAGCTCGTTGGAGCAGTCTATAAATCTCGCTGCTGCTAAAGCGTTGGTCTCCTATACTTCGTCTCTGAAGAACATATCGCACACTGCTGAAGAACTTGTTGCCGAACTTACCACCACTGTAAAACTATTCTTCCAATATTTGATTTCTATATTGCACCTCCAGGTTATGCTATAAATTTTCTTCGCTGTTGTAACCTCTTTATATATCTTGGGCTTGTCAATTATAGGTAGAGGCAAATCCGAGCAACAAGAATATATCGATCTTCCGACTAGTGATGGCTGCAAACGCTGCGCTTCATGGAATTGCAGTACTCTGTTGCAAAAGTGGCAAGGACCGTACATCGATGGCCATTACTTACGAAGAAGGGCGAATCATACGTGAGAACTGTGGAGTAACTGCTGAACAGGTGATTATGTTTGTTGTTATTTAAGAACATTAGTGCAAATTTCATTCTGCCCTAATTTTGTAAGCTCACTGTTATAAAATCCTTTACTGTCATATTGATTGAAGTCGTTTTCTATGTACGTGAAGATAAATATGGTTTTGCCTTTTCAGATGGGAGAAATGATTGTTTGTCTGCGTCGAGAAGGTGTACGACGTGAAAATTGTCGTAAAAATATTGGAAGAGCATTGTATTCATTCTCACCTTTCCAAATGCACTTCATTCCCAAAGAGTTTCGGCCTCCCTCGGGCACCTTTGCTCAGGGAATCAGCAGCTAACCCATCATCTATTTTCTTATTTGTATATTCCTTTATCATACTATTATTACCATCTTGACTTGACTAGAAACTAACAGCTGGAGATACTTAGTTTCTTTTGTTTACCATATACATCATGAATTGTTCTGCCCTTTACTGTTAAAATTTGAGTTCTAACATATGTTGTTGGACTGTTTGATGTGCTTTTTTTTTTTTTTTTTTTTTTTTTTTTTTTTTTTTTTTTTTAAATTATTCAGCTATATGAGCAAATGAGCGTGGGAGAAATCAGTTGCTTCGGAGCAAAAAAGGATATGTTCCTTGTAAGTTCTTATTGGTTTTTGAGTTCGAGTATTAAGATTTCGCGATCCAAACCTAGTGGGCTTAAATATTTTATTTGGCATTCAGCCTCTTGGTCGTGGTATCGTAATGGTTCATTAGCAATATTGTCAACCCATAGTCCTCTGCCTATCCTGCCGTATGAATAAAGGGAATTAAAGCCAAATTTATGATTAGGGTACTTTGAGATTTACTTGCTTTCAGGTCATCTATACATGCTTTATTTTTCACATCGTGGCAGCTTTTTCACTTGATTTTCTTTTCTTTTTTTCTTCGTTTTTATTCACTGCAATTTTGATTTGTTAGACTTTAATGCAGGTCAATAAAGATACCCGTTCAAAAGCATTGTATTTAAATAATGCACAATAATTTCAAAATGCTATTAAAACTGAGATGCCCATTCGGTTTTAACCTGCTATGGTGTGTTGTTGTGATATTCATATGTTTCAGTGTGTTTAGTGTTAGTTAAAGCGAGCGTCCGACTCAAATTGCTAACATTTATATATTCCAAAAGTAACTTTCGGGAAGTTGAACGAGTACGTTGAAATTCGTGACAATTTCTTTCACACTAATGGGATTAATTCTGCATCTCTGATCTTACTCGATTTTTTAAATTTGGACAATTAAATCTTTATTCGGATAAAGTGGTTAACAACTGAAATTTCAATAAACAAACTTAATGATGGTATCAATAATAGAAAAAGAAGTGTAAATCACGCCCTGTATTCCAACCGATAGGCCTAATTCAAATAATTACATAAAAGAATCTGTGCTTAGTCCGCTTTACCAAGTGCGAGGGCACAAGAATTAGCATCTTTATGCGGCGCATATTGCTGTGGCGCTTTCTGTTAGCGTCTATCTTTAAACAGGAAGAATTGCTATTCCCTTGTTTTCGTGAGCGACAGTTTATAATAACGAAATGATAAATCAGTTGCTGTACTCAAAGTTATATTCCACTCCGTTTTTTCTCTCCTTCCTCAATAATGGAAGAAAGTAATATGCTGTTGGTTCAGTAATCTTACATGTCTGCGGGAAGGAAATAATCTTGTCATCCGATTGATTTATATAGACAATGATATAATGTGGTGAGAATTATTGCTAGAGACTAGATTTTATTAATTAACTTCCCGTTGTATTTTTTATTTTAACTAATAAATTATATATGTATAATAAGTAGAACTAATCTTTATATATACATGGCTTTTCAGCAAATAGACTTTCGTTAATGTGCTAGACCTAAAATCTGCTGCCTTGACAGATTTGAAAAACCATCTATGAGAAAAGCTTATCTTCAAATGTTGGAGAATTATCTACGGAACGTTTAAATATTTTTATTAATTTGAGGGCAAATTTAGGAAGAAATGAGTTTGAAGCTCACAGGATAAATCAGTCAAGGCCTCAAGGAGGACTCAGTGCGTCATGAAAGTCTCCGTCAACTAGGAAACAGTTGGCATTGTCCGTAATCCTCGGGGTATGAGTACAAACCGAAGTGAAGCGGCAACGTGAGATGAAGCGGAAATGTAAGGAAGAATAGTTCGTAATCCACCTTCTCGAATAGCAGCAACGTGAAGAAGTGGTAAGACGCACCCAGTACCGGCATTTCCATTCCTCAATGAAAAATTTTTAATGTCTCAATGAGAAAAACTTTTAATTTAATGTGATTTTAATATGATACTAAGAGTGCCCAATACGATCCTAAAACACAAAAACGAGCAATTTTGCGGAATAGCATTGTTTTATTCTGACTTACAGTGAATGTTTGGAAATATTGGTACTTGGACATTTTAGATATCTGCCAGCACCTGCATATTTTAAATCGTTAGTTTTTGACACATTGCGATACCTTTTTTTGTAAGTGACGCTATTCTAGTACTTTATACTTTCTCAATCATGAGGAAAAATCGCACAGTTATAACTTGTCTTGAAAGGGTCCGTCTGTTTTTTCTATGTCTACTATGTTGAATACAGCCGTCATAGATTCATTTGTCGTTCGTTACATGTTATTCACTGACATTTGTTCCACAACATCATCCTGTGACTGCAACAATTGTTGGTGAAGCTGGAAAATATAATTGGTCGCATGTAGGAATGTGAGCAAGGTCAAATTGAGTAGATAGTTTTAAAAAGGTGGACGGGTTGATAGCATAAGTATGTGCAGTAGATACGCCTCGAATCATACGTAAACAAGTAGTGTTGACCAATTGTAAAAACACACTGGAGTTCAAGCAAAAAACAAAGTGCGAGATGTATAACATGTCTAGTCAGCAAAACAAGGCCAACAGGAAGCCGATATGGAGGTACATTCATCCCTAGAACAGAAACAGTTTTTGAAGAATTTAAAAGGAATGAGTCAACATATTGAAGTTGGTTTTTTAGTTTGTTGGGATGAATTCAGTTCGGTAGTTCATTAAGAACAACAGTTCCACAGTGGATCGGTAGTGATAAGAAAGTATGATAACTTAGTGAAAATTCAATGGATTGTTGGTATCCTTTAATATTGTTATTATAAACATGTTTCCTATTATAAACATGATATTGCACGATATCGTACAGAACCAATAAAGTTATTATCGACATTGTAGAGTTTTGTAGAGTTACAACAACAAGAGTATCCCATTAAACAGTCTCCCTAATTGACCTCAGATGTTCAGAAGTTTTTTTTTACTATTTCTTCGAGGACAATATAAGTGGAAATTTCTAAAAAAAAAAGAAAAAAAAAGTTACGACTGTAGTACCGCTTACCGTTAAAGTGAGCTTAATAGCTGCAGAAAAAAAAAATTCTACTTTCTAGTTTTGTTTGCAAGGAGTACTGTCATCACTATTAACAACAGCATACTTTTTTCCTGGGTATAAAATAAATGGCAAGTTGCTAACTTCCTAACAAAATGGGCAGTTCTAAGTTCTTATTACTGATTGGTTTCTCCTATAAAAATTGTTAAAAGATATTAAATTTCCGTTCGACCTTGTTACTATTCACTTGTTTGCAAATTTCGAAATTTTAAGCTTTCAAAATTTCAAACAGTTGAACACAAAAACCTCTGAAAGGCTCAATTCATATTATATTTGGCAGCAAAGATGAAAAAGAACGATTCTTTCTAATTGATTTCACGAACGGATGAGCCAAAAGTTTTGATACAGACCACCTGGAAAACATCATTTACAAACATGATTATTATATATTTTGGAAGGACCACAATTTCTTTATTTCCTCCAAATTAAATAATTATTATGATAATCTGGCAAATTATCTTGTAATTAAAAATTGACTTTTACCCATCTTAATTCATATTCTTCAAAACAAAAACACCTGTTTTCTGGTAATGGTTTGAGGCAGTTGTCCGTTATAACATGTAGTGATTCACTAAAACGCCGTCGCTGTCGATATTGCTGATCACGCTGCATATCCTCTAAAAACAATAAGATCTTTTTATAGTATACTGCAGTATTTTGTAGTATGCGAAGTTATACCAGCATACAAAAAACTAAAAGTTGATAAAAGATCTAAAAAGCCTACGTTTATCTGGAAGAGTTGTGCAATCCAGTAATCGTGGCGTAGTTCCTTTACTTTTTTCGAACAGCATCTAAAAATACTCTTATATATTAAAAAAATGAACTGAGAAAATACATACAAGAAGGAGGCAATCGAACAGCCAAGAACTATGTTTCTATGGAAGTTTAACAAAAGAACTACCTGTAATCGATTCATATCCGAGAAGGGTGGAAAACCATTGGCCATTTCGCATATCGTTATACCAATGCTATATACATCAGATGATAATCCATAACCATACAAATCCTAATCGATTTAATTTAGATTTAGAAAAAAATTTAATTTAGATTTTATTTAATTTAGAAGACAAGCAAAAGCGGAGTCGAAAAGATCCTAACATTTTGTATTTTTTCAAAGCAATGTATAGAAATAAATCAGATGTCCATACATTTGTTTACCTCTGTGAAACAAAAACTTTTCAAGAAAAGAAATCGTACTTTGAAAGTTCAGAGAGCTAATCAATGCACATATTTTGAGTGCATTACACATCTTACAATATGGAGGAAACTCTTTCTTTGCATGCTTTCTACATGGCTTAATAATATTTCATATTATTAAGCTATGTAGAAATATTATTATGAAATATATTTGACAAAACACTTTAGGAAAACTAAGTTACAAGTTCAAAACTATTCTGGGGATCTTTAACTAAACTATATTGCATGAAATTTGCTATTTAAAATTTAGCAGTTTTTCCTTACAAATCTTTATCCTACAGTTTGTTACCACTGAGCTAACAAACCTGTCTCAATATTTCAGGTGCCAACCACAGCAACTCATCGGAAATTTCCGCATCAAAGTTATGTAAAACATTATCGGTACCAGTTAGCTCATTACGCTGCAAAAATACACAATGGCGAAATCCAGTTAATTTCACCGCGCCCGTTGAATGCAGCAAAATATGACTGCATCGTATAGACCTAAAATTTACATTACTTTCATAGTTTAAGTACAAAACTTCTTCGGTGGCCAAAAACTTCGGCTTGCAAACTTGAATTGAAAATTAGAAACAAAACCATATGGAAGTTTTCCTTCTTTCAATACCTATTATGACCTCTTCCTAAACTTCATTAAATGGCATCTTCTCTAAACAGCAGTTAGTCTAAAATAAAAACTAATCTATGGACAATTTTCTGATCATGCAAGTACTGCACGGCTAGCAGGACATTTTTAAGGACTTGAGCAATTGCTTTTTCAGGCAGACCACATGGATAGTGATTGTGCACCACATTTAAAACTGAACCTGAAAATGTAGTGAAAATATGAAGGCAAGAACAGTGAGTTAATCGAAAGAATGCGAAATTTTATAAGTTTACAACACTTGTTAATGCTTATCAACGAAGAAAAAAAACATGTACTTCTTTCTAAATTTATTCTAATCAAAGTAAGATCCGTAATATGAGAGTACCCATCTTCCCAGTGAGCCTTTGTATTTATCTGTATCAATAACAGAAAATAAAAACTAAAATTGTAATTGTTCTCAAAAAACAAACAGAGATCGCAATAGATTGAGAAGACATAAACGTCACTTCCCACAGAAATTATCTGATTAACTGAAATAATACACGGATGAGACAACCATTTCAAAAACCATACTTCTTCCTGGAACAAATATAACTAAATGAAGAAAGATATTCCATAAAGAATACGTACAAATTAACAGCAAATTAATTTATAATCTTAATCATAGGAAAAAATCGCATACTGCAAGCTTTAATTGATTTCAATTTTAATAATGCAGAAGCTTCAAATGTTTCTTTTCAATTCTTAAAGATTTAAGATTTATACCAATTTTTCTGAACACAACAGACAACAACCTTTATCTTATCATAATCCATCTTTTCGGTGGGCAATATCCGTAGAGCGGCGAGACTTTCATCTGCTAATCGTTTTACAAGCAAAACATCGCTTAATCCAGAACATGCTTTACCTTGGAAACAAAAATAATTCAGATTTCTTTCCAAAAATCGAGAATATTATTTAAAAGTTTAACAGTATAAAAACGAAAAAGAATCAATCCGTACATGTCATTAACATCTTTCACAAATCATTACCTAGTGTTCCGCATATAGTAAAATCGGGCAATGAAGACATCATATCAAAATGCTATCTTTTGGCCGTCTTTTAAAACATTAAATTATACTGAAAAAATAAATCTTACATCTGATTAATTAAATGTACAACGACCCAACCATAAAATTCTGCCATTTCCACCTCAACCTTAAGAAATTATCCTCATTTACAATGCATCACCATTATTCTAACATTAATAGAACAAGCTGAATTAATTTTTAATTCTATGTTTTATACCATTTCACAGCGATAATTCGCAATGGTAGATATTAAACTAATTCAGTCATTCTATCCTTTCTAAAAAATTCAGTGAGTTAGATCAACAATCAACAGGAAGTAATACGATCTAGACGACTGGATCAAAGCACAATGATCTACGTACAAATAGCATTTTAAAAAATGTAATCAACATTTATTTCATCTCCAGATCAAATAAAAAAGCAGTGGAATTTCAGGCAAAATATTTAATACGAAAACAGAACAACAATAAAATGCGAGTCGTTTTAAATCCCAAAAAATGCCATCAGATTTCAGATTAACAAACATTAGGAACGTTTAAAGAGATTGAAAATCATAATCCAGAACCTGCTTTACTGGTAGTCATGATAATTTTGTAGATAGAATAAATGGAAATTGGACTGCATGACACAATCGAACAATCTACAACAAGGTCGTTGAAGGCATAAGATAAAGGCTCTTTCCAATAAATGAAAGACATCTTGCAACAAAACTATTTTGAGTCCCTAATACAAAAGTTTAAAATGTTCGGCACAAATATGCTAATTAAATCACTGAAATTAAAAAACTCTTGAGTCTTTATTCTATACAGGTTGAAATATTTTTTCATTCAAAGAAATTTTATGTAAAGATGTTTTCAATAATCGAGCAACAGTAATACAACCTGCATAACTTTGAGTAGGTAAGATGTTTTATAACATACATGGTGAGTATAATACCATCTGTTACTACCTTGATCATTATTATTATTAAATACGCCATTTAGTTCCTCGGCTTTACTAGTAATTTTCACTTTTATTAATATTTATTGAAATCATTACTGAGCTCCCAGTTAAACTTTGTGAAATCAGTTCTGAAGCTTACACACACCTTCGCTGAAGAGCGCTTTTAAGTAGGCTCTCAATTTTATTATTAACTCCTCCCTCGCAGACTGAAATGCAGTTTTACAAAAGATATATTAACAAGATGGTTATTTAATTGTTTTGTCAAAATAATTCAAAACAATTGAAATACAATAACATGAAAAAAAGGACACTAAGCGTCTACTAAGGAATGCATAATTCTGTACTTTCCAAACTCATCTTTTCTCATTACCTTCCAAAACTCACTTAAAGCCAACTTTTGAGTTGAAGTATGAGGCAGACATTTGTTACATTAGATATTAGAAAGCACTTATTAAAAGGAAAAATAAAATATGATACTATTCTTCAATCTTGTACAACTGGGAAAGGAGAGAACATACTGTTGTTACTGTCGTTGATACGCATACTACTTTAATTGAATTGTTTTTGGAATAAAAAGGAATTTGGAATACGATGAGGGGAAAACTGTTAAATTGATGACTACGAATTTCTTAAATCTATGTCAATCAATTAAATTAATAAAAAATCTGGAACATCAATAGACAAATTAATCATATTCCTGGAAATATAAAAAAAAAAAAACTAGTTAAAGAGTTCAGGAAAAAGTATTAAAGAAGCAATCTACAATGGAATATCAGGTAATTGGAGCAATGTTGGTTCTTATTATTTATCTTCGCACAAAACTGACTTTATTATAGTGCACGATACGTAACTAGAAAATGTCTCCAAATTTACTGAGGAACAGCAAGTATTTTACTCCAACTGACAAGCAGACTATTTCCATTTATCAACATTGGGTAAATGTAACATACAGTTTTCCATTCACAAAGTAAACAATCTTTGCAAATAATCGTTAGTACTACCATCGGCATCAATGCTCTCACTGTGATGCAATTCCCATATATCTGAAGTAAAAAGTATGAAACTTGTTTTCAAACAACTCTGAAAACATTTAACTGCAATTCAAATGTTATTTGCCTATTATATTTCACTACAAAATGGCCCCTAGAATTACAAAAAGTAAAAGCGAATATATGTTGGCAAATCATCATCAGGACTTTACAAACGGACCATAAATATAACCTAATTTAAATTATTCAAGTTTTAACTTCATCCCGATCTCTCTAGTTTTTCTACGATACAGTGTCTTTATAAAAAAATTTATTTCTATATTTCCTACTTTGGAATAACTAACTGCTTTCCATTCACTCCATTATCTTCTGATACATAAATATCTTGAACACAAGAATCAATATCACCTGAAAGAAAAAATTACTTTGTCTTGAAATCAATTTTTTTTTTTAAAATTGTGTTTTTAATGAAGAAGAATTTAAAAAGTGTCATATAATAATAAGTCGATTCGAACAATAAGCCGACCCGAACATCTGAAAAAAAAAAAACATTTTATTCCCACAAGCTATATCACACTAACGTATAAAATATAATATAAGAGGACTTTAAACTACATCATTTTTCATCAAGCTAAAATTATCTGTGAAAATCTTCCTCTGAACACTTTAAGGTAAATTCGTAAGTTTCATCGGTGTTTTACAATGTATTGGGCAAAGTTCATCATTCAAACAATTATTGAAAATACATCTTTCTTAGTTTCAAAAAAAAAGTTTTTTTTTTTTGCTTTACAAAATGTCAACATTTAAAACCTTAATATCTTTGAAAAGTTCCAAATTACAGGCCATAAACATTAAAAAGAATAATATCTTCCTGAAATCTGACCAGATCTAATCGGAGATATTTGTGAGAATGATGAAGGTACTGAAAAAACTGGTGTCATATCAATAGAAACAGGGACTCCAACTTGTACCGGTGTGGCTACTGGGAATAAAGGTGGAGAAAGGAAATGATTAACTGCTTGCATCATCAGCAGTACTAAGGGGGTCGTTGGTGTTGAAAGAGGCTGTGCTACTGGTGCCAAATTTCGAACTAGATTCACTGGAAGATAAAAAAATAAACACCTCGTAAAAACTCAGAGAAAGTGAATAGCAGCTTTACAGTGAAAGGTGAAAAAGAATGCCCATGCTTCAAGAACATCCAAGAAGAAAGAAACTTCTTCTATTCATTTCAGTTTTTAATCAACAAACGAAATCATCAATTTGTACATATATATTTGCTTATTCGTTTGTTTGCCTAGTTAGCACACATTTACGGTACAACACGAGACTGAGAATAGTAAATAAGCTTGCAAGCAGAATTCCATAATTTTACATTACCGGATGATTTCGCTACTTCAACAAAACCGTTGCTTCTAACAACTGATGGTAGGTTAAGTGAAGTATTCGTTGAAAATAGTGGGAATTCTGTCAAATGAGATTGTGGACAGTTGCGGGAGATACAGCAGGCAATGGCTCAATAAAAACAGGTGGAGGATGTGATAGTATTTGCGGTATGAAAGTACGAAATTTATTTTTCGCAAGTACACATGTAGATTTTACACCAGCAGACAAATACTACCAGTTGCCGTGCCTATCGGATTTGGAAAGTTCCTATAAAACAAGGAACTTGGCTAAATGTTTTTTTTTATTATTAAAGTGATTCAGACAGTAATTAAATTACCGTGAAAACTATGTTTTATAACTGTGGTCTCCTTGATGACACACACTGGGACATTTAGTTGCAGGAATGAATCTAGCTATGCTTCTGAAAGTGTAGCAAATTTAATATAACAAAAAATTCTAATAAACATTGAAATATTGATAAAGATTGTTTTTGTGCTTCAAGGAGCTGTTTATACTTTTTCAACATCCGAAATAATCTGACTAAACAGAAAAAAATTTAACACCACCTCATCCGTGTGAATTTTACATATGTTTTTATTATAAATAACAACGAATCGAATAAATGTACTGCCAATGTCCAATCTGGTAATTCTGAAACAAAACCATAAAATGCCTTTAAAAGCATGATGTTGAAGATAAAATTTGTAGTACGATGTCCTTATTCAATTAAATTTCTTAAATATTTGATCAAGCATAAGGAAAAGTCTCTTACCACTAAAACTAGAATCTTAATACAAGTTTTAGAACAAAATACTGCTTAACATGAAGTGTTTTGTAAATAGAAACGCAATAACATATAGTAAAATGTACATTACAAAGCTGTCATTTTGATTAGTATGAAAATAACTGCTCTAAATATGTCATTTTGATTAGTATTTTGATTAGCATGAAAATGATTGTTCTACATAACCTATCTACAAAAAAAAGGGAAGGAAAAACAAAACTTAGTTATGCCTGTTACATTTTCAACACTTGATATGCTTACTTTTTTATCTTATTCTGAAATTTACCATTTAAATAATCAAAATTAGCAAAGCGTTCGAAATGCTCGAATGCTGGAATAAGCATATCTCGCCCAGAACACTGTTCTATTGCTGTTTTCAAGTCTCTGACTTGTTGTTCGAAATCTTGAGTTGAGTGGAGCTTGAAAACAACGAAATGAATCTAGCTTAAGAAAAAAATAAATTTAGCTTTAGTTTCAGATAGGGATGGAGAGTTATTTGGTTAATCTCTTGGCACCGCAATTCATTGTTGAAATAAAAAAGCTATCAATGTCAATATGCTTTATAAAATAATTGGAAAAATTCCTAAATACGAAACCAGAAATTTCACTAGTATTGATTAAAAGAACAGCTATCGCAATCTAAATATTTTTGAAACTTAAAATAACTTGCTTTGTCTATAATGCTTTGCATATGAGATCTATGATGCTGATCACCATACAGTAAAGCCGACCAATGATCTGGAGATATACGCAAACCTTGCTGAAAAGCTACTTGTACGATTTGTGCATCATGCTCACGACGCAGTGCGTCATAATCACGAAACTGTGTTTTCAATTGCATCAATGACGATTCACCTTCACGTTTTAATACCTATAAAAGTAGTTAATTCACTGTAGAAAACTTATTGCAACACATGTTCTTAAAAACAGAAATAAACTGTTAAATAGAAAGAGTACACCGAATAAACATCTATAAGCTGCTTCTTCAAGCTTTGAATGACCTTGCCACAAGAAACTGCAACATGTTAAATGCCAAATAAAAAACCAATTTTAATGAGTTTAAAAAAATCAGTAATTAAGCATACACATGCATGAATTGTTTATAAGTAACCTACATGAAAGCAACCAGCTCGATAAAGCAACTGTACAACATGACCAACACACGTTTTCGAAGCTTGCGGATAATCAACCCGCAGTGTCTGCACAATATATAACACCAAAGTTTTACGAGATATCAATGCACCGTCCGAAAGTATCAATAAAATAAGCTTCAGAATTTCTTCTTGCATAGCTGCTCAAAATGGTCTTGTGGGTAAAAACAGTATGATAAAAAGAAAAATTATTCATAAAATTGCTAAAAATAAAATCTTGTGAACAAAGACAGTACGATAAAAAGAAAAATTGTTTTAAAAATCTTTCAAATCACCAATCAATTCCGATCTGAAGTTTCAAGTTAACCTCCTCTAATTTATGTTTTAAACATCAGACAATCAACTAAAGCTTTTCTGAAGCGCCCCTTTCATTGGAACAATATCAAGCAAGCAGAGAATGACTACAGACATATCTTAACATACCTCTTACCTCCTCAGTCCAATCTCCATAGCCTATTATGACTGAAAGTCATGTTCATTTAGCTTTTTACCTGGACCTAAGAACTGGCATCCTCTAGAACGTATACTAGACCACAAAATTGTTGATATATTAGAATTATTTTGATGATAAATGACCAATTCTGAAAGAGCACGTTCTGCCAAAGCACGTGCTGTTTTAAGTGCCCGCTGCAGACCCTTATATTCCATCAACTGATAACACAACAGTGATATTAATTTGCGCTGCATCGGCCTGCTTAACTCATCACTCCAAACACTTCCTCCTGAAATTGGACAGAATTAGGCATAACATTTCATTATTTAGAAAAAACTATAGACATGAAATTCAATCTGAAGGGAGGGAGAGAGAAATCTAACTCTGAATTTGACGTAACATTTTATTTCACAAGGCTCCAAATACTAAAATGTTAAATTGCAAAAGCATTACCAAATAAGCACTCGACAGGATGTAAATAAGAGGCTAGTTCGACGAGATTCGACTCAATATGTCGATATTCATCGGACAGTTCTTGATTAATTTCCGGTTTACTATTGATAAATTCTGAGAGGATTGAGAGCAATGCAAGATTTGGAGGTAATTTTTCGAAAGGAATGGAAATTGCTGTCTGGAAAAATAAAAAGGAACATCCCTATACTAATCTCGAAAACAAAATAAAAATAAATCTCAAGAGTAAGCTTCAAGAATAAAACAAGTTGAGTACATAACAAGTTTTAGTGCCAATTAGTTTATGAACATCACTAATGACTGTTACTTAGTCATAAGTAAAAGACTTCATATAAATTGTTTATTCTTAGTTCGCATCAAATGTTTAAGAGACAAAAATACTAGAAACAAAAATAATTTCGTCCTCAAATGTCCTTCTGCAGTTCTACTTAGTAATTAAATAGTTGATTTTAAATCTTTATAAAGAAAAATTTCTCAAAATACCTGATCCAACGGACAGGTACTTGTGTTAAGCTCATTAAGACAATTATGACATATTGTATGACCACAAGCAAGATTTATTGGCAGTTTTTTGGAGCTAAAAAGCTGAAATATGGTCGTGAAATAAAGTTGGTTTAATCAAGTCATAAAATTCGTTATGTAAACTAATTTTTCTTATGTGTCAGTAAATAAACTACAAGATATACAGACACAAAACTTTCCTAACATTTATCTCGGACACAGCAAACAATAAAGTTCTCAAGGAAAAAATCAAAATTTATCAAAAGATTTGATTTTACCAACATTCATCAAAATTATCAGAAATTTATCCGACTTCTGCCAGAAAGTTCTCAAGAAAAAACTCAAACATTTTAATGCATCGAAATCTGACAAAACTTGTTTTTTTAAACTAACAAAATCTACCAAGAGAAAGGCAATGTAGTGATGAAAGTTACATGGATTGAAGTATTCCTAAAAAAAAAATGCAAATACTATATCCTTTCAGCAATTTTTTTAGTTCAAAGTCCTCACATTTAAATTCGTAATTAAAAAAATTAGATAACTGTGGAGACTGCTAGGTGTAAAATATTACATATAAAAAATATGAAAACAGAAATGAGGAAACTTACTTCTGAACAGATACGGCAACAAAGCACGTCAGACCATGAAGCGCTCTGACCTGTAGGGGCCATTTAATTCTGCCAGCAAATTAGCAATGCACCAATCCCACCCAATGAAATTGTGGACTTTTGTTGTTTAATCGGCTAACGGTGATTTAACTGGAAATCTTAAAACAAGAGATATTATAAAATCCCAACTATACATAATGGTACCATTGATACCTCGGTAATAGTCAATTGCGCAGCCTTACATGGATTGAAGTATTCCTGAAAAAAAAAAAAATGCAAATACTATATCCTTTCAGCAACTTTTTTAGTTCAAAGTCCTCACATTTAAATTCGTAATTAAAAAAATTAGATAACTGTGGAGACTACTAGACTCATTACTTCACTACTTCATCATCATTCTTCAGCTAATTTATTATTTTCAAAGTAATGAATGATAATGTTAGCAGCCGAATATTGAGCACTCAATAGTGTTTCTCTAATTCCGACAATTTCTCATGTATTTCTTCGAAAGTTTCGAAATTTCAAATTTATGATATCTGAACTTATTTTCCATTATCAATCATAAACCCTAAACGACAGTTAGTTTCCTTTTTCGACATTTAGCAGAAGTCGTTGTTTTTAAAAAATCGTAGATTCCAGCTTCGATTGCACTCACCCTTCCAAGAATGGAAGTATGGCAGTCAGCCAAGAATGAATCCCTTTTACTTTTACTACCCCCTTTACTATAATTATTCAGCATTATTCATCAGCAACTTACAATACTGCAACATTTGTTGAACCAAATATCGTCTAATAAATTGCGACAGGTCTAAAGAACTCTTCGAAATGTGCTATAAGAAATTATAAAGGACTGAAAATTTGGACTATTTTTCAGCAATATGGGCGACAAACCGTAAATTTGACCAAAAAGATGTCATCCAAAATTTTATTGTATTAATGAGAACATTTTGGAAAAGTCTTGAAATATCTTAATAAGCTGCCATTACTAGGCGAATAAACTAATGAGAATGTAACTCAAACTTCACTACTAAATCATCAAACATATAACAATAAAAAAAATCATTAGAATAGTTTAATAAATGAAAACTTCGGAGTATCACATACAAAGTGCGGACTGTCTGAAGAAACAAAATTACCAAATTGTTATATTTCTTATCAGTGCAAAAGTGCAAAAGAATGCAACTGTTACTATAAAAATATTCAAATCATCTTACGGTTCTTCTGTTTAATCAATACCACCAATGAAAACGAAAATATACACGTTAATTTTTAAGATACCTACTTCTGCGCAATTCGTTCACTTTCACACATGAAAAAATATTATCACAAAACAACAGCTTCGTAATTTGTGTAACAAGCGAATTCATTAGCAAGGTTATGTTTATGAGAAGGTTGGAATTTACACTTGCGTGCGTGAAATAGTCTTTCGACCTGAAACTCAAGGAATCAACCTCAAAATAAACTTACGTGCTTCAATCGAATTAAACAGTGGGAAAATAAGTAGTGATGTAAGTTATCCTTTTATAAGCAGTAATTTCATAATGAAGCACCTCAAGAAGAGACACCACTTACTGAAAAAAAGTTCTAATGTTTTGGAAGGTAATCACAAAGAGGTGAAATGCTAAGCAAAATACATGATCTCTGTCATTACATACAAGCCGTCTACATAGCTATGCAAAGACGGTTTGATCTATAAAAGCTTTTGAACTCAAAATGTTACTTAATCCTAAAATGACATCTACATAGTTTTCAAAACCCAAGAAAAACTAATATAAACTTACAAGTTTCGCCATAACTAATCCTGTACAAATTAATAATTTCGTTGTGGAATCGCGAGAAAGCAGTCGTACTGTTTGTGCTACTTTGATTAAGCATTCATCAGACAGAAATGGTGGATCAATAACAATTAAATCAAATGTATTGTGGTACAACTGGGGTATTGTCAAAGGTTTGCGATAATCATACCGGACAAATTCTTTAGCAAATTTCGTCTCAAATCGACGGTCATATTCAAATAGTGTTACTGTGACACGTTCACAGATTACGCACTGAAATGTATGATAATTTTTGTATTGTTCAGAGAGCATAAATGATTTTTTAGATAACTTACATCATGATTTAGGAGATAATCAAGAAGTGTTGGACATGAAATGCATGCAATTCTTCCACCATCTCCAGTATTTCTTACACATTCTTCAGCAAGTTTTAAAGCAGTCTCTTCTGAATACCAGAACTGGCTCAGCTAAATTAGAAAGTCATAACTGAAGTATAATAAGGTTCCTTCGTTGAAAATATATTCTGCCCAATGCTATATTAAGACATATTAAAGGTATTCGGAATAGTGAGGTTTTTGTGAGAAATTTAAAAACTGCAAAAAGATAGAGTGAAGAAGTTAAGTAGCAACTGATTCACAAAACTTGTATCGTCATGTGAACCACTTTATGAATGACGAACCTGCCAATCTTCTTTAATAGTGACCTTATCAGAGGCATTCATTCCAGCATAAAATTCTGTCAGTGCATTCAACGCCTCAGCAGATAATTGTGGAGTGTCATCCCTATCACCATCATCAGAATTACGTCCAGCTGACATTGCTGTACTCTTAAGTAGTTCATCATTTGTGTCGCACCAAAAATCACTTTTATTTACACCACTATTTCCAGAATGATGCAACGACCGTACTTTTTCATTAACAAAAACTGGGCATACGAGGTAGTAGAGAGATCTCAATATTTACATGCAAATCTTTAATTAAAGGACAAAAAGCAATTCAGATGTTTTTAAAATAGTAATGAAACAATCAATAAATGATACAAATTTAGGAACATTCGACATAATTATTTCACCTCACTTCGGAAATCCCTCGTTAAACATTCAGTTGCCTCATTATTAGTTTGGTAACAAACATAACATGATCAACCTTACCTTGGACTGTGGTTTTGGTAGCCTGCAAAGGAAGATTGTGGGGTAGCTTACAATTTTTTTAATGGCAAAACTTTGAGTCAAAATAGCCAAATTTAATAAATGCAAAAAAAATCGCTGCGAAAATTAGAGAAAACTGACACAGCAAAAATGAAAAGATATTGAATAGGAAAACTCATGCATCTCTTATAGAATTCTAGAAAGGACTGGAATTCAAAGCACAAAACTAGTTATAGCACAAGAAGTAACACCACTCATAATATTCAATTTAAAGAAACAATCATTTCCCATCAATGAATACCCCTTTTGATAAAAACTCTGATCCACTCTTAATAAATTTCAGATTCTGAACTGCACTATATTGAAAAAGTAAACCCCATTAACAAGCTCAGGATTTTCTGAAATGCTCCAGGCAGTTTCAGCGCTGAACATGGCAGAGGATGTACACAATACAAATTATTTCAGTTTAAATTTCTAGATTCCTAAAATTAGTACTGAAGTTTGGTTTTAAGGAATTTATTTTAATGCAATCTCAATTCATCTGCCTGTGTGTTTCGAAAACAATGCATCACCTAAACAGACACCTCCAGAAACTACAAGTCCTAAATATCCAGACCTTCAAAAAATAAATTCAAAAGAAACTCTTCTGAAGCACGAAAAAGCAATAAAGGATATGATCCATATATTATTTCTCGAAAAAATAAAATGCACTGCACAAAACTTTATTTTTTACATTTTACAATGTTTATGCCAGAAATTGAAGAAAAGGAATTCCATCCTATCTCAAAAGCTTTGACAAAGTGCTGGAGTAAAAATAGACTTTGTAATAAAGAAAAAATTGCACAAGTGAAATTATTTCGTAGCATAAACATGCGTGTTATTTGAAAACGATCCTAAGCAGTTTCTAAAAGTTTTAACAGTTGGAAACTGTTCAGAAAATAAATAAACTTAATAATCGTCGCATGGGTTTTTTTGATTGTTCTAGTTGCCTTTAATGTGACGGTGTAGGATCTGCAGGTGCATCGTCGCTAGGAGTAGTTGTCTGTTGAGTACTGCGATATTTCGTTAACTGCAGAATTTAAATCTAACGTTAGAAGTGTTTACGAAATAAAGATAAATTACAAGTTGGAACAAAGGAACAGAAAAGATTTCTTTCACTTATAATGTGCATGAATCATCATGGATGTCTACTTAGTACATCCTACCAAAAATATTAAGGAAACTTAAACACTATAATCAGTTATAATCCCATATTATATGAAGTGCATAAAACCCTAGTTATACAATACTCTATTAACTCATTCGATTATAATCTTTGTTTCGATTAACAATTATTTTTGCTTTATGTTTAAAAACTTGAGAAAAGCAGTTTTACTTATGGTTCCAATAATGTCAATAATGTTATTTCATATCTTAATATACCATTACTACAGCTTAAGACAAGTGGTTTCCTGGCTCGAAGAAGACTAACGATTGAAACATGTTAAGAGTTACCACAATGAGTTAAATCAAAATTATAGTACAAATTGCAGATGCAATGTTTAAATTTTTTATGAGCCTGCAAACATATAATCCAGAGAACCGCTTACGATTTTGCGAACATGTTCTCTTGCTAAAGCGACTGCTGTATCGCTGACATCACCAATAGGTTCAATGGAATCAGCTGTATATGGTGGATGGATTAATACACGATTAAGTACTTTGATATTATTACCTGACCATTCCACCCTATGTTCCAGTCTGCAATTATATATAATTAAATTAAACAGATATGATTAACCTTGCACAGTGATAACGTAAATTTACTTTTGTTTAAGATATTCTATGTTTCTCTGAATAAAGGGAAAAGAATGCCACCAACAGTTTGCTGAAAGGGAACAGAAAGGAAGGATCAAATGAAGCAACCGAAAACTCCTAGTAAGTTGAAAGAATCATAAATTTACCATCAATTCAACCGATGCTTGGAACTTACGTTTTCCTGAGATGAATGAAAGCTCGTTGTCCCTCAAGCGATACATTAGTTTGCATTATGGATGCTTTCTTTCGTGCTATTGCACGGTTCATTCGTTCTTGCACTTGCTTTGTGGATATCTGCAAATTTGGCCAAGGCAAAGATTGGTCAACTCCTTTATCTTTCAAGCATGTTACCTGAAATGAGAAACTTCTCTTTGAAGTTTTACTTATTTTTAACAAATTTGTACACACAACCTGTCTTCAACTGATGTCACTCAATATGCATACAGAAATATCTTTTCTAAGTGATTTCACTCAGTCTGCATACAGAAATATCTTCCTTTTTTCGAAAACTTTTTGGTATCGAATGACTTCTCAAACAGTATTATCCGAAAATCAAAATAATATATACCTGTGCAACAAGCGCCAGATTGACGATACGTACCAACGGTACTTTACCTGGTCCTGAAGTATCTCCTGAAAAAGTAGGCAGAGTACATGGTAAGTCCTGCATTTCAAATCTCATTCTGCCGAAAAATTTGTAGAACAAGCGACCGCACATTCTTCAAATTGCGTGCTTCATTTTATCTAATAGCTATTGCTGTCTAGATAGAGACATTCTCATTTCTGTCTAAATAAAGAGATTTTCCGGCAATTCTGGTTTAAAGTTCTCTGCTGATCACATCTATATATGAGACTTGTAAATCCCACCGAATGCTACAGTAGTAATAAACAGATAGTTGAACTGGCCACTTCTATACGTTGCTAAGAGCAAACTTGACAAAAATATAAACTTAGAACAAGAAGTCGGGTCGGTTGATCTGAGCAGATCACCTGACCAACCGTCGTGGAGTTCAACACATTTCGACATTCCAACACACTGCCTACAGGAAATACGACATTGCTGTCCAAGACATTGTTCGAGGCTGCCTCTCCTACAGCTGCATGTGCGCTGGACAGTTGACGTGCCAAACTGCTACTGCTTTCCTCGCTCATAGATTCAGGAGTTGTTATTGTAGTTGATATCGCTGATCGAGTGTTAAATATTGTCATCGATTCCTAACACTTTTCACGTCTCACTGTCAAACAGAATCACACTACTCTAAATTCGTCGAAAACAGAGGACAAACAAACTGAAATATGAAAGAATAAAGAACCGCTTACAACAGCAATTCCTAATTTGCGGTCATCGTCAAATGTACATTAAATGAAGTCAAGTGTCACACTGGTGAACAACAAACAGACAAGCAGTGGGAGACAAAGTCAGCGCATGCTAGAAGAGAAGTGAAGTGAAGGATGAGCCAATCACAGACCTCCATCCTAAAATCCAAAACCATCTCCAGCACCTCACCCTGCACCGTCATCTCCCAGATCGATACTGAATCGTTGAAACACCGGCCGACCGCGAAATTATAGTGAGGTAGATGAGGAGAGAAGAGTAGTGTCTAGACTGTTGATCTAGGAGGAGGCCAGATATCCTTCACTCATTGTTTTTAGTAATTTCCTTTATATCTTCCTAACTGATGGAAGGATGTTACTCGTAATGAACATTTCTGTTGTTGTAATGTCCACTTCATTGCTAATGGTTTAGACCTGAGCTTGTTGTACAGAGGTGAAGATTTCAGTAAGACAAAAGATATTGGGTTATTTTTATATTTAGTGATAGTCATAACTACCGATTTTAGTCAGTTGTCGATGGGAAGCATAGGATATCATATAACGGCTTATTAAGGTTGTTATTTAGTCTGATATTCCGCATCATTGTCGGGGACAAGATTGTTCTTGAAGATTTGATGTAGAAATATAGCAAATATAGCGATTCGTCTTTCTTATCTCTATAAAATATGTAATTGCTAAATTAACTTACTAAAATATTTCCTTTTCCGGGACTTCTGTGCTAAACTTACAATAAGCTCAACTTCAGTAATATCCGGATATTGTATTCAAACTTCAGATGAGAAAAGACATCAATTTTACCTTATCTTATTGTTTTTATGAACCGAGTGAGCAGTGACCAACCAATGGAATCGTCGATGAGTACTGCTACATCAATAGCATTTCGAAACTGGCAAATGTCAAATAATATCGAGTCATTAGAAACGATCTATCGGTATGATTCAGCTGAACAACAAGCTATACGAGCTGTGAAGCCGTGGGAAAAAGATCCGCATTATTTCAGAGTACGAGTCCTTCAATACCTTTTCAGTTATTAATTATGTCCTGTATTGGTTCTGAAAAATCTATCAGTATGATTCAAGCAGCATCTAGTGTCTGAGGTGTTTGGATTAAGTCAAACATTATTTATATTCTTTTTTAACAATAAAATTCATGACATTATGATTCCAGGAAATCAAAATTGCTGCATTGGCTTTGCTGAAAATGGTAATGCACGCAAGGAGTGGTGGTAATTTAGAAGTAATGGGATTAGTACAAGGTAAAGTGGATGCCAATACATTGGTCGTGGTAGACAGTTTTGCTTTACCTGTAGAAGGTACTGAAACACGAGTAAACGCCCAGGCTCAAGCATACGAATACATGACGACATATACAGACAGTTCAGAAGCAGTAGGAAGGCTTCACAAGGTTAATTATACTAGAAAACTACCAAGAGCAGAAGTTATTTTTCATTTTTGACAATAGGACATTCAACTGGATCCCAGTGTTTATTAAATTCCTTCAGAAATTTTCGCTTTGGTTGGATTTATGCACTTTGATCGTATAAATGTGATTTTATGATTTAATACATTTTTAGAATCTATTATTTTCCTGATTAAGGTCGTAGGATGGTACCACAGTCATCCAGGGTATGGATGTTGGTTAAGTGGAATTGATGTATCTACTCAGGCCCTCAATCAACAGTTCCAGGAGCCATTTGTGGCTATTGTTGTGCGTTTTGATAGTCCCTCAACTTTTTTGTTTTATCAGATTTAATTTTATTACGAAATTATTTTTATGCTCACGTAATAAATTTTCGTTTTCTTTAAAGCATCGACTGTTATTTTATCTTTATTGCAGGTTGATCCTATCCGGACAATGTCGGCTGGGAAAGTAGAACTTGGTGCCTTCCGAACTTATCCGAAGGGTTATAAGCCTCCCGATGAGGTTCCTTCAGAATATCAGTCGATCCCATTAAACAAAATTGAAGATTTTGGTGTTCATTGCAAACAAGTATTACATTTATCGTATTTAATTTCTCCATTATTTCTGGTGCTTATAAAATTGCTGTCCAAGTCTTATAGAAAATTTTGAACACTGTCCTTATCTGATGAAGGCATAGTATACGGGAAGCACGCTTCAAACTGCAAACAATTATAATGTACTGATTCTACCTTTCTATAATCCCTATGTGGTTCCAGGTAGGTGTTAATATTTTCAGTATTATTCTTTGGAAATATCCTATTTCAAATCAGCTTTGGATGCACGTCTCCTGGATTCTTTGTGGAACACTTATTGGGTCAGCACTTTGTCTAGCAACTCATTGGTCACCAATTCTTCGTACATTACTTCGCAAATCAGTGATCTCGCTCAAAAATTAAAAAATGTCAGTTAAACTCGAAAGATTTTTCAGATTTCTGGAGTTTTCTATTTTACTGGAAGGGATGGTTCAACTGCGAAAACTTTAATATTATCTTGATATAAGAAACTGAAGTTTTAGGTAAGCAAGTGCAAAAGTATTCAGGGACCGCGTTCACTAGATTCAACAATAGCAGATAAATTGTCGAAGATAATTAAAGATACAAGAAAGGTTTTTTCGTTTAGTTTTATTGGTGCTCATCAAAAATTGATTGGGAAGAAGTAGTTTGTCTTCAATTTTCGCCAGTATTCTGTGACTTTTTGTAGAGAATGGAATTCGGGTGTTTCCGAAATGCACATTATCATATACATTTTTTGATTTCAGTGACAAATTTAAGCCACTTGAAAATCTTTCCCCTTATCTAGATAAGCTGTGAAGTCACGCATGGAATGATGGTTCAGATGGTCAAGAATGCATTATTCAACCACGCTTTCTTTTCTTTTTCGGAAATAGAAAAAATTTTAAGTAAGATTTTATACTTACAAGCATGACGTTGCATCTTTAGACATGATTCTTATCATTCATACGAGGCAATTAGCAATTTTGGGCTTCCGCAACGAAAAATATGACCCTGTGATGACGGTCACTCATACGACTACTTACTCATTACTAAGGAGTGAATGATCATATACTGCAGGTGGTCCTGGTGAAACAAATAAAAATTCATAAAACTCAAATGTAAGCACAATGATTCCCCAATTCCGGAAATTGTATTATACTATGATCGTCGAGTATGATTCCCCAATTCCGGAAATTATATTATACTATGATCGTCGAGTCTTGAAGGTATGTATATTGTAAGAAATAAATTCTATTTTAATGATACGGATTATTTGTACATTGTAGCAACAAAGCACTTTCGCTCATGTATCGAACAAAGACAAAAATCCTCCGACAAATTAAATGTCATTTAGAATCCCGAACTAACCTATCACTTCTCCTTTCCTTTAAAAAAATATTTTTTATTTCAAAGCGGAGTTTAATATTCGATGTAATTGGAATTTAACTTTTTAAGTATATGTATACAACTGAATCCAGGTTTGCACAAATATCGGGTTCCATTATTCTAATGCCGCAGAAGAGAGCTTCAATTAGTTGGTGGAATACGTGTGGCTTAAAGGGGGGAACGAAATACAATGACCTCGTTGATGATTATGCTGGTGTTTCTGGATAACTCTGTTACCTCTAAATATGTTGCATGTTACTTGCTATGCTATTTACGAAAGAAGAGTATTAGTTTAAAGAAGAATGTTTTATTCAAGTCGCTTGATTAACAAAAAACAACAGTGTTCATGCGATCGACCCAGCGTTTGAAGCAATCCTGGGCCACAGATCCGCACACTCCTTGGCTACTGGCCCAGTAATGGCCGAGCCCTTCATTTCACCTTTGTTGTTTACAATGACGCCAGCATTATCTTCGAAATATATGAATGAACCATCTTTCCGACGGTACTGCTTTCGCTGTCGCACGACTACTGCTTGCAGGACTGAAAATTTCAATTTATTATTGATCAAGGTAGGGAATGACTCCTGGTAGCACATCTGCATTTGGACGGCACAACTGAACTCAGGAACCTCCGGAACGCAGGACAGTTTAATCAGTAAAATTGCATTGAAAATTACAGAATCAAAAACAAATGATTTGGAAATGACCGTCATATATTTGGGTATTACTCTATTTTACAAGCCTCAGACAGCCAAGGATTTCTGCATAGAATAATCAGTTATAGTTGCGAAACCATCCTTCGAGCATCCTCATCGGCGCTTTATTCAATTATACTATTGCAAATATACTTCATTTAAATGTTAGTCGAATCGGCGCGTTAACAGCGCGAAATTGACCACTATTCTACGGATCTTGGCACATCATACAAACAGAAAGAGACCTTTTTTCCGTAGTTCAGGTTTGCCCTTCTTGACGGAAGCAACAAACATATCACCAACACCAGCGCTCGGCAATCGATTCAAGCGTCCCTTAATTCCATATACCGCAATTACGAACAGATTTTTAGCGCCAGTGTTGTCGGCACAATTCATAACAGCACCAACTGGGAGACCCAAAGAAATACGAAATTTGGCTCCCGACGCTCCACCACGTCCTCTCTTCGACATATTTTAAACCTGAAGAGTATCATCTATTTACTAAACGCAACATTTAGCAAATAGATGATAATGCAAGAACTTGAAAAAAATCCTCATGGTCCAAACATTATCATACTATCCTACGATCGAATCCTTGTCACTGGCGTGATGTCATCATCAAACAATATATATATGCTTATTCATGCTGTCATGGATTGATCCTTGAAGAATCCGCACAAGCAAATAATGTGGTAATAGTGTATCTTCAGGTAGAGTATTGCAGTTCATCATGGGAAATTCAACTCATTCAAACCAGGGATAAAAAAAATCAACTGTTCAGTGCTTACATAAAGCCAAGTGAACCATCAAGCATTTAAGAAGTGTTCAGACACATAAGCACATTTATCATGCAGTTCTTCTGAACTTAACGACAAGCAGAAATTTATTTATCCAACACTCACTTATTTTCTATAAGTAAAGAAATACACTACTCAACAAACACACTTTTAAGAAGCAAGTAGAACCTCAAAACACAAATCCGACGCCTCTAAACCTATTATATGACATCAACAAACCAATTTGTTTCCCAAATAAAAGTACGGCCCATAGTTACTATTCGAAAGTCGAAGTGCAAATAGCATCCCAAAGCTGTGGTTTTCACTGTGTTGAAGCTTTCCGTTGACTTTTTTGTTTGACAGTTGTGGTTAATGAAGTTTCGGTAATCGCCCGTCATAAGTAATAATCATAAGTTTTATCATTAGTGATGACTTACTTATGATAAAAACAGAAATTCGAAATGAAAGTTTAGAGTTAGAAAAAAGTTAGAAGGTTAGAAAAAAGTCGAAAGTTTGGAAAAGTTAAGAAATGGAAATGAAAAAGACAAGAGGTCAGCAAGTTTAGTTGACTAGTCCAGTAGTGAGTTTAGGGTACAGTAAATTACATTTTCAAAAATGCTCTGAGATGAGTCCGTGACTCAAGCTGAGAAAATAAGGGTTTCAAAGATTACTCTTGTTTATTAGTACTGTAATCACCATTCATTTTTTTGAACTTTGACTTCGATTTAACAACAACAGCTTTATCGGTTTTCCTATTGACAGAAAAAAATGCGTTTGAGATACATTGAGATTAGCAAACAATCAGATGTAATGATTTAATTGTGCTAAAAGCATTGGTTTAAATTTGTTTTAAATCTCTTGGGATTTCCGCTTGTTGAAAGAACAGGATATTGCAGGGGAAGAAATAAGCCAATTTTTGTCAAAAGAATAAGCCACATTCTATGGCTTAATTTTTTAAAGAAATAAAACTATCGGTTTATTATGTAATGCATTCCTTTTCCATATTTTAAATTCGTTGATAATTTAAACTGTAAATTGTTATGCCTATGTCATCCAAAAATTTAATTAGGAATTAAAATTAAGAATTGGGATGAGCGAGTCATATCGTTGCTGCGTTATTTCTTTGTGATGCAGCGAGGTGATTTGTTTGTTTAACGTCATTTGTTGAGTTTTGTTCAGATGGTCTGGGCGGGTGAGTTCTTGCAGGCAGTTGTGTGAGCGCTGGAGAATTAGATCGGTTCGAGTTAATTAAATGTGATCGGAGTGTTCATACTCCTCTTACGGATGGCAGTGGCATGTTTCGTTGGTCATTCCATGATATATCCAGATTTCTAGAACTGCAACTTATTTTCAGGGGAGAAGTGTGATAGTATAGGAGAAAAGAAATCATTTCAATGAGTGCGGCTTCTGGTCCGCGAGATTATGATCATCTCTTCAAATTGCTTATCATTGGTGACAGCGGTTAGTTTTTAACATTTCTGCATTAAAAGAACCCGTTAGCACCTTCCCATTTCCCATATATGAAATTTTTAACTGTAATAGACCCATTAAGGTCGTAATAGATTAACACACTAACTGATATAAAACTCATATTACAGGAGTTGGGAAAAGTAGCTTATTGCTTCGATTTGCAGATAATACATTCTCCCGTAAGTTTTAATAAAGTAATTGGAAAAGACTCTCTGCATGTTAAAGAAGTATAAAGATATGGTATTCTTTGCCTCTGAAGGAAACGAAAGAAATCTTAGATTTCAATCAATTTCTTTTTGCTTATGCTTATTATTGCTTTTCGACCAATCAGTTATTTAATCTTTGGATTGATATCGAGCATTTGAATCCTAAGTCATTGTTGCAACTTTAACAGTCAGAAAACTAATTGCATTTTGTCAAGTTTCAACTTTTTTATAGCGAATTATATCACGACTATCGGTGTTGATTTTAAAATTCGAACAGTTACAATCAATGGACAGCGAGTGAAATTACAGATTTGGGATACAGCTGGCCAGGAGAGATTTCGCACCATCACTTCTACGTATGTTTCTTTTATTTCAAAGATTTTCACATTTGAAATAAGTTCTTAACGACCATGCTTTCTTTTCTCTGAATTCTAAATGTTGAGTAATACTTTGCATAGTTGGTGATGGTTTAGTCGGAGCCATTCTAAATTGTACTCAGCACGTTTTTTTATCATATTAGTATTTTCAAAAGACCCTATCGATGAAAAAATAGGAAGCTAAATCAGCATTTGCAGTTACTATCGTGGGACACACGGTGTGATTGTTGTTTATGAAGTGACAAGTGGTGATTCATTCAGTAACGTAAAAAGATGGCTGCACGAAATCGACACAAATTGTGAAAATGTTCAAAAAGTTCTGGGTAAAGCAAAAATTCTTATTTTTGAAATGAAGTTAGGAGATTTTAAGAATTTGAACCTGAACTTAGAAAATTTTGCAAATTTTCAGTCAGGATTTGTGATCTTTATTCTATTTTCTTACATACTTACAGTTGGTAACAAAGCTGATGATCCAGAACGGCGAGTAGTATTAGAAGTAGATGCTCGTCGTTTCGCAGAAACAATGAAAATCCCGTTTTTTGAAACCTCCGCAAAAGAAAATATCAATGTTGAAGAGGTGATATTTGCCTGATTTTCTGAGGTTAATCTCCATTAGAAATATCAGTGTAAGTTAAGTTACCCATAGAAGGCTTAAGCCAATTTGATCAGTCATTAAAATATTCAGATTAGTTCATAAAATAGAACACTGAGAGCATTGCTCAACTAGGAAGCTAAGACCTAATTGGAGCGGCCATCCGGTAAGGTTATTTTCAGTTTGTCTTTTTCCTAACAATGGTGATTTAATTTCCTTATTGATTATATTACTTCAGTTCTTATGAAAAAAGTAGAGATCAAGATTTTGCATTAGTTTGATGTAATCTTACAGATGTTCAACTGCATAACACGTTTAGTACTAGAAGCAAAGCTTCGAGCTCCTCAAACAAACATTGCTGATAGTGGAAGTGGTGTACGATTGGGTGGCTCTATTCTGAGACGACATGAAAAGAGGAAATGTTGTAGCTGAATGGAAAACAATTATTGTGAACAGTACATTTCCTTTTCTTTTCCAAAATTTCTTCAAATCTAAAAGATGTGGTTCTTGCTTTGCGTCTCTATTGCTATTATTTACTGGTTAACATTTTTCTCAAATTTTCATTTTCTCTTATGAGATTGGAAATTTTTCTAATCAGTTTAAACCTGGTCTTTGGACTTTTTTTTTCAAAATTTATATTTAATATTGTGAGAACCTAAATTGTGTTTTTTGCTGAGGCAAGTTATTTTAAGTTAATTAACTCCGTTTTTCTTAATTGTTGGCCGAAAAAAAATTCTCAAATTTTGGTTATTTTGTCCAGGTCTCACGGTTTTTTTTGAATGTGGAGTAACATTGGAAAATAATTCATAGACTGGATTTTTATTCCTACATGTCGTTACTTCTTAATCATTAGCTTATTAGGGCTAGTGAGTCACTGAACTTGGTTTTCCCCGTGTCATGCGTTTTCCCGTTCGATCTACCACACATTCTGAAAAAACATAATGCCAATCTGTTTACTTAATGATTGAAATTAGTAAACTATGTATGTGAATGACAAACAGCAAGCATGATAATAAGAGAATAATTTTTTTTGTACAACTTTTTTCGGCTTTCTATGAGTTTAAATTATTATGCTTTATTCAATATAAAGCGTGTAAATGTAAGCTTTCGCGAGTTCATTACTCCTGACTTTTCATTCCTTAGTTTCACAATTATCCATTGGATTATAAAAACTGGTCTCCCTCCTAATATTGGATTTCATTACTTCTTGGCTGTAGCTAGTTCCCATTTATTGTTAATAAGAATTCGGGAGGTGTGAGCGCAGGATTAAACTCTCAATGGGTTTTAAAGATCTCGACGCGTGGAAAAAACAGGAATCAAAAATGTGGCTTTTACAGAGGCTTTGATATGTTGGGAACTTAACAGTGGATATTCTGATTTATGATTTTTTTAAAGGAAACCTGTGGATCGAGCTTACCGTTAAAGAAGGTAAGTATGTAGTAGCCATTTATATCCCAAATTACTCAAAAATTTTAACAAATACGTGCAGAGGTCATTACTATTTGAATAATATACTTTACTGGAATTCTTTGGTTGACTTTTTATTCTGCAAATTCTCGCTTTTATGTAACATGTTATATATAGTGCTTTCAAATGCTCGCTTATCTCGTTGTGGTACAATGTCTGTTGCAAGCGGAATTTATGTTATGTGCATATTCTACGCACCTGCATAATTTAAAGCCTTAAAGACATAAATTGTGCAAAAAAAAAATCCATTATTTGTACAATAGGTATTGGTTTTTGTTGGCAGTGCTTTATTATTTGGAAATTTTCGGATCATTAGGAAAATTTCACTTCCTTTGTTGAATGCTGTTTTATTGAAACGTTGTGACATCATCACAGTTCACATGGAATTTTATAAATTTCAGGTTTTTCTATTTATTCATGTATAATTGCTTTGTGTAATTGCATACTGTCTATCTGCAATTGTACATGCTTCCTTTGTTTCTGACATATTTTTGTAATCTTTTTCAAATTAAATTTTGTGCCATCTATTCGGCGATGCTATGCAATGTATTTCTCTACTTATTTTTACTTTAGCGTTATTCTTAGGATATTTCCAAATTTTCATAGCTATATGCATGTAAAATAACTTTCTTTCTTGTTTGAAAGTCTGATTACAGGTGTGAGAAGTGGGATCAGAAAAAAATTTTGGATTATGTGAAAATTGACATGATATACAATATCACAACATGAGTTATCATTTATATTCCGGACATGAAACATAAAATAAAATAAAGTGTGAGTCGGAGATGTCTTGATGTGACCATCTCTGTTTTTTAAAACTAAAAATATACAGCAGGTTTTTATGTTCCTTATGGGAAGAGAAGACATACAATAGCTCATACGTATTACTGAAATGAACATTCCGGTAGACATCGAGTAGAAATTTATCTTTTCCAAGTTGCAGCGTCAAAAGGGAGAATAAGGATAGTTTGAATTTCCAAGACTAAAAGTTTTAGAAAATTTTTGGTTTATTAAGTCTCTGGAGGTTGAAGTTCTTGACATTCTTTTCATTCGTTCGTGTTTTCTGCTGACTTGTATCTTAGTGATTATATCTATTGTTACAAGTTTTTGAATCCCGGTAAAATGAATCTAAATTCTCAAACGTTCTTTTTAATTTACTATCACATTTTCCCCTATTTCTGATAGTTTGTCAAAAATACTTTATTATACATAATTTGTGGTAACCTTTCCTGATTTGGATTGTTTTATTTCTTGCACCATTTTTCTTTCAAATTTGGGTCACTCATTACCTCTAAGTCGCGGACATTTATAACCTGAAATTTCAGTTATGTTCAAATGTGTTAGTACCTAAATATTTTTCAGAAATTTTAAAATTTGGTTTTGTGTTTGAGAATTAGGCAAAAGGATCTGTAAAATTCCTATAAAGAAGTATGAGACCGACCTGTGATTCAACTATTGTTGCATCAGATCGAATCATCTTTTGTATCCTTTGTTCGAGTTGTACGACTGTTTCCTCCACAAATTCTTCCACCGACTCCTGAATTTTTTACAACGATTTAAACGAAATATAAAGCCAAACTTCTTGGTAGAGCATGCTGTAGTAAGTTGTGCTTTTTTTAACACAGTAAATTAAAGCATCGAAAATTATGTAAGCCAAGGGAAAGTAGTAGGAAAAGCTGGACATCTAGATTTCAGAAAATGGAAAGAAAGAATCTCCAACTCAATGCGTACCCTATTGGTCGTCTGTTTTTCAATTTCCTGAGATGGATCGTTCATGATAGTGTTTTTTTTTCTGATTTCTAGCGCTGGTAATTCGGTGTCTTCTGTTCTAAATATATTGTAACTTGGTTGGTGTTGTTGCGATGTTTGTTTTACGCCTTTAATAACATGATTGAATTTAATTGCAGATGTAGTGGTTTTATCTAGTACAACCAAAGATGTGATTGTTACTGGTGTTTTCGGGACCTTTTTCGTTAATGCTTTCATCTTTTCTTGTCTTTCTTTCAGTTCCTGAAATTTGCCATATGATTCTGTCTTCCACTGCAACTACCACATGAATTATTTCTCACTGCTCAATTTAACTAATAATTCCATTCCATAAGACAACGAAAGGAAACCAATGTTTCTTTTTGTGTATCTATTTGTGCTACAGATTATTCGAATCTCTCCTGTTTCCGCTTGATCTCCAACCATGTTCAAGACTTTTCAAAATATATTTGAGAGCTAATATATCCGCTACTGGTAACGTCTCAATTGAAATTATCTAGCTGACCTGACCTTTTAGGCAGTTAGTGTGAAACTGTATGATTTTTGCTAAATATAGAAGTTTAAAATGTTTAATAAAGTTACTTTTTGGTATTTCTGTTTCAAATGATCATCGCTTACAATTGTTACATTTTGTGTATTAATTTTCACATCCATACCACCAGCTGGAAAGTCGACAATATGTGGATAACCGTTCCGAGGCTGGCTAAAATTTATGGAAAAAATTCGGTTGCCCTACTTGTAAATTTCATCAATATATACATCTATACCTGATTTATTTATAATTCATGATTCATGGTTATTAATTTTTTACGTACAAATCACGTAAGCAATATAAAACGTTGGATCTAGCTGATCACGCTGGACACCGCAAGTCCGGATGCTATGCTTTAGTAATGAAAAAAAATTTTTAATAGAAGTAAAAACCAACTTATTAGTTCGTGGTGATGAAACAGCAAATGGTGTTTCTTCAGCACTGATCAGTTTCCCGAGAGGATAAGAAGCAGTGTTGCCAAAGCCAGGTACTAATAAAAGCGGTAATGACCTGACTGAATGACTTCCTGATGCAGTCACACGTTCCACGATAGTCAAACGTCGACGTGATGGCATTACTAAATGCTTGAAATTTTGTTCATCTGAGAAATTTGAAAGACAGATTAAATATGGTGTAGATCAAAAATGTGTAAATACTTCCAAATTGCAAAATTCAATTTTATTTTTTTAAAAGCAAAATTTTCAATATCAAACGCAAACATTTCTCTTGCTGTGATGGATGAAAAGTTAGTAATGGTGCTGCTGTTAAGATAGTCGTTGTTGTTGTCGCTGTCGTTGTTGCTATCGTAAAGGTCATCGCTTCTACAATTTCTTCGTATTCATCATCGCTATCAATGGAGCCTGTGAAATCCCAAGATCGGTTCATTTCCTGAATTAGAACAAATAAAAAACAAAATTTATGATATTTGAGTTTTTAGAAATATACAAATGCACAAGAGAGATTAAAAGTTTGAAACATATGTTTTATAGAAATCGGTCAAAAAGAACAAACTCGATCAAAAATATTTCAAATTTCGCATATCTTACCTTCAAAGGTACGTTTATAGGTCTGATATTTTCATTACTTCTTTTTGCTGCTCGACGAGTTCTGCGACACCGAGGAGGCTAGAAATTTCATTTGTCAACTTTTAATCTCTACGAAGTTTTTTGGTGAAAACATTTTTTTTTTACTGGTAATGCACTGATTGTAATTTGAACCGAAGTAAAAATTCTGCAATTATGAGGAAACAAAATAAAGCGAGGACAGCTCAAATTTCATCAGCCTTTCCCTTTTCAACGGTAAAAAAAAAGTTATTCAGCAAGCATCGTGAAGCATTGTGGAGAAAAATTTTGCATGAAACATAGATACCAGAATGGTGTCACATTCACTCAGTAACCGATCACAAAATCGTAGATGACACTGCATTTTGATCATTGAACCGTCCGGAAACTTGACCGCTTTACCGGCAGCAAATGCTGACAACGGTTCCACATATTCCGGTGAATCCATAACCGAACTATCAAGTGCACATCTGAGCAATTTAAAGAGACTATATTGCTATCTCTGAATTGTATAAAATGAGATGGAATTTCTGATGAATTAAATTTACCCGAACGAATCAATAACAGTTCTATTAACTCCACTATTCAAGTCGATGATAACACAAGTGTGAACAAGCATCGACTGATATGTATCGAAAGAATCTGCAAGGTGACAAATCGAGAAGAGTACTGGTAGTTGGATTGATGATTAGCATGAGGAATTATTTGGAACGTCTTGAGGTGTCTTCCATTCCAACTTATACAAATTTTTTATCTGTAGAATGGTCTTATACTAGATCAAACTGAATGGCTGCCGAGTCTGATTAAATTAGAAACCTAGTTTAACTAGTTATAATTCTCATAGAATGATGGGAACTGATTTTTGGAATTGAAGAACAAATTCAATTCCTTTCACAGTGCTTTTGAGTTTTTTTATTTTTAACACTTTTATGGAAAGTGTTTGATTCCGATTTTCAGTCTAACCTGTTCTCTGGACTCTCATTAGACAATCGTAGTTTCATAGATTGTAGTGAATGTTCATATAATGTATTGCAAAGTGGCTTTGGTAATTATTTTGCGTATTGCTACTTTTTAGAACTCTAATTTGTACCTGAAAATATCATCATATCACTTATACCTTTATCGCACTCCCATGAATGAATAATCTGATCACCGACACGGACATCTTCTAATATACATTTATCATTTGGTTTCGTATTTGATACCATCTTGTAAGAACAGGGCATTTTCAATTCATTCCTATAAATCTTTTTTAAATACAAAAAGAAAAAAAAGGATAAACGTAAGAAATATAAGAAAATACCAGAAGAGACAAAAAGTGCCTTAAAAAATCTTTGAATGATCAGCATTCTTATAAAAAAGAAAGGACATTTACTTATTACTAGTAGCCACTGGATTGTCCATATATTTTCTCGGCAATTTTGGTACTTTTTCAGGATAAAAACATTGCACCTTGAAAACCTTATCCGCTTTTGTATTGTATGATGGATGAAATTTCAGCAAAACATTTGTTTCGAATAGTGTACCCATAAGATTTTGCTGAAATATCCATACTGAGAATCATTTTATAGTAAGAATCAAGTAGGAATAATAACATAGTAAGACTCATTGCATCCTCACGCCAATCAGTGAAGACTGTATTCTCTCATATACGTTATAATACAAAACTTAACAGCAATTTGAAAAAAAAGAGAGACAAGGTGTACCTAAACGGTTAAAAAGTAAAGCGATGAAAAAATCAAATACAAATCACTTACTTTTATCTGCTTTTGGATGTTACAAGAAGTAAGATCTATTGAAAAGCGAATCTCCCTGGAAGATGAGTTCTGTGCAGTTGCAGCGCACTCTGGAACGTGAAAGTAACCAGGTACGTAGAGATGTCCGTAGAATGGATTAACTGTCGAAACAATGATTTCGACAGAATCACTGTGACAATTTATTTCAGCTCCAAAAAGACCTAAAATATGTCTTTTTTACTTGACTATATTTGTCATCAATATCATCACCCTTTTCATCTCATTTTTAATGGTGCAACATGAAGTTTTCAGAATTTTTTGGTATTCTAAAACTAAAAAATGAATGTTCTAAAACTGAAACTAAATCAGGAGGCTGAGTTAACTAGTTATTCTTGAAAAAAAAATGTGAATTTTTTTAAAGCTTCATTAATTTTTAATCAATTCTATTTAATAACTTTTTCTAATAAAGCATGAAATTTGTTACTAACCTCTCGAAAAGTCACAGTGCTCGCCAACAGCAATTTTCTTAAACTGATGCACGAACTGATCCAGTGAAGCCTGAGAAGTTAGATTCTGAAAGGCAAGATTCTGGTCACCCGTAATTTCCACCAGTTCACCCATATTAATGTGCGCACCAATACCAAGAGTAAGTATTTCAACACCTATATAAAAATTACACAATAAATTAAATTTAAGATTTAAATTTAAAAGTTTAAACTTGCCATGAAAAACACAAATTTTACTAAAAGTCTAAACTTTTTTTGAAAAGAAAAATGTGTTAAATATTGAATTTTTGGATAAGCTACTGTTATTTACCAGCTTGACGAAGTCGCATTGCAGCTGGTATTGGATCATCATGTGAATGGCCATCGGTGACAACGACAGCTACCTGATAATAGTAATTTCAGGAAATCATTCATTTCATCACGAAATATTAAAGAGAAATTTGTAAAGAACAAAACTCAATAGATCACTGCAATTACACTTTTTTAATGTAGTAATTGAAAACTTTTTTAATGAAATATCCGTTCAACAGTTCATTAAAAATGTATGAGGAATGTTTCATCCCTTGCATATGAACTAAAAAAAGAAAAGATGAAGTTGAGTGATTTTGAAAACCTGTGCCACATCATCCTGATTCAATCGTGTTCCAAAGTTGGAATCATGACAGAAAACATGAAGGGCTTTGTCCAATGCTTTGCCAGTTTTCGTTGTTCCCGAAATGTGTCGAATTTTTTGAAGTGAAGCACGAAGTGATTCCTTGTTCTGAAAAATTCATGTTTTTCAAGTAAATGTTAAAAATTTTTAATAATTTTTTTAGGAATTCAAATTTCTTCCTGCAGTAATTTTAAGTTCAGTATGAGTTCAAATATTAAGTGGAGATCTAAATGTCGTTTTTGATGATCTCAACATCATCTTCCAGTAAAAATTATTGGTTATATATTACAATTATTGCTAAAAATTTTCAAAAATCTTTTGTCACTACACTAATAGTTCTTTATAGAAAAATATTTAGACAAGAAGTCAAGAACGCATCCAAAATGTCAAAGGATACGTATGGTTTTGACGGAAGAGACGAGAGATAGGGACGGAAAGGAGAGATGAAGGTAAAAGAGGACATGAGTGATTGGATGGAGACATAATCATAATGTCGGGACAAAAAAGTATTGGGGTTAAGTATGAAATGTATCGGATTGGAAGGTCGTAGCAAAAGAAAAGAATTATAAAGGAAGAAAAGAAAGAGAAAATCTAAGGTAAAAACCATGGCTAGCCAAGTATTTTCATCTGGAGTGAACTTTATCGAAAAAATGTGATTTCTACGATTTTTCAAAAAAGTGTTGAAGATTCTAAATATTCAGGTTTGAATGCCACAATTTCTTTTTTCAGTGTAGCCCCACTTAGTTAAATAGAACATTACTGGCACGAGAAAAGGTTGCGTTACTTGTAGAACAAAAATAATCGATAAAAGAAAGAGTAGTTGATCACATAAAAATTAGCTAAAGAGGTTAATTCGATGAGGTGCTTCTATACCTGTTAGTAGGCAGTGGACAGTGAATTGTTAGCAATGATTGCTTTGAAAATGAATAACTTCCACTTTTCATCTTCTGAATCATTTTTTTGTTTCTCCCAAAAAATTCTATTTTTTGGCATTACAATAACTTTTTACAATGTCCTGACAAATGTCGCTTTCAAATAATTCATACATTTGTCAATGAAAATTTTCAGAAGGAAATATTTCAGCAGATACTATCCGATTCATTCCGTAGATCTCATTTGACATGCATAATATGTATCTATGCAAAGCAAAATAATTTATCTAATTTAAATACGAGAAAATTTTTGCCTGATTTCACTTAATTTTAATCATGATAGCCCGGATAATTTTAATTTAAAGGGTCATTTGCTTTGGCTACTAAATTTTTTTACTGTGAATAGCTTGAGAAAATCTCGGGGGATAACAGATTTTGAGAACCCTGATTTGATTTGCTTCATTTCGGTGCTTCGGAATTTCCTAAAACCCACTGCACTTTATATTTTGGACTGACATCGAAGTTTTTGAAACTTTGAAACAGCAACCAACTGGATTGGCACTAAAATTAAATTCCACTCGTGTGTATGATGAATATTGCATTACAGCAATTTGCGTATTTTTCGGACCAATTTCGATCAAATCGACTATCCTGAAATGTGTTTTCTTTAAGAGGAAAATTGAAATTGTATTGAGATTGCTAGCTATCTCAGTATATAAGTTTAAGCCCAGTAATAAAAAATTAATAGTGAAATACATTTCACTCTTTTTAAAATACCATACGGTTCATAACAAACTTATTCAACATAGCCATTTGTGTTGCGAAAGTGCTTCCACTAACACTACCGGAACCATCCAGAATGAACAACAAGTCCAGTTGACGGTCCAAAGGTCGACATACTGAAATGTCTCTTAAGTAAACGTAACGATTGCATCCCAGTTGATCTAATTATTAGATATTTTTTTCAAAAAACAGATGACATTATTAAATCAGTGACAGGTGTGCAGTACAGGTGATATTAATGACTAATTTATGCGGTAATGAGCAATGCAACACTATTTTATCATATTACTATTGCTGTAGGCATAGTAATAGGCACTATTATAGGCTCTTCACTATGCTCATAGACCTTATACTTGACAATATCGCAAAAGATTATGCATTAGATATTTTTGAAATTGCTATTCAGAAGACTGATTACCTTTAGCCAGATCGTTGTCCTCGTAATCGATTGCTGTGATCAATGTCGGAGCGATTAATACTAGTGTTATTACCGTACCATAAATTAGAGGTAACATCTTTTTTCTGAAACTTTCTTTGAAAATGATGTTCGAAAAAGATTCCAAGTTAATATATGCGAAATGAAAAATGATAACTTATAAAGTGATCATTTAAGGTAAAAATGGACAGAATAAAGACAGGAAGAAGTGCGTAATGGTCAGTGGAAGTTTAATTATAATATTACTACAATGACAGAAATACTCAATGTAAATGATGGAAATGGAAGTAGAATTAGCAGTTTTAGACAACATTTATGAGAGTTATTATAGCAATAATTTCAGTAATAGTTATAATAAAACAAGGAAATTCCTCAAATGATAAGCTCTTTTCGTTCTTCAAGCTCTTTTTTCTTTTTGAAGCAGATAATAAAAATGAAATAAATTATTAGTCATTCCAGTATCGTTAAAACACAACAATTAAATAAGAAGTGAGTGGAAAATGTGGAAGGATCAGAGGGAATTATCGAGGGTATAAAGGAAAATATATCGGAGGAGAAAAGTGGGAATGGATAATCAAGTGGGAGCTTCAGTGCCTAATTTTTTCTGGCAGTAGAAGTCAGCTCCTGATAATAAGTTCCGAAAATTAATTCAAGGACTGTTTACGATGCATCACACATCTCAGATTTCATATTTGAAGGAAATATATAAAAGATGCAGGGTTACTTATCGTGATATTGGATGAAATTCGAAGTGAAAAGATCAGAATGGCTTATTATTACTCAAAAACTGCTGCTTGGGTGGAATTCCATTTCATTTCTTTAACTTTTTTGTCCATAAAAATCATTATTTCTAGAAGGAATTCTAATGACTTTTTTAATGCTTGCGAATTTTATATAGCCAATAGAAATGAAATTGAAAGTTTCAAATAGAAGATTTAGGCTACTGAAATTGAAATTCAATGGTAATAATAATGTGGTTAGTGTAATTCGGTCACGATATCATTTTTTCAAGCAGCTTATTCCGCTGGCATTAAAAATATTGAAGAAATATTTAAAGTATTTAGAAAATGTTTTTCCTTATTTACGAGATCAGTAACTACTACTAGAATTATGATAGCATAATAATTTAGTGAGGAATAGCATTCGAAATTTCAAGAAGTAGCTGGGAAACATTGAAAAACAGTTTTAAAACCATTTTGTTTTTAAACTATTTTCCATCATTTGGAGGTGAAACAAATTCGTTTCTGTGCGTTCTGGACATTAAGTTGAGAAGTTTCGGTGTGATGTGTCTTTGATATTTGCGCATATTAGTGAAGTAACTTCTGCCGAAAATTGCTATTTCACAGAAATTCAGTTGTAGGGTTAAACAACAATGTGTATAGAAAAATGGGCCGAAGACACGCACCTAGAGATAAGAAATGTTCCTGATGAGATCAGCGGATACATTATCAAACAGACAGTAAAAAGACCACCTGGTAGGATTGAGAATAAAAAAAGAAGAAAAGGGACCGTGCAGTAGTGTAAATGGATGGAAATTATTTCGTGAGCGACCCATTTATCTGTTTCATTCTTATAGAATATACGCTGAGAAAAATGATCGTTCCTGGATAACACTCCGACACTTCGGAATATCCAGCAAAGGTTTGCTTTGTCTGTTTGGAGCATCTATAGACAAGTAATTATAACATTTCGAATGATGGCAAAAATGGTGGCGCTCGCGGTAATGTTGTAGTAATGGTGTTATGAAAGATCGCTGTAACTGTAATTATCGGACTGATTGGATTCTATAAATTTGTTTTTGAACCCAACTTCTCTTATGAGTCTCGTAATTTCATCTTTGATTTCAAAAATTCATTCAAATGCTTTTATTTTTTCTCCTTTCAGAAAGACGAAATCTTGATATAATAATGAGAATTCTTACTTCTGTTGAAGTTAAAGAAATGTTTCTACTCCAAAAAGAAAAAACAGAATTCGTTAGACTTACTGACTAAGGCCGGAGTAAGATAATCTATTGACCTTTCGATTCTCTTTGATCACTCAAACTCTTATGAATCCTTCAGAACTTTCTAAAAAGCTTCTAAAAGCTTTTCTCATTACCTATCTTCATTTATTCCACCTGGTGAAGGGACTTGAAACTACAATTTTAAACAATCCATGACTGTTTGAGCAGCGGTTGAGCAAAAAACGTCCTTTTCGGTCAAAAGAGAACAAATGATTTCTTCATTTAAAATAATACTTGACCAGAAATTGATCAAATAAAAAAAAAGAAATAGTTTATTAGTAGAAACTGATTTTTCTCTCTCCTTTCTTTCCTTTTACATCACTCTTCTCATTCAGGAAAGTGTTCTCCAAATATCAGTAAAAGCATGGGAAGATGTGAAATAACTGATATGATTATTGAAGAACAGAAACTTCCAACTACGTGAGTTGTCATCTATGAAAATTAAATATTACAGTGGTAATGAATTATTTCGTCCAGTTGTAATTGCTCCATGATAACTGATTGTGTTTTATTTGTTTGTTTCACAAAAATATGGACAATTCAGGTATCACATAATATACAACTTGAGAGCATTTCTGCACTGTCAATTAATGAAATCAATTACTTGTCATTTCATAATTTGAAAAGTTGGACACTTTTTGCACTTGTTGCTTATACAAACATTGGGAAAGTTCAAATGAGGCAAAATGAGGAGAAAAATCAATGTAAATAAAGGCCATGATATCCTCTGGACTGTATAACTACCGTTGCGTAGAGCCAGATCTGGAAATAATATTGTGAAAATATTGTATTTCAGCAATGAAAATAAAATTTTAACACCAAAGGTTGTATTATGCGATAAATATGAGTTTTTCTATTCATGAGTTTTCTATTCGATTTTTTATAGTATAAAAAAACTAATCTTTAGAACAGAACTGAATTATAAAATACGATTTGCTACTCTTATTTTTCATATTTCTCAAAAGATAAGTTATTGCTTGAGATAATCTTCACGAGTATATGACAAAATCTGCTTAAGAATTTAGGCTAACTATAAATTGATTGCAATGCAATTTAATTTGTTTCAGAACGGCTGAAGAATGGAAAATCGTTATCTCAAAAATAGAAATTGATGAAGCAACGAGTGGGAGAATAATTTTAATGATATGAAATAAAATAAATAGATTGTATTTGGATAAAAGAAACTGATGTAGATAATAAGAAAATTCTAGTTCTTAGCCCATCATATTCGGAATGGAATAGTCCGAAAGATATGATAGCATCTTAATCGTAACCGAGAAATAAATAAAATAAGATGAACAGGTTCGAAACTTCACGCAGAAGTTACTTGTGTTGACGTGTAGCATATGAGTTGATTCTGGTGCATCCACCGTTTTGCATGAATAACTTCCATCATCTTCACTTGAGGCGCTAAGAATTCGTAACGTATAAACGATCGTTTTACTGTCTCGTTTCACTTTTGATATGTATTCTGAAAAATGTTCATTTCGATTCGGTATTTTTTTTTTTTTTTTCTATTTTAAAATGATCTTATCCAAAGTACCGAATAGATAAACGATTCTTCTTTGGAGTGACATAGATGGCTTGGTTCACGTAAAGATCGGTAAGTGTCAGGACAACACATAATGAAACTTTAGTAGTCTGGTTTCATTAAACTTCTATCAAATCCAAATTGTTAATGCTAACTTTTACTATTTTTAAAATCAATTGGTTGTCCATCTCTCCACCATTCCACTTCACCACTTACACTATTTGCTTCACTACCGATCGTTACTGTGCAATTCAGGAGCACTTCACTCCCAATCATATTGGCCATCAAATTTGTTGTGCGTTCTAAAAATTGGAAATGAAAATTTGAAAGAGAAAAACAATTTAAGCACTTAATTAAAAATAAGCAAATTTCTGATAAATTGAATATTTTTTTTAGGTTTTAAAATGTATTATCCAATCCTCAAAAATTTAATATACTTTAATAACGTTCTGTTCAAAATCAAAATTTCATTAATTTTGAATAAGCATCAAGTTTTCATTTTTCATCTTTTTTATATTTACAGCGAGAAGTACTAGCCATCAAATTAAAATTTTTGTTTTTAAATAACACAACTGTTAGTATAATAATACAATTATTGATATATTAACACTACTGCTAGTTCAATAAAATTATTGACAGCATTAAAATATTTAGAATCTTAAACGCATAATATCTTTGCATGACTACAAAATGTGAAATTTACGAGAAGGAATTTTGTTACGGGTATTTTTTCTTTATATTGTTGAAATGAAACGCTTTATATTTTCATATGCAATTGCACGTGCATGCAAAAGCAACAATTATGATTCTCGAGGAGCGGAAATTATTTAAGGACATGCGTTAGTTGAACCTCAGGAAAGAATAAAAAGTTTTTCTTAAATGTAATAAGATTAAATGACATAACCTTGTTTAATTAATTCTGTAAATAAGAAAAGATGAAGTCAAAAAATATATCGAAATTAATTACTTGCTGCTGAAGATGGTACTTTGAGATTGCGTGTTTCTGAAAAACACAAAAACAAATGCAGCAAATGTCGGAAGATTCAAAAAATAAAATTTAGACTTGAAGGCTTCACTGATTCTAGGAATGAAAAACTAAGAATATCATTTTAAAACATAACTATCATTGTTAGGAAGAGCCAGAAAAGCTATGAGATATTTCTTTAAATTCATATTGCATAGATAATACGATTATTTATACCCCTCATACTTTTAATATCAGTCATTAAAAATATTTCAAATTGGCTACTGCTTTCTTACTTCCAGATACAGGATCACTTTTTTTTTAATTTGTAAGACTTACCGATAACATTTAAATATACGGCATAAACAGTACTTCGTGGTTCGGTATTCACTTCACATAAATAACAACCGGAATCTGACCTTTCTGCTCGTCTGAAAATATCAAGTTGGCGAATACGGAAATGAAAGTAAGCAATTTTTCATTGGAAAACAATACTGGATGGATATATATATATATATATATATATATATATTCACACTATAACGTTTTTAAATAAGCTTATAAAAAATCTTGAGAAAAAAAAAAAAAAAAACAAGAAGGGATCTTAAGTGATTTGTTATAAAATCGGTGTAATTTACTACAAGTATGCTGTTATACTCAGATTTAATTGTCATATTATTATTAAGCTTTAGTGGATGAACTTCCTGATTAAGTTAAGAATTCAGAAATTCATTTAATGAATATACGCCTGAAGGACATAACAAATGACGTAATTGCTTTTAAATTGGCAGATTGCATTTAAATGTATAGCATGATCAAATTTACCTAATAATTAATACCCAGTCAACTTTGGATGGTTCCAGCAATATTTGAAATCTAGAATCACTAGTAAATGATTGCTCGCCAGCAGTCAACAAAGCTTCGTCACGTAAACGTGTCCAGGCTACCTGAAATGATTAATAAAAGAAAGCGATTTGAATTAAAAAAAAAGATGCTATAAGTTTCCTTAATCGATACATTCAAGCCAGGTAATCATTCTAAATTAATGAAAAACTTATAATGGAGATAGGTAGGTAGGTAGGTAGGTAGATAGATAGATAGATAGATTAGATAGATAGATTAGATAGATAGATTAGATAGATAGATTAGATAGATAGATTAGATAGATAGATTAGATAGATAGATTAGATAGATAGATTAGATAGATAGATTAGATAGATAGATTAGATAGATAGATTAGATAGATAGATTAGATAGATAGATTAGATAGATAGATTAGATAGATAGATTAGATAGATAGATTAGATAGATAGATTAGATAGATAGATTAGATAGATAGATTAGATAGATAGATTAGATAGATAGATTAGATAGATAGATTAGATAGATAGATTAGATAGATAGATTAGATAGATAGATTAGATAGATAGATTAGATAGATAGATTAGATAGATAGATTAGATAGATAGATTAGATAGATAGATTAGATAGATAGATTAGATAGATAGATTAGATAGATAGATTAGATAGATAGATTAGATAGATAGATTAGATAGATAGATTAGATAGATAGATTAGATAGATAGATTAGATAGATAGATTAGATAGATAGATTAGATAGATAGATTAGATAGATAGATTAGATAGATAGATTAGATAGATAGATTAGATAGATAGATTAGATAGATTAGATAGATAGATTAGATAGATAGATTAGATAGATAGATTAGATAGATAGATTAGATAGATAGATTAGATAGATAGATTAGATAGATAGATTAGATAGATAGATTAGATAGATAGATTAGATAGATAGATTAGATAGATAGATTAGATAGATAGATTAGATAGATTAGATAGATAGATTAGATAGATAGATTAGATAGATAGATTAGATAGATAGATTAGATAGATAGATTAGATAGATAGATTAGATAGATAGATTAGATAGATAGATTAGATAGATAGATTAGATAGATAGATTAGATAGATAGATTAGATAGATAGATTAGATAGATAGATTAGATAGATAGATTAGATAGATAGATTAGATAGATAGATTAGATAGATAGATTAGATAGATAGATTAGATAGATAGATTAGATAGATAGATTAGATAGATAGATTAGATAGATAGATAGATAGATAGATAGATAGATAGATAGATAGATAGATAGATAGATAGATAGATAGATAGATAGATAGATAGATAGATAGATAGATAGATAGATAGATAGATAGATAGATAGATAGATAGATAGATAGATAGATAGATAGATAGATAGATAGATAACTTTTTTACTGACAATATTTTGCTTAAGATGTGGTATTGTGCAGTGAAGGTAAGCGGGTTCATGCAGCGATACTTGAACAATCTTTTGCTGTTTGCTGGTAGATCCTTGCACATTTTCGTTGGATCGCTCCATCAGTGAGCATTCCCGGTATTTCTTCTCTTGTGTTGTTAGAGACTGAATGTCTAAAAAAAAATATTCATTCATAGTTTAAGTTTATCCATTATTCATGAAATACTTCAATATACTACAAATTGAAGTTCATTTATTTTTCTGGTTAGGAAAAACTGTTCATATCTAGAAATGATTTATCATCATCACAAGAAAGATGCATAGGCATCCAGAAAATGTCCGGAATGTTCCTTTGACTAATTTTTATTGCATGCCAACTGAGTTCCAGTCGACTGAAAATAAAAAATAACAGCGGGAGAAAAAGTCTTCAAAGTTTTCTTTTCGAATTTTAAAATTACTCCAAGGGAAATATTTATCATTTATATAGATTTTGAATGAAAAACATTGCAAAAAGTTTTGGTACAAATTCCAAATTTGTTTTAAGATAAAAATTTGTATAATCAAATATTCTTTAGGAAAAGCTTTTTTCAGTTTTTCATTTATTTTTCTTCATGCATGTATTGAATTCATTTCATTTCTAAGCTTTTTTTTTTCTATCTTTCCGTTCTCTCCTTTTCCACTTTTCGTTTTCCTCCTCTCGTAATTTCCGGCTCAAAAAAAGCAGTTAAGAATTTTTTTTATCTATAAAGTATTGAAGGTTACTGTTTATATCGATTTGTCAATTTCTCCACTTCTTATTTTCAAAACTTCTTTCTTTGTAGAAAAGAGGAGGCGCTTTTGCGCTGAGTATTCAGGAATGCTCAGTCCGTATTTCCTGCTATTGCTAAGTATTCAGGAAGATCGGATGCTCAGTCCGTATTTCCAACGATAAATCAATAATGTGAAGACTTTTATTTTGTCATCGAAATGGTTTTTTTTAAACAGTAGTGAGGTAATCCGTTTAGTTTTACTGAAGCAGTCCATTTCCTTGCGTGATTTCATTACACATTTCATACCATCATTTAATTCTGGTAAGAATTAAGATACGTCTATATGCTAAGCGAATGTTTTTAATGAGATTTAACAATATCCTTTCCCCTCTTTCCAGTCTAATAAATTATATATTTTCAAAGAACTGGGCCACAAAAAAGAGAGAAGGGAGTCGATTATGAGAGGGAGTGGTTTGTTATTGCTAAGGCTGTTTTGGCTAAGAGATTTATTTTGTCAAATCAGACACTGTCATTTTGACTGCATGAGCTGAAATGCAGAAGAGTAATCATCAGGCCACTTAAAAGGAAATCAAATCAATCATCAGAGAAAGATGATCGAATAAAGAATTTATTCCCGACCAAACATAAAAGCCTAAAAACGATCCTCTGATTCAATAAATAATATTTTTAATTATCACAGATCGCTTCGAAACAAAAAAATGAGTTTTGTATGAACTAGTATCTCTGATATTTTACACTAGGATGAGGGTCAATAGTCATTCATGCAATGCTAGCCATCGCTTTTTTGGATGTTAAGACAGACCAATGCAAAGCAAATTGTTCTGAAAGTAAGCTATCTGGATGGTTCAAATAATTAAATTTATATTTCTTAGACCAATTCAAATGTGATATTGTTACACATGCTGGATTATGATACATTTTAAGACTTTAAACCATTCTGAAATTGAATTTGAATTTAATCTGAATAGAATTTGAAAACATGAAAGGCTAAATATGATAACTTGCTATAAATAATAAAATATTAGAATTCTCTTAAAAGTTTTATTTTTAATTTCTCAAACGTTAATTATAAATAGAGGAGATATTAAAATGAAACGATTCAAAATCGTTCTCTGATTCTGATTACATGGATATTAATTGCACCAAATCATCCATCCCTTTTCTGTACGGAGTATAGATGAATAGACGAATAAGTGTCAACAGCTAATCTTTAACTGATCTTAATTAATTGACATTGGTGGTGTGAGTCCGCAATAATACAGCCAGGTGGTTAGCAAAAAGGACGTAAAATATATTGCTTTCTGAAACATTCATTAAAACTAAGTTTTGTGGATATCATTCAATCCATGTGAAATTGCATAAATGTTGAAATATGACGCTGACTTCGAAATGCAATAACTAATACTTCAATTATCACAGATTTCTAGCAGTCAAACTTGATATATACAATAGTATTAGTAACGTTAAATCACCATTTAACGTATTAGAGCACAGTATTGATCTTCCCGATTAACACTTCTGGATGAGCATTACTATCAGTAGTGTATTGATGAAGACAGATGGCTTTGGTAAACATCCTAATACACTTCGTTTCATAAAATTCCGCCAACAAATATAGCAAGGAAACTGGATTCTCAAACTTTCAATAACGCATAATCATTTTACCATTTCTCATCACTCTTTCATAATCTGAAAATTTTGGAAAGTTTTAGCAGGAGAAGCTTTGTCGCCTTTTCCAAACAAATTATCAATTGACTATACTAAAAGTGAAGTGAATTTGTGTGAAATAATTTGGCATCTCTTATCAATCGATAGTTTCTGTCCTCGATTAGAAAAAAAAGCGGTTTTTTCAAGATAGCACCAATATAATTTGACTGGTTATCACAAATGGTACGAATTCATTGCTTAGCCTTATAAGCTATATTAGAAATAGCCAATTACTCACTCAAATTTCAAATTACTTTTACTTCCATAACCAATACTATATTATCACAAAGTTCTTTAGTTCTATAACTACACTAAATAGCCATCAATGATAACATCTGATATCTAATGGCCAACACATAATGGAAGAAAAATAAGCAAACCACTGAAATTCACGGTACCCATCGATAAAATAGATAACAAATTAAACAAGTACTCTGTTCTCCTTTTTTGTTTGTTTGTCTGCTTGTTTAAAAAAAGATTAGTACGAGAGAAATCTATCTCAATTATTCTGATTTTGAATTTAATCATGATTAAATTTATGAATTGAGAACATACATATATGTTCACAAATAGCTATTTATAATAATCTCAATTATCAGTTAATTATAATGCTAATTTACTTTCCTTTGAAACAAATTCTTGAAAGAAGTTTAAACAAGCGAATTTAATTTTTTCTTATGTAAATTTCTCTCTCTCGTTATCTTGAAATTAATGGTACAAACGACTTTCTTTAGTTCTGTTTTTGTACATGAAAAGAAAATTAAGTTATGTCTACTTGCAATTAATTTTTCCTATTGTTCGTCTGGCCAATTTCCTAATTTAATACATGATATTTTGATTCCCAAAAACAGATGGAAAACGTCAACTTTACATCTAGTGATTTTACATCTGATGATATTTTGTTATTCGAGGAGATGACCTAAACTTTGGTATAAAAAATAAGTACTTTAGAGAAGTGATATGAAGGATATTGAATAAGCAATATGCCCGAAAAGAGCTTAACACCTTCTTCAAAAACATATGTCAAAAATTGAAAAGCCGCTATTTTGGGGCGAAAAAAAAGATTTATTGACATTCTTTCTTTGACATCAAATCTTTAATAGATTCTTCTCCATTGTATTAATTTGTTATACTTAATGAATAATCATGAATTATTGCGCTACTGATCCAGACCGAACCTATTCCTAAATAAGTTCTTAACTTAAAACTTCCTTCTTCGAACGAAAATGCTTTTTTTATTGCATTTGTTCGAACTACTTTTTAATTATTGTATTATTATGACAGAACTAATTATATAAATTTATAGGAATGATATATGTGTGATTTTTTTAACCAAATTATATCTGTAGTACTTTGTAAAGATCAATATTCAATATTACTACACATTACTATACTTATTTACATAGCTGATGTCTTATTTTGTGGGATATTTTCCCAAACAGAAAAAAAAAGATAAGCGAAATGGCAAAAATTAATACCTTGTAAACAGAAGAATATAGCAAGAAATGTAGTAACTAAAATCATAATGGGAATAGAAACATTTGAAGTACAGTAAACAGTGGTGAGCGAATAGGAAAAATAATGTATGAAGTTGGAATGCCAATTGACGATGAGTACAGAAAAAGCTCTGCGACGACAAAAGCTAATGTCCTTCACTTCTGGCCTTTTGGATGGTAGTAATAGGAATTATGTTTGTTCACTTCCGATAACAGCTCTGATGAATCTTGCCATTAAAGATGAAATTTTGGAAAATCTCTAGAATTTTGGTACAATTTGATAAAACGCAAAAAACTCGAAGAGTAGCATATATTCAAATATTTTAGAGATTTAAATTTCTTTCGGAAAGCTGGAAAACAAAAATTGACCCAAAACTGAAAGTGAAAGGACGAAGTGTATCGATTATTCTTCAAGCAATATCACAAAATCAACAATTTACCTACATGTGTGCTCTCGCACATGTGAAGAGACATGGGAAATTAGCTTCCTCCATTTGGGAACTCATTCATCAAGTCTAGAAGAGGTCAACCATAGCATATTCATTGGGCTAATTGCTATTCAACCTATTACATTTCGTATCAATAATGATATGTTTACATAGTGAAAATATCCCAAAAAATGATAATTCACGTAAAATCAGTGATAAATTCACCTAAACAGTTGCGGTATTGGTAATACATTTCATGTTGCATTGACATATGTGCTAAGTCAAAAAAAGTTAATACTGATAAAGTTATTAAGATATTAGATCAATTATATAACAAACAAAATCCAATCAAAAAACGGAATGGACAAGACAGAATGATACAAGGATTTCTAGACCTTCATTTTATTCCAAATGTTTCTTTTTCTTAATGATTTTGAAATTTATTATAAATATAAAGTAATTTCCTTTTTTATTTCTAAGAAAATAAGCTCTCAATCCAAAATGAACGAAATAGGTTCGATTCTGAGTCCTAGCAAAAATCATAACGAAGCAATCACTCGAACAGCAGTGGTACGATGAGGACAGCAATGCATAACTGTCATCATCGCTGCGTTTGGTGGCACATCTAGTGATGATAACGCCCCTTATGACCAAATAAATTTTGTGTACAGAGTTTTCACAAAACTAATTCATTTCTGTATATCCCAAATTTATCTAATAGTAGCTTAACTATTGGAGTAATCTCCTAGCACAGTCACCACATACGTTTCACATTAAAAAATACGTAAATTAAATGCTCGACATCTTCGCATCAATCCGTCTTTCTCCGTCTTTCTATATTCTATTCGTCGATCAAATTAGTCAGCAAAAAAAAATTCGCGTCATCTACTACTGCTATCTCAAATCATTTTCATAACTTTGTTATGGAAACTAAAAACAATTCGAATCATTCGATTGAATCATTCAAGAAAAAGAAGAAAGTGGAAGGTCAAAGATCATTTAAAATCCCTGTATTATAAGTTATAAGTATGCAAGAGAGGAAGCAGAAATAAAAAAGTAAGGTTAATCATAATTAATTGCGCTACGCAATAATTTCGTTTCGTTATCAGGAAGAAGAGGACAAGTTCCTTCAATTTGTGCAGTAATTGGATTTAAATATAATTAGCTGCGCATCTGCAGTATGCTACCATCTGCGCAGTTGTAAAAAAACTTTGCAAATAATGCAGATGTCAATTTAAATCCTTTAAGTACTTCAGTTAGTTATATATATATACATCTTATTTAAAAATGAACACTCATGTGATCATTAAAATGCAATAACCGATTACTGGCGTTAGTTGAAGGATTTCTAATAAAATTGACTTTACATTTGACTCGAAACACCTACTTTCTGATGAAGTAGTCTTCACTGACCATTAGTCATTCGAACTCAGTAAACAGACAAGGTATAAATTACGAAAGATTTCAGTTTTGTTAAACAATAATCATTGAAGGTTTACAGCGGAAAATACCCTCATTCGCAACTTGTGATAGTGTAATTTAGCCCACAAAAGTAGTGATGATCATAGGTAATCATAAATTGTGACATGAAGGGAAATGATATTCTTATGCTTTATAACTTATGTCAAGCTTTATATAAGTTAATACTTGACCTATCAGCTTCTTAAAAAATAATTCTCTCAGATGAAGATAACGATATCGAAATTAGAAAAAGATAATGCGGTTGGTGGAATATATTTGATGACTCAGTAATATAGAAATACAGCAGTAACTGTTCGTTCACTTCATGCTGTATTCTGCTTAGAAAATTTCTCGAAATATTGTTTCAGAAATACATTATCTTTATAAAAACTTAATCCCTGAATAAGCACAGACGATAATTCATCTTCTCGGACATCTACAGGTATTTCGGATTTAAAGTCATTTGGTTTTTTTTTTTTTATTTTGAAACTCGAATTAAGAATATATGGATGTAAAAATTTCCGCATGATTTCCTAATATAAACCTTTCTGTATGATAAAGTATAAATTCGTAAAGAATTTGAGGAACTGATTTGGATAAGGACTGAACTGACTTTATCCATAAAAATCAAAATGTTCCCAAGTTTATTTTTCCATCTTTTCAGTGCATGAGTTACAACAAACTAATGTACTACATTTAATTTTGTTTTATAATTACGAATAAGACATCAAAAAGGTGTCTAAGTTGAGATAGTTAAGTTAGAGCACTTCATCTTCGATGATGAGAATGCTTTAAATTTATGTAGTAAAACGATAAGAGGAGATAAAAAGTAGAATCTTCGAAGTCTGAAAATCTTATGGACATATTGCATGTTTTAGAACCAATATTTTTCGCTGCCATTAGAAATAGTAAATATTATATGGTAAAGAATCGATAAAAATATTTGGCTATGCAATTTAATCCTAAAAGTTGTAAAAAAACCCAATGACAAGTTGTACTGTCCACAAGTATTTGAACAATTTCTGAGGCTCTTTTTACATCTCAAGGATTGTTATTTTGAACTTCTTTTGTTTCCCCAGGCGATTTAAATTTCTGGTATTTATTGCGCTATATGACGATAATAGCGATAAACAATTAGCATTGTGGATATGCAAATGATTATGCTAACAATAAAGATAACTGTTGTAGTAGCAATACTCATTGCATCACCTAAAAAAAGTATAATTTTTCTTGAAATATATAAGTATTTAAGGACAAGAACTTCCTTCTCTTCATTTCATTTATCCAATTTTAAATAAAGATCATACGGACTGATGAATCTGGCATTAGCAGATAGTCATTTAGTGCAGTCATTGATTACCGAATAGTCACGGTGAACCCTTTTGTTTGTTTTATCAGTTTTATTCATTCAAGAATTCCCTTGATTTAAGAGATCATCTTGTTTGATTCACAACTGCATATCATCGATATGCTTACCTTTACATTCCGATTGGGACATGCAATTTATATAGAAGAGTACGTTGGATGCAATAATTAGTGGTAGTAAAATTGTCTGAAAGTTGTGAGTATTCTTAAGAAGACTAAATTATAGGAAATGAAGTATTCATAAGATTATATCATAGAATTAGACTCCATGCCATCACGCATTACCATCACTCATCCTCGACTCTTCGGAACAAGATCTCTAGTACGATAGAGATATATTTGGCGTTGATGATTTAATACAAAATTGTCCAAGTCAAGTTTATGTAAATTGAACTCTAAGTTCTCCCTCTGAATTAAGAAAAGTTTGGAGATTAAGATGGGACTATTAGAGGTTATTCAGTACGATCATAAAAATAAGAAAGAACTAACAAAAATGGTTAGAAGTGGACAGAGAAGACATATGTTATCCAAACATGTGGCAATAAAGCCCAGAATAGCTGCATTAAGAAAGATTAATGGTATACCAATAAATAATATTTTGTTAATAATTTTATTAGTTTTGTTGTAGTTCCGCACAGTGTGATATACTTCCAGACTTCCAGCAAATACCGTAACAGAAACCACAATATACATCCATATCTTTGAGATAATCCAGTTTTAGTTACCTTTTCTCTTATGCCTTTTTTGTAGTACCATCACATCAATATAGAATATAGTCTGGGAAGCTTAAACATCTTAGATGATTAGATCAGATGATGGAGATTACTACAGAAACAGTTTTATAACCATACGCATTCTGAATAAAAATAGTTGGTTATGCTTGCAATAGTACTGCTGAGATACTTCTATATTTTTCTATATTTTAATCATGTATTCCAATGCATAAAACACTTATATCCAAATTTAGGCTATAAAGATTTCAATGTTGATATTGATCTGTTGCAGAATTCACATAAATATTACCTTAATATCACAGCCTAAGAATGTGTTCTCAGCCATTCCTGCAAGGATAAGTTTACTTAAAATAACTGAGATTTCAATGTAAAAGTATACTGAAAAAAAAATTGAAAGAGAGAGGAACAGACAGGCAGCGAAAGATAGGATAGCCACCTACAACTGCTTCTTATGAAATATACAATGAACGAATAATTTTATACTGTTCATAACATTTTTCTAAAACTTCTTGCATAATTTGCATAAAATTAATTTTGAATAGAATGCTCAATATGCATAATTCATTTGGGAACTCAACGTATGCACTTCACAGTTATGTAAAAAAAAGCAATGGCAATGCAGACATTATATATATTCGAGAATGCTTAGCACAATTTGAGTGGAATAATTTCTTGTGCTTCACTTAACATCGAGTAATCCGGTCCGAGATGTAAACGACCTGACTACAGAAAAAGATATAGAATGATCTGATAACTGGCAATGAAAGCTTGTGTTACAGATAGCTTAATTATGACATCACGTCTTGGCGATTAAAGTGATTTTAATTTTTCAGAATGAGTGAGCATGTGGTAAAGAGTTAGTTCCAATCAATAATATAAAGTTTTTTATTTCGAAGCAACAAAAGAAGGTACGAAACTTACGTGTAAAAGGTTTGAAAAAGTTTGCCATTGAAAACAAGTAATAAAATGGAAACTGATATAACACTAACAAAAAATTAACGAGTTTTGGATGAGTATCGGTCGGCGGCAACTTTTAACTTCATTCGTAGTTCACTAGTTTTCACCAAAGCTAAAGGTGTTTGCTTTTCCTAAAAAAAAAAAATAAAAGCCACTGAACCAACCAAAAATCAGTATGATCGAAGGAAATATCATTTTAATCAGCAAAACTATGTAAGTATGAATAACTCATCAAACTCCTAAAAAAACTAGAGTAAAACAATTTCGTCCAACATTGCCATCGAAAATGAAGATAATTCAGCCAATTCCAGAAGCGCTTAATTTGAAAACAACTGAAATATTTTCAAGTAAAGTATACCTTATTTTCGAAATATAAATCAGCACCGTGTTCCACTAACAATATAGCGATATCTTCTCGTTGTTCTTCCACTGCCAAATGCCTATAATTCGTTCCGATGCTTACAATATCCTCTCTACTTAGGCAGTAAATAAAAGCAATATCTGCATTAATAAAGTCGAAACAAACAAGAAAATACAACAGAATTTGGAAAAAATTGGAATCAGGAGAACATTTTTGGGCACTTAAACAATATGGAAAAGACATTTTCAATCATATAAAGTATTGAGCAATTATCGCAGAGGTACAAGTCACTTGATGCAGAAACGAAGATATAGAAAGAGTAACTGCATATATGAATAAGTAGAATTTATATAGATAAGACTTTCTTGGTCCAGTCAGTTAGAAAAAGAGTGAACTAACAAAGAAGTGTTGTCAGAATACAAAAAGAAAAAAAAAAAGACAACACACAAGCAGCTTAACTAAAATTAATCAGAGGAAAAATCTTCCAGTTCCTTAATGTATCTAACAAACTTACAGTGCTGTACAACCAGCAGAATCGGTGAGATTAATCCTTAAGCTTGGTTCGTTCAACAAAATAGGTACAATCTGAAGGCAACCATTTCATCAGGCTTTGTAATGAGAAAGAGAACTTCATGTTCACTTAAGTTTGGTCTATATGCTTACATTACTACGTCACTGACCTTTTCGTGACCTTGAGAAGCGGCTCGATGTAGTGGTGTTGCTTGATAATTGTCCTGTGCATTTACGTTTGCACCATTTTTCAATAAAATTGTCGTAATCTCAAATATTTACATTTGAAATATAAACATTGACCACAAATTCAAACCTATAACTTAAGTTGTGCAAAACATCCTTTTGAACGATTGAAATAATATATCGGCCGCATGTCAAATATTACCTGTGGTCTATTTTTACTTGCAGCATAATGTAAAGCAGTTTGTTTATTATTATTTGGAGTATTAACATCCACCAAGGGAAGAGTAACCAGATATCGAACCACTTCTAGTCGTCCAGCTGAACAGGCAATCATCAGTGGTGTCCAACCCATCTGTAGTTTTTAGTAAATTTAGGTCTCTCATTACGGCATGTGTGGAGCAAGTGAAACGCAAATAAAAATAAGTACGCAACGATCTTTTACACAGCTCTTTGTGAATGAAATTATTGTACACATTTCCAGAAGATCCAATTTCTTTATGTCTGTATAGATGCTTGTTTCATAACATAATGACATTCGACAAAAGGAACATTAACTTTAATGATTCAAGACTTACGTCATCCAACGCTATGGCGTCATCCTTTTGTTGTGATATACAGAACTGCACGATCTCTAAACAACCGCCACTCGCTGCCCAATGAACTGCTATTCGACCAGACTAGAAACAGATTTATTAAACACAACTTGTCAATAACATACAATTTAATGAATTAGTATTAACTTTATAATTTATATAATTTAATGATTTAATGAATTAGCACTAGGAAACGTGATTTTTTGAAATCCTGGTTTTAATTCACTTGTCGATCTGAGGTAACGGGCTTAAGCTAGATCACCTCCACAGAAAATTCCCACGGGTACATTAAATCATATCAGAGAAATTACATCATCCTTTCCAGATCTTAATGTGTCGTATTTTTGTAGCAACCGCTTCGCATCTTCTGCTTTATTCTTACGCAGCGATTCGACAAGCTCTGTTCGCGCCGCTTCCAATGTTTTTGTGTGTTTTTCATACATTACTTATCTAAAAAAGAATAATAACATAAGTCCCATGTCACTAATTCGTAAATCCTTCTGGTTTCTTTTTATTCCATCTTCAACACAACTGACTAAAGGACACAAAAGGCTTATTCCTCTTCAACATTTACCACCATAAGATATATATATATATATATATTAAAGTCAACAAAAATGCAGTGCATCAGCCATATGAAGGAAATAGTTCAGCATCAACTTCATTGGACACCAAAAGTATATTACAGTTATAGAAAATATTCCTATTCTGAGAACTTCAAAAAATAATCGAAAGTACTCGTTTTCTTAGTATATATATTATAACAACAACATATAAAAATAAGGCAAAAGTTATCAAAATTTTGTCTGTGCATTCTCGCCTGCCATACTTTGATATCAGCTTTCCACCACTCTGTAATTAAGAGCATCATCAAAATCCGGCAAGCCTTAATACATAAAAAAATACCTAGAAAAATCGAAGCTATCAGCTTCTCTTAATATTTCACGTTAGCAATTCACCATTAATTTAAAAGGCTGAAAGTGATCACTTGTATGTGAGCGCCTATCGATGAATATTCAGATTCTGTGTCTTTAAGAAGAAATGAGGAATGGATTAACGATGAGGTTGTGTCTTCGGATAGCTTCAACTGATCGCTCATTTTTGTCACCAGTGATGCAAGACTTTCTGTTGCCTCAAAATAAAACAGATTTCTAATTTAGAAGAGTATAAGCAAAAGTCTCATAAGTTTGCTATATTTTTTATGAGTCCGACTAAGGCTCTCGAACTTGAGCAATTCAACTGTACATATCTGGCTTGTTTTAGAAAGATTTAGGAATTAATTTCCTTACAATTTAATAAGCGAAACGACAAAAAAGTATTTGAAAAGTACTTTCAAAGTTTGTGTTTTCAAGTTTTCAGCACGCCTTCTACGGTTTCTGAATTCAATGTCCTGAGAATCATCACCACCTTGCAATAAATAAGTGCGCGACTGTTCTTCTATAACATGTCCTCACAGATACACTAATTTATAGAACGTGTAAAACTTTTTATGAGAATTCAAAGTCTTCTGGAAAGCTTACCCATGACTTTCAAAAATTCAAAAATTGCTTGACGAAGCATTTGGCGATTCTTTTCTAATTCATTCCGATGTTCTTTCACTTGAGTCAATAATTCGATACGATCATTTCGAAAACTTATCTAAATATGTATATAATTGGGTAACAATTCCAGAAAAATAATAAATGAATAAAAATGAATTTTATATAGCGAGGCAAAAGGTAGGTTACCTTGTTTGCGAATTTCTCTAAGGCATTAATTAAATGAGCAAGTTTGGCCATTTGTTCCTTAATGTCTCGAGTACATTGGGCTATTTCTTTCTCTGACATGAAGTTTTGCTGCCTTAACAAAAAGGGACACAGAAATATATTATATCGCACAAAATATGAATTGTATGGATCACATAGGAAGCATAACAGAATCTCTTTAGTCTCAACTTCTCAGCTTTATTTCGTCAACAAAAATATAAAACATTGCACGAGCTTACCTTAAAATATGAGGTTCATACTACACACTCAAACTTAACTAATCCAAGAACATACACTTCACTAGTACAGACTAACCTAATTCCTTCGATATGGTTTTTCACAGCAATATCGGCCTTAAGAATATCTTGTTGGTAAACTTGCAACTGCACAAGATTGAAATTTTGCATCCTCAAGTCCAAGAACAGAATATGGTCTATTTCTTCTTGCACAAAATTTGTACAAAACTACCGACGTAAATCGAACTGTAAGGAATTTGATTTATTTCTTCAACAGTTATATAATTGAAATTAAAGTTTAGTATCTTGTATTCTTTGCGACAAGGATTTTCGTAATTCTCTGCAAATTTTGAAAGAAAAAACTAGAGAGTTTAGATTTTACTTTCTGATAAACAAATTTCAAGAGACAAAGTGGAAAACCACATGAATGAATCAAATATATGCGAATACTATTTTACAATTTATGCATTTTCCATAATTTTTTTGGCCGGAATATTTATGATCAAATAAGAAATAAAGATTCTTAAACATAAGTTGACAATGACAACAACAAACTACACTTCATAACCATACTGTCTCATGCACTTCTTGTGAGCTTCTATCAATTCACCGCAATGTTCTTCACCGAACAAAATCATACATTCATCTCTAGCCTGAAAATTTAGAATTACCAAAATCACCGAACTAAAGAAGTACCATTAACAGACTTTACTATCTCAAGAGTCATTCAACATGATAAGTTGATTAATAACATCGTGATAGCATTAGATAGATTTCGTAAAGTACTCCATATTATTTCATATCATTTCATGATGCCATTCTTTGATTTCTGCATTCAATGCATTCAATAAATTCCTTTGTTTTACAGATTTTTATCAACCCCTACAAATTTTCATTCAGAATCCAATTTCTGCTGACTTTAAGTAAATTCCAAACTTTTTTACTTTGTTCTAACAATTAATTTACTCTGTTTACAATCAACTTGAAGGCTATATAAAAGCAAATATAGTGAAAAGTGTCTACTAGTCAAGTCAGTGCTAAATTAGTATAATGTCATTATCAGAAATTTAAAAACTGCTCATATTTCAGACACGTAAATTAACCTTTTTAGTTTCTGGACAAGCGCAGCACGGCTTGGGCTTTTTCAAGTCATTATCTTTCGACGATATCAAACAACCCTCACCGTCACTCATCTGTAAAACAGGATTTAGGTAAATGTTTACTGGGTTAGACCAATATTACATAAATTAATGTACATAAGCCTTTGCGAACTTCACCACTGACTCACATACCTGACGATATGTAAGTTACACCTATTCATTGTTTTGTAGATCATTATAACTGCACGGCTCGATGTATCAACTCACATACATTATAAGCCATAACACAACTAATCAGAACTAAGTACATCTCTAGCCAACATTTCACGCATATATATGAACTCAGTATGCTATACAGCATTTATGAGCTACGCAAGAACGCTCGTCAAATAAAAGTAACCCGCAAAGTAACGAATGAATCAACCACTCATAAATGATGCTAAAAAAATTTCAGATCAGCAATTCCACTTCTTTATTTGACAAACAACCATTTTAATTGTAAATAACTCCAGTTCGTGGAGCTACATTAAAGATGAACAGAAATCTTCCAAGGAAAAGTCACTTTACTGAAGTATTTATTATGCAGTTATGCAAAAACATATAGGCAATGAAAAGAAGCGAAAAAACATTTATATAAACCACTGCTGAAACATCTAAATCCTAACAATATGAAATTGAGGCTCACAAACATCAAATGCTAGATAATTATAAAATTAAACGAGGCAACCAAGTCGAGGGATTCTAGTGGCATTACGAAACAGAAAACTTGGGCTGAAACAAAAATATTAATCGAAAACAGTAGTAGCTAAAAATAACAAAAGTAGCCTGATCATTTTCCGAAAACAATACCAATACTAATGAGTTCTGACAATATTCAAATATAAAAATACAGACTTTTAATGTGCAAAAAAAGATACCTTCTTATAATGCCCCCCTTATTTCAATAACGAGATAAATAAAAACACTAGTAATTCGATTGATAATTAAAATTTCTTTAAAAAAAAAAGGTTCCTCTAAATGGAAATATCAGAACAATATTTGAAAGACTTCCATGCAAGATGATACTCACTTGAAAAAATACAATGCAGAAACTTTTGGAATGGACAGCAATCAAATTACAGTTTTCATCGACATAGAGGAACATATTTACGGGGACAGAAGTGCGATAAAAATGTCAGTAGCGCATAGAATACTGAGATAGAAATCTGAGGTCCCGCATCGACATGAAAATTATCGTTAAGCTATTTAAGACTAAACGATAGCCTTAATATAAAGAAAAGTACAGAAGAGTGTTTATAAAGATTTCGATGAAGTATTAGTAAACAATATAAAGTTGTGAAACTGACAAAAAAACCAAAGTTACTTTTATCTTGTTTGCAAATCCAAACCAAGCAATTTTTCCCTGCCAAGAAGACAGTACCATCGATTTCGTTCCACCTAAAAATCAGCTCAACAAATTTGAATCCAAAACTTAGCCTCTAAATTCTAAGTCTAATTACTCCGTTCATTTCTTAATAGTTTATAAGAATCTATTAAAAGTTATACTTCATAGACACTCTGTAAATGAAACAAAAATAAGACCTAAATTTGAAGTTTAAAATCTGAATGAATACAATGCAAACGCCATGAAACTTTGTAATGTCCTAAAACGGAACTACCTTCGAAATCCGCGATTAAAGATCATGGTCAGACAAAAATATGATTGAAGATAGTCACTTTTGAGATGAAAGATGAAAATGACCTGCGTAACTGCACCATGTAATATACGATAAAAAACATAATTTTATCCAAAAACATAATCAGTGGCTCTCGACAAATCCCACCAGTTGCAGCTTAGTGCCGAGATAGCGTCCTCCTGCAAGACTTACAATCAGACAGAAAAATAAATCAAAGGTTGAAAATCTGAACTTCGCAGTTTTTTGTCCTGACTACTCCAACTTCTATGAATTTAACCTGCTTGACTCCCATATCTTTGAGTTTGTCGATTTTGTTCCAGAACTCGTCATCCCGCTTACCTTCGGCTTTGGCATAATGTTGCGCCCAAAATCGAGCCGTTCGCTAAAATTAACAATTTACAAACCCGAAAAAAGTCAAATCGATAAATTAATGATTATGTATTACAATTAATTATTAACCAACTTTGTAAAGTTGTGCATTGTCCATGTATTGCCTAGCAACAACAGCATCTTGAGGGTCATTTGGTTCCGGTAAAGTTAACAGTGCCTGAATACTCAGTAACACGGTACGCAAAGTTAGAGAAGCGGCCCTGAAAAAAGCTTGAGTTACCAGTTACTTGAAACAAAAAAAGTTTAGAATAGGGAAAATCTTCACTCAGTAGCATGCCGTTTACAAGACTATTCCTAATTCTAAAATTCGTTTACAAAACTACGTCCAATTATAAAGAATTTCGTTTATCGAATTTAACATAGGGGGAAAAATACAGAAAGGCTAAATTTTTTGGATAGCACCAACAACATACCATTGCTCTTTTAATATATCAAGGCAAATTGTCCCAGTCTGCGAGCTGATGTTAGGATGCCAAATTTTTGTAATAAACTTGCACTGCAAACAAATACCAGATATTCATTCAACAATTAAAGGATAAATAAAATGCGCACATCAAGTATTTTCGCATTCATAGCAAATTTTTGAAAGTAGCTACGATACGAAAACATTATTCATCGATGGGTGTAACGAGAAAAACCAGTCTTGTATTTAAATGGTTTATTAGGAAAGAGAAGATCGAAATAGGATGCAACACCTCCAACCATTTCTGTTGTCACTGACCGAACAATTATATTACTTTAAGAGAAAAACTGAGTTTGAATCATATAAACAGCTTTACATCTTACGAAATAAAACTCACTACAGGTGGCTGGAAAGGATATTCGTCTGGAATTGTGATATCCAAAGCATAAGTACCACCTTCGTATGGACTATCTGGTGGGCCTCGTATCTCTCCACGTATTTTTGTCAATGAGTCATTTCGAATTTCAATCATTACGCCTGTTTCAGCCAGCTAAAAGCTTAGTATAATGCGTTCGAACTTCAAAGTTTTCTGTGAAGCAAAAAATTCTCACTAGAATCTATCGGAAACAGCAAAAGAACTGCGATCATCCTTTTTGTTCTAAATACTGTCCCACTCAAAACATATGTCATTTTCTTCAGTTACTCCAACTACTGTGCCATATGTGGAAATAATACGGAAGGAGTTCTCAGGTTAAAAACATTGGCACATATATTTTGAATGAATGGAAACTTCTTTATTAGTGATGATTTCTTTGCACTCGCGTTGTACACGTGAAAAAGCGATATTCTGAGACATTGTGAAAATGGCCTGGTCTGGATCGATCGACTGAAAAGCAATTGGTTTTAATTTAAACGCTTAAAAAAGAGAGAACTTAATTTGGGACGTAAAATAATTTGGACAGACTTAAGAGTGATGAAGGAGATACTTGCAGAAACTTCTTACTATCCCAAGTTAAACACTCGTTTCTTCCGTTGTAGCAACCATGAATCCGAAGTCTGCCCGACAGCAGTCCATATCTATACCTATACAAGAGATACCCAACCAAGACTCAACAACGACACTATGTTCAACTACCCCTCGATTCACAATTTTCACGAAAATGTCGCTCTCTTCTCACAAGGCCGCGAGACAGTTGTGAAATGAAAATCTTAATTGCGTAGAACTAGTTGAATTGCAGAAGTCGTTGGTTTATTCTGGTTAAAGTTGTTTGTTGTTTGGATTGACTTCAAGTGATGCTTTTTTGACTCATCAACTGATTTCGGGTGACTTTGCACACTTGTTCAGTAATTTCAGTTAAAATGGGCAAGTCAGCGAAAAAGAGGGAAACGAGTTGCGTAAGCGAAGAACAAAGACGGAAGGCGCTCGAGAAATCGAATGCAAAAACGAAATGTTGGATATTTGGTGTTGCTCTTACGGGTTCGTGCTATTCTTGTTCCTTCCTCGATTTCTTAATGGTTAAATATGGTGCCAGTGATCTCTGACATTTCATAGTATACTAAATTGTTGATCGAAAAGGACTATATCTTGTGATCCACAATTACCTGCATAACTGTAACCTCCAAAAAAAAAAATCAACACGATACAATTATACATATGCATAATTAGAGAGTCTTGTATATACATAGAGAGAGAGAAAGAGTCATATATAAGAGCACTGTCGTTCGTCCTTTTTACATGATTTTTACGGACTGACATAAGCTTTATCAGCATTTGCTATAATTCATTTTCAAGTGTTATGTTGAAAGACATGTACTTATTTCTGCAGATTTTTTGTTGTGACTGGCAAAAAAAAATTTTTTTTTTGAGCATTTGACGAACAGTACAACATTTAACACCAGTGTTTTTGTCGCCAAAACCTAGTTTGAGAAAAAGTTTTAGCACTTTTTAGACTTTATTTTTTGTTGATTACTACAATTGGAATTTTTTTTCTCCTCCTTGATTAGATTTTATAATAGGCTGCAATCAAATAGACACTGATAACAGTTCTTTATGCAACCTTAATAATCACTATATATATGTTAACAAATGCAGAATATATTTTTGTACAGTCGTAAGTATTATTAACAGTCTGAATTTTAGCGTTATGTTTTCACCATTATATTTCTTATCTGAAAACCAGTTTTGAATCAGTTTTCTCTTAAAAAATTAGAAAGCTATTCTGAAAAAAAAAAAGTGAGTATTGATTAATGCTTTAAATACGTAGTGTTGCAGCAAAAAAAGATCTTAAAAAAACCGAAATGAGTAATTTTGCTCCCGAAAAACGTTCGGCACAACTAACATCTGGGAAGCCTCTTTTATGTTGTTGTTCTAAAGATTTTAAATGGGAATTCTGGGGTTTTAGAAAAAATACTTGCCTTTCCTTTGTTTTCTTGATATTTGGCTTATAGCATCCAGCAAAAGTCGTGTTCATTCGCCGGAAGAATAGTTCGATCTCCTGAAGTTTTATTCCTGTTTCTAACACACTCTGATTTTAACGAACTGGGCAAAGTAGTCAAAAAAATAGTGCGTTAACCTGCTGTTTTGGTAGACTTGTTTTTTCGATGTTTTCGCGATAGAAGTCCTTGATTTTATCAGTTAGCTCAAGTCTTCTTAACTTTTCCATTGCTCTGCAATCATTTGTATTTTTATAAGGATTATATTTATGCATAGACGGAAAATTATTCTTCCTATTATATAAATGGATTTGAAGTAAGTGCAGTGACTTACTGTAGTTATGATATGGTATTTAACTGATTTCCCCATAGTTTAAAATTGATTACGAAGTATTAACCTTCTTTGTGCTTGGCTCAAACTGTGGATTATTTCTTTGAGAGCTCCGGGCACATCATTTGCATTATTCCATTTGTCATATTCCACGAACATTTCTGAGTCGTCTAATTTTTTTTTGATAAAATCATTAATGAGCTTGGATTCATTATTATCTGTGGCCTGCTGCAGGTGTTCTAATTCCGTCTCACCGCAGCGGTCCAACACTGCTCGAACACATTTAGGTTCATTTGCATAGCATTCAAATTTGTCGTTTTCTCTACTGAATGAAGGATAAGTTTTTCTTCATGCGTGTTTTTTTTTTTTTTTTTACTTGATTACAAATAGTTTAACAATAGTTGGAAATGCATATTTCCGAAAGTTCCAAGCGAAAAATGGTTGGTGAAAGTCTAAGCTTCGTTCTCTATTTGATTGGAGGGATCAAGAGGGCTATTATTAGATGTGCAGCACTGCCAAAGTTTGCTGCAACATAGTTGAACTCGAACTATAGGTAAACAAATGGTTCGTTTGACATGTTATGACGATTTTAATATTTAATTTATTAAGATTTACTTTTCTACTATTGCATGGCACATTTTTTGTTAGGTGTAATGAATATGTGTGAAAACTTACTCAAATAGCTTCCTGATTATATTCCATAGCCAAATTAAGATATTTTCTTCTGCTTCTTTCTGCGCAAGTTTCTCGCTATAGTATTCTAGAATGGCGTATTGGTCGATTTGCGGCAATTCTTGTTCAACTTTCGTGTTCCACAGAGCACAAATAACGCTATATATAGTGGCATTCTGCAATTGAAATCATTAATTCAGTATGAACAATGTTGGGGTATTTAAGAGGAAAAATGAGAGATCAAAAGGTTTACCCGATATGCTTCAGCGTATTTAAATTGTTCTTGCGTGAGATTCAGTGATAGAGCTGCGGTCAATTCATTAATGTCGGCAGCAAAATTTCCCGGAGCTTTTTGTGCATTATCTACGACACTCTTCAGAGCTTTATCTTTTGTTTTAAACAACTGCAAATTCAAGTGTGAAACCAATTTTTGGTTCGAGTTAAAGGCTGACTTTATAAAGATTCTGGACTTTTATATTGCATTGTGTTAGAGCTAAAGAAGAAGCTTATAAAACAATGTAAATAGCTACGGGAGAGTTGGGACGTTCACATCAGCATAATACGGGGAAACTAATTGTTTTTAAAATCCCTTTGCAAGTCTGCATAGTGATGATATTGATGAGAGATTGTTAAAAATAATAAGATGAATATGCTTTTGTCGTGGCGTAAATTGAAACAAAATTCCGTTAAAGTATCTTCTTGAGTAAAGTGTTCTTGTAATCCAAAGAATAATTGTCTTGACTTCTTTATTATTAACTTACTTCAGCTCGTTTACGATCAATCATGACTTTGAGCGAGGCGTAATTTTTTTCGCATAGATACCTATCCAAAATTGCACTTTCTGCAGTGTTTAAGTTATTTAACAAATAGAGAATTAGATTTGACGAGCTGATAATTGTATCGTTCAACTGTCTCTCCTTTGAAGTTTCAACCGGTGAAGCTGTTGTCACTGTAATTAAATTGCGAAGGATTTATTCCATTCTAAAATCTGAATTGCTCCTTACCTTAATTTTTTTTTGCTTAAAGATTAGCTTTTATTTTTCAACTTTTATTTTATATTTGCTTTGCTCATTTTGATCTCTTAAGTCTTAAACTCCAATTATGTCGTGCTTTCTTCTTGATTTGTCTTTATCTGTTGAACAGAGCCTTATCTGTTTCTGTATTTGATGCTACAGTTTTTATCAAATCGATTTAAGAAAGTAATGCATATGTGAGGATCTCTTAAGAAACTAAGTTCATTTATTTGGAGAAGGATACGTCAATAAATGTTTACCCTCCATTGTACTTATTTTCATTTAAAATTACATTAAAATGAAATTATAGTCCTTTTTTCCTTATGGAAAGTATAGAGTTTCCTTTAATGTTAATTCTTTGAAAGAACAAAGCGGATGTGGTTGATGTGATGTGGAAATTGATGTGAAAAAAATGGATCTTCTGGAGCTTTTACTAACTTCTCAAATTATGTATTTCTCCATCCCGATAACCCATTATTCACTGTACTTCATTGGGACCTTACACATCTGATCTTCCAGTAATTTCAAAAGCAGATGTATATTTCTTGCTTCTAAATGCACTTTTACTGAAAAAACTATTTCGGATAAGCTTTTCCTTTTAATTCATTTGTTTTTGCTGCTGGCGACTATCTGATTTCTTATGATCTCAGTCTCATGGAGCTGTTCTGATGTTTTTTTAGTTTTTAGTTTTTTAGTTGGCACTGCCGCAAAAATCTCTTAGATTTTCTTGAAAAATATTTGAGACTACACGAAACAATATAACCTACCCCAGAAATCGATCGTCCAGAAGACGTAGAAAGTAATGATTCTGTTGTTGACTTCCATATAATGTGAGATGTTACTAAAAATTTTCAGAAAAAAAAAACCGATAGATTCATTCTAACAATTAATTTAACTCATAAATACTACCCTTACTCAATTCTCCTAAGAGTGGATAAAATAATGAGTTAATCGATCAACAGATTCATTCTGTTCATTCTATGATGTTAGAAATTTAGTATGCATAATGTTAGAAGAAATAGGAAACGTAAAAAAAAAAATGTGATTTTTTTATTCTGTTAAAGATTTCAAGCACTTATAAAAAGGATTAAGATAGAAAAAAATATTTTAGTTATTTTAGTTTTGCCTTAAACCAAACGTCTTTATCACTTCGACAATAGCTTTATAGTAAAATATGGATTCCTTATTTCCTAAGTGGCGATTTTTGCATTTTTTTTTTCTAACTAAACTTACCCGCAAAGTGTAATGGTTTAATTGATGAACTTTGTGCTTTCTTAGAAATATCAAGTCTCAAAGGCGCAAGTAAACATGCTCAGCAAATTCCTGCAAAGAAATATCTTCATGAGACGTTTGCTTGAATTATTATTCTTAACTTGTTTCGTCCAGTTTTATCACCCAAAGTTCAAAAAAGAAGTTTTCGATCCTGAAAATAATTTCTTGTAATAATTGAATGCTAGGCTGGTATAGAAGTAACCTCTAGTAAACGCAAATTTACCGGGACTCGAAAATGCCGAATTTGATAAGTAAGGAAATGAAATTTTGATAACATAACGAAGTTGGGAAATAGTGCCACGAGAATAAAAAGTTGACCCCGTTAGTTAATGAGAGAGAAAGTGTGGATGGTTTTTCCAGGAAAAAATCATCTAAGAAGTCATTATTTAATAGGCTCAGGACATAAAAACTATCCAACTGCACTGAAACAATTAATGCGTATTATAAAAAGCACTGGTTGCAAAGGTATCGAGAACTACCACACTTTGACCTTGGCCTTCTTTTTTGCTGCTCCTCTCTTCAGACAAGTGAATAGTTTGATATCTTATAAAACATAAGATGGAATAGTCACACTGTTTACGAGAAATACTAAGAATAAATGGAAGCTATCAAGTCAAATTTGTCAACTCCAGTCAGTTCCAAAGTTGTCTTTGAGATATGGAAAAGTGCATTTTTTCTCGTATCGCGGAACCAATTCGTAATTACAACATTTTATAAATTTGTTTCACTGAGTTTTCCTTGTTTGATTAACTAATGTGATCAGCTTTTCAGTCCCCTTTTCATCATCTGTGATATTTATATTATGCGACTGATTTGTCATTTTCTTATTGTGCCACTAAATAATCTCTTGAATTAGAAAAAATTTCGTGCTATACTGGTTTTGTAGTGAAAGTGAATTAAATTTAAAAAAAAAAAAGGAGTGAAAGGATTCGTTGGTGGGGAAAAAGAAAGGATTTGGAAGAGATTAATAATTCGACTATATTTTATTGGTTTCTTCCGATTTTTAATTATTTTTACTAGATTTTCATATTTTTAAAATTTAATTTCAGCACTCATACCAGCAGTACTAAATTATTCACATATTGGTACTCTATTCGAAAACGATCGACATTTTTCTCATTTGGCCGATTTTGAACGTGAAATGGCTTATCGGACTGAAATGGTTGGTTCTTTCAGGATGATTGATAATATGCAGAATAACGGGATCAATAATATACTGAGTAAATAGTTGCCAGACAATACACATTAAGAAGTAGGGAGAAGCAATAAAACAGACATTGCGAAAGGAAGGGCTAAACAAAGTGAACAAAGATCATTCTAACTAAACTGGAGAATTCCAAAAAGTCGTAGAATTGAAGCGTTGGATGATTATGTGGATGAGTTTACTAAATTAAAGTGTAGGAAAAGCGATTAAATAAACAAAGGACAAAATTTGTTTGAAAAATAAATTTAGCAAATAAGTAATAAATATTTCAGTGTTTTAATCTATTACTCGTTCAGTACTTGTGTATTTGTTCAGTATGTTGGTTGTTATTCTGAGTGTACATTTAATGAATGTGAACTGGAGCTAGTATTTCAAAAATGTAGCTTTTCTACGCTTTGATGTCATCATTGATAAATCTTAAATAAGTGAACAGATACAGAAATGAATGATGTAGTGAAGATTGGTTTTGAAATTTTGCCAAATGAATTTTATATTAAAAAAATGGAAATAATTTTGGATATTAATTTCAAATTTTAAAGTGGTTGTGTTTATTCCTGCATTTTGTTATGTTTTAAAAATTAGTTTTCGAGCACGAACAAATATACAAAGGTTTACTATAAAAAAAGCATATAACGAATGGCTCGAGAGAAACTTTTTTAAATTTTTTCTTTAAAAAACAAATTTTTGTTTGAAAACTAGTTTTTTAAAACATGCTGCAGTGATCCAACCTGGAAAGTCAGGAAAATTTCTTTAAAAAAAAAGTTTAAATTAATCATGCTAACCATTAAATGCATTAGGTTTTTATCAAATTTTTCATTGGAAGAAAGTGAAAGTGCATGAAAGATCAGGAAGACTGGTTGTTTACAAGGAAGTAAGCTGCTAATTAGCTAGTGCGGGGTTTTAAGTAAGCAGATAAGAAAGCCGTAAGTATTGTTGAGAAGAGTAAGCGAAGGCAAAAGAAAACTGTCAGTGAATGATAAATTTCTAGATTTCACTGCTCTATGAATAATGCATTGCATGATAAAACTCTTACTTTTATCATTGGTGATTCTAAGTAAGTGGGGTAGTGGTGATTTAGTCACCAATCTTTTTCAATGTTTTATAATAGGAACGGAAGTACAGAAATATTCACGTTACTCTTCCTTCTATTACTTAGGAATTTTTTTCAGTTGATTCATCAGAATGAGTTTGAGTGAGTCATCCATCAAAAATGAAATGGGTTGAGTTTACTCTTGCTGTGGTTTGCAAAGTCTTTCTCCACTAGATGAAAAAGTAAGACGAGGAAGAAGAGATTTCTGAAAGAGTAGCAGCAATAATGATAATACCGAGACTAATGGAATAAATTTTTATCGTATTTTCATATGGAAATGGTAGTAGTTTTCGTGTTGATGGAATAGAGGGTAACACCAGTAGAAATGTAGTAGTTAGGCGAGTTTGTTGTGACAGTTGATGTGTTGTACACATCAAACAAGAGATAACTGTTACCGAAGGGGTATTTGATGATGATGGGCGTGATGATCGAACAAAGAGATGAGAAAGCATGTTCCTTCGATAAATTGGTAGTTGGTATCGTTAACAATTATGGTTATGAGATAGTAAATCGGGTTCTTTTTCGAAGTTGTGACATTTGCAAACCGCCTGCCATCCTAACCTTTACGTCTTCCTCTATATTGTTGACACTTTCGAGTCTATTAAAAATGATATAGTCTTTGTCATTTATTTATTGCATTCACTCCTCTCAATATATCATACCTAACCTGCCTTGATACCTACTCTAGCAGTACCAGTAGTAAATCGCTTTCTTTCCTTTTCTAACTTCACTCTTTTAACTAACCATACATTTTCTCTTACGCATTTCTCCTGTGCAGCACACTAGTAGGAGTGATGGTGGTGATGATAATGATAATGAAAATGAAAGATAAATTTGTTCAAAACGAAATATCGAAAAGTGTCGCTGTTGTTTTTTCTCTTATCGTAACCAAGAATACAATGCGAAAGCAATGGTTATGATGTCACATATCGTTGCTACTTATCCTAAATTTCTCTAATTCATAATTCATTAAGCAAACAGGAGAATGGTTTCTAATGTACTTTAATGTAGATCAAGCTGTTTGAACTTTACGGAGAGATTTGTTGAGAATTTAAGTATACTTATCATTCAGATTCACTTATTATTATTATTATTATTATTAATTACTATTATTGGTTATTATTATTTGTTATTATTGTTTTTGTTATTATTATCGTCAAATTTTAAATTATTTCTATCACTGTAATTTCTTTGCTTTATCTTTAATTTTAACAGAAGCGTATAATTTTCATCGTTGTTATTCTCAAAATATGCCATTGTATTCTGTAAATACCTAGACGAATTGTGATTTAGCAAAAATGCTTTTAATCACTTCGAACTGTGTGATAAAATGTATAACGGGGTTTGGCATCCCGAATGAAAATATTCAAAACTAGTGTAAATATAGCTTTACCTACGGAAGAAGGCGGTCCATATGCTTAAAATGGCTGTTTTTGCATATGTCAACACTGATAAAATTTATTATTGGGCCAATATTACTTAATTAATTAGTGAAAAGGTAAAATCAGTACTTGCAGTATTCAAGAATGTGGCATCGCTTTAATAATAATGAAGTTTTCCAAAAGAGTAAAGAGCTGAATCTTTGGCATATTGTTCATGTTGTTCCTTAAATTAGATTTGCAATTATGTAATTATATAAATTAGGTTTGCAATCATATAAAAATATGGACATATGAGAGTTAGGAGAACTGCCTAAAGCGTTCTTTATTTAAAAAACTTAAAGCAGATACAATACTCTTCACACTGGAATCAAAAATAATATTTAAATTAAAGAGCGGGAATGAAGTGATTTAGTGAAACCAAATCAAATTTGAGGTAAGGTGAAATAGAAAAAAGCGGCTTAACCAGTTATTTTGCTTTCTCTTCTGCTTATTTTATGTTACCTTAGGGGAAAATTTTTTTGTTTTTTCTTTATCGTACCCGTATTGATAATCTCAGGAGGACTGATTTTCAGTATATAATTTATTGATTTCAAATATACTTTTCGTCGACCATTTTTTCCGCATTTGTTGGCTGTTTTCACTGACAACTTAAAGTGAATTTTGTTTTTCTTTAATTGCATAGCGTCAAAATAAAATCAGTGGATGAAAGAAATATTCAAGAAAATAAAGTGATACTGCTTATCAAAAGCTCTAAAAAAGCAAGTTAAGTATACAAATAAGTATTAAGACACTATTGTGAATAAGTCTGCAAAGCTGTGAATTATAAATAATGAGCAGGTTTAATAAATAAAGGAAATATGATACAGGAAATGTCGAATTTTTTGGTAAAATTTTTGGAATTAGAGCGGATCATCGTTCAAGTTTATCATTTTTTTATTCCTATATTCCAATTTCGCAATGTTCCCTAGTCTTTTTTCTGAGAAATAAAAGAAGATTTGGAAAGATTTTTCTATACATTTGACTTTACGGTTCCTTAAATGCTTTTATTATTATTGCAAGTAGGTATGATCATGTACTTCCCGCCACATGATTTTGATAAAAACATTTCATTTGGAATTCTCAGAAAGTATTAGTAGCTTCTTATAATATTAACTTTCGGGACAGATTAAATTTTACTATAATTTATGATTAAATACTGTTTTCATTTATTTAGAACTATTGACATACGTACTCCAAAGCAGGAAAAGGCATGAAAATATATTAATAATTGATTTAGGTCATATTAGAAATTTTGTTACGGAAACTTTATATGTTATCGGATAATGGTGTAAATGTTACTAAACGAAAAGATGCTAGCCTTTCCTTTATTTTTAAAGGCACTGAATTTTAAATGGTATAAGATATGGAAAAGCTAAGGATTACAGAGAAATTAATAACTTGGAAATTCATTTTCTTATTCCTGCCTGATTCTTCTTACGAATAGTAGTCTTAGTGATGAATGCGTGTAATACATTCTGAAATCTTTGAGATTATAGCAAATGAATAAATGTATCATCATTAAAAGAACTTTTGTCACAGATTTATAGCAAAATTACAGTTTT